GATACAGGTTGTCCGTATCAGCTGCTCCATGGTCCGATTTGTCCGTTCAGTCTGACCGTCGGTCTGTGGGTGGTAAGCCGTGGATAAATGGAGACGTATATCCTACTGTTCCCACATTTTCGTCATGAAGTTGGACGTGAATCGGGGGTCACGATCGCTCACGATCGCCTTCGGGATTCCGTGCAGGCGAACGACGTTGGGATGAACAGCTTGGCCGTTTGCTCGGCTGTGATCGTCGTTCGGCAGGGCACGAAATAAGCCATTTTCGTGAGTCGGTCGACGACCACGAGTACATCATCATTCTGGGATGCGCCGGCCGGCATTCCTGTCACGAAGTCCATGGACCCGTGTGTCCAGGGCTTTGTGGGCGGTTCTAACGGTTGCCGTAATCGAGCTGGCTTTAGGCGAGAGGATTTTATCAGTTGGCAGGTGGGGCATGAGGCCACATATTGCTGCACGTCGTGGCTCAAATTCGGCGAGTAATAATGACGTTGGAGCATTTTCAAGGTTTTATCAAACCAGAAATGTCAGGAGCAGTTAGCGTCATGAACCTTCTGTATGAGTAATTCCTGTAACAGTCAGTAGGATGGAACCCAAATTCGGTCAGTACCAGCTTTTAGGTGGTAGTGGCCTCGTTGAGTGGTTAGGGTCTGGTTTTCGTTAGAGGTGAAGAGAGGATTAGTATTGTAGCTATGGGTAAACAGTGTAGTTAGCAGCGGGTTAGCTTGGGCGATTAGTACGGCGGCTGTATGCGCAGTAGGGCGGGAAAGGGCATCAGCAATATTATTTGCCCCTTTCTTGTAGGTGATGCGGCAGTGGAAATTGGACTCGAGATATTCGAGCCAACGAATCTGTCGTGGTTTGAGGGTCGGTTGAGCTCGGAGGAACTGTAGGGACTTGTGGTCTGTTCGGACGGTAACGCCAGGTCTTGAAAGCATTGACGATCGCGAGCATTTTCTTGTCGTGAACCCGGTAATTCCATTCAGCGCCTTGGAGTTTTCGCGACTCATATGCGATTGGCTGCAGGCCTTCGCCAAAATCCTATAACAGTGCCGCACCAACAGCGATGTCGCTGGCGTCCGTAACTAGTTCGTACGGGCGGTCGGGGTCGGCGATACGAAGAACGGTTGGTGTTATGAGGAAAGTTTTCAGTTGGTCAAACGCAGCTTGCTGCCTCTCCCCCACTCATAAAAAACTCCTTTCCGCAACAAGTCGGTTAACGAGGCTGTTGACTCTGCCATTTTAGGGATAAAGCAGGGCACGTAGTTGACGAACCCATAAAAATCTGCAACTCCTTTACGTTCGTAGGCAGCTCCCAGTTGCGAATAGTGTCGATTTTCTTCGGGTCGATTTTAACGCCTTCGGTGGAGATGACGTGGCCCAGGAATTCCAGCTCCTCTTTTAAGAACTCGCACTCAGAGCCCGTGATGATGAGTTGATGGTGATGGCAGAGGGTAAAAACGGCTTCCAGGTCCGTCAAATGTTGTTCCTGAGATGTGCTGTAAACCAGGATGTCATCTAGGTAGACGATGACGCACTTGTCCAGTAGCGAGCGGAAGACTTCGTTCATGGTCAGTTGAAAAGTTGAGGGTGTGTTTGTCAGCCCAAACAGCATCACTGTATACTCGTAACTTCCATAACGGGTTCGAAAGGCAGTCTTCGAAATACCAGCTTCGGCGACACGAAACCGATTGTAACCTCCTCGTAGATCAATCTTGTAAAAATCCTGGCCCCACGAAGTTGGTCGATGAGATCGTCGGCTCGCGGAATCGGATAACGGGGCTTGATGGTGATATTATTGAGCACTCGATAATCGGTACACATCCGTAGTCCTCCGTCCTCCTTTGGGGTGAAGTGAATCGGCGCAGCGTAGGGTGACGTGGATGAGCGGATGAATTTTTTCTCCAACAGATAATCCAGTTGCTTACGCAGCTCCAGCAGCTCCGGTTGACTCAGCCTCCATTGCGATATGACAGTCGGTTGCGCGCCAGGGTCCAGCTCCATCTTGTGATCGTGTGGTCGTTTGGGTGGTAGGCCGGGCAGCAGGTCATAAGGAAAAATCTTCTCGTACTTGCACATGATCTTCACCAGGTCCTTAGGGTATAGCAGCACACAGCTTCTCCAGGTCGGTTTATTCGGCCACCGCTGTCGATGCGATCCATCGAACGGCGTAGACGTCCACGCCATGTGCCTTTACATGCCTGATAGTCACGTTATTCACCAGGGTCGACGGAGGGTCGGATGGTTTCCACTTCGATAGTCGTCGTCACTCGCCACCCCACTTCAAACAAATGTCGCCATTCCTCCAATCGATGCTCGGATTGTACGTGCGAAGCCAATCGCACCCAAGGAGCACATCGCAGCCGTCCAAAGTCCTCGCCAGCATCTTCATGGCGAAACTGACTTGGCTGTCGCAATCAATGCGAACGTGTTTCACCCGCTCCCGGATAGCAAGTGGCGTGCCGTCGACCAACCGTGCGTCAATCTCGGGCATGCACCTCTCCATTTGCAGTGCAGCTTCTTTGCTCTTGTCACATCGAACAGACTGTGTGATGCTCCACCGTCCACAAATATTTTATTCTGGTGTTGCCAACGTGCCCTTCCACCAGCACAAGGCAGTCAACAGGTTCACTCCCCTTTAACCGGGTGTGGTCGATCGCTAGATCGACACTACGACTCGGTGGGAATGATGATCTTCAAGCGACGAAGCCTCATCAGTAGGGGGTCCGACTGCTACTGATGCTGCCCATTTCCCGGCTTCCTTCCATCGTTAGCTCCTGATTTTTGCAACTCCGGACAGTCCTGCATGGTGTGCCCCAGCTGGCCACATTTATAACATCTGCCAGAAAATATGTTAACTTACGGCGCCGCCATGCCGTTGATGGATGGGTAACTGTTCTGCCCCTCGAAAACGACTTCGCCCCCGGAAATTCGTCCTCGGCCATACACTATTCTTGTCCCACGCCTCTGCGACCTGCGAATGCGAATGTCGCACTGGACCTCCAAGAATGTCGCCGGGTGGCGCATGCGAATTTCGCGCTGGACCTCTGGTTTCAACCCTCGGATGTATCAACTCATTTTCTCCGTTTCATGTAGATCGTCGATTTCGTCGCAGATGGCGAGGAATGAAGATGTGTATTCTAGGACAGAGCCCAGTTGACGCCACCCGTGCAGCTTCACACGAGCGTTGTCGCATGCGGATACATGCTCGAAGCACCGACGAAGCAGTGCACCCCATTGTTGCCAGGTAAGGATCTCGACCACACCGAATGAGGATCCTGTCGAGGTTGAAGCCAATCGTTGCTCTCCGTCCATCGCTTGTTGCCGGTCTGCCGGAGTCCCTCCTGACGTCATGTACTGTCGCCACCAACTTAATGCAGGTCCGCATATTAAAGACACCGCCAACTTGACGCGTGTCTCATCGTCGTTGACGCTGGCGGCATTAAAGAACAGTTCCATGGCGAACAGCCACCCATTCAGCATGGTGTGTTTCTCCAGGGGCTTGAACCGCGGGGGTATGGCAGGTTTTTTCTTCACAACTGCCCGTCGCTTGCTCGAACTGTCATCACGTGTCGCTGATATCACCTGCGGTTGATGCGCGCTCACACGATCTTCGTCCCACGGTAACAGGCGACTCCTGACGCGTCGCACCACACGTCTAGCGAAGGCTCACGTTCTCCTCTTTCAACGCAGCGAGCTTGAGGGCCATGGCCTCCATTTTCGCCATCATCTCGCCAACCTTTGTCGTCAGCACGATTGCGCTTGCTGCCGCCTCTGACAACTCAGCTATTTGCTTGGGAGTCATATTTCTAGTACTACGGCGAGGAGGGCTATTGATTATGAATTACCCTAACTAGCTAACGCCACTAAGGACACTACGGGCACCTGCAGCGTTAGAGACGTAGAGCGCACACGACAAAGTTGGCACAGCTAGCCTAGCAAGAGAGCCTCGAGGAAGGCCATGAAACACACGCGCGGTGGTTTGGGGCACCTCGGGACTCGGAAGTGTCGGATGTGATGTTGTGTGTAGGATTGGGGTCTCGAACGTAGTTCGAACCTGAAATGTCGGGCCGAGCCTGGACTTCCGAAAGTCAGGGTTGTACTTGATGTTAGCGAGGCTCGATAAGGAAAAATGGATTTCCCTTACAAATGAGCTCTCATCATCAGACCATATAAAAACACCATACATCTAACAAGAAAAGGGCTTTCAACCTTTGAACTAACTGTAACTAATGCTCAGTGGGTCGTAAAGAAAATTATGCGCTACAAACCCCACTCTCGCTGCAGAACTGTGTACCCCCGCTCCGCAAATCTGTTTCCCCCCCTGCAATTTTGACCCCCTACCTCAATTTCGTTTCTTCCCCCCCATTCCCCCCCCCCCCCAATGTCAAATATTTACAGCTCCCACCCTCCCCCCCCCCCCCCCCCCAATTTCGTCCCCACTTGCACCCGTCCCTCTGCTTTCCCGCTTCCGTTGTGACGAAATGATAGTTCTCGCCACTCTCGCTGCCCAATCACCGATTTTCCTACCCAACTCATACTGTAGCGTTCACCACATTCCAGGGAATGTGTACCGCGACTTTAAAGCGCGGATCTCGAAACCCCCCAACTCAAAAACTTAGGTTTTGACTCGGGGGACATTTTGGCTGGGGCTCAAAACCTTAGGTTTTAACTAAAGGGGGTTTTGAGATCCTCGCTTTAATAGACAGAATTCCCTTGGAAAAACCATTTGCCAAAAGGAATCGGTAGCTACAAATTCGGCATGAATCAAGAGGGGGAGGGGGGGGGGGGGGGCTGTGGTATGGGGAGGAGGGAGGGGGGGGGGCTGTGGCGTGGGGAGGAGGGAGGGGGGGCGGGGTGGGGGGGACGGGGAGGAGGGAGGGATCACTACCCCCTACAGATTGCCCCACTACATGTATAGCCGGAACGTATTCGGATTTTTTTTTTTTTTTTTTTAAGGTTACTTATTAGGTCAAGGAATCAAGCGAAGTCATTCACGTAAGTTGGACGGATTCGAAAAAAACAAGTTTCGCACCGTTACATGAAAATAATGGAATCACATGAAAACTTACTCTAATTATATTGACATTAATGATAATTACCCTGTTAGCGAGAGGCATGTTTGGGAGCACCTTGGTGAGGAAGGGGGCACGAAACGTGGGAGTTCGGTGATGAGGGTCAAGGCAATAGCCCCATTCTGTAGGCATCTGTTTGATAAGACATCTTATCAAAATAGAAGATGCCCCACTTTTTCTGGGGTTACCGAGCTTGCAAAATTGCAGATTTCAGTCGTGAAAGAGCTAGGGGTCTGATTGAGAGGTTTCGCCCAGGGCATGGTAAGCATTTCGACGTGTCCAAGGTTGCCAGAGGCCATAGCGAAAAAAACGATTTCATTTCTCGCAACCAACCACAATCGTCTGTATAAATTGTTTTTCGTTTATTGCGTCAACCTGGGTATTTTTATCCAAGCTATCTCCTTTTCTTGGGGTGTCTATGGTCTGCCCGAAACAAGCTGCTCAAAGCTCGTCCAACCTTTGGAGGCCGGTTGAAGATTAGACGAGTTGTTCAGCCAATTTGCCCGTGAAGGCTGTTTGCGTGAAGTTTCCTTCGTGACAACTTGATCCTAAATTAGGTGGCGTTCTTCAGGCAATCGCCGAATGACATATCAAATTTGGCTCGGTTTTCTCCAAGCTGTGGGTGCTTATCACCGAGCCTCGATAAGGACTCAACCACTTATCAACGAAGCTTCTAACCTATGAATAACTTGTCACGGGTGGCTGCAGAATTGGGCCAATGTTTGGGAGGCATTCGAGGGGACCCACTAAACCTTCCTGAGGAAGGTTTCCTACATCCGAGCTAGGGCTCCACACCGCGGGCAGAGCCCAAAATTCGCTATAAGGGCCCAAAGTAGGGCCAAAAACGCAACTCGGGGACCAGACCAGAATGGGTCCCCTGCTCGGTCCAGGTGACCCATTCCCCCCTTGGTGGAAGAGTTCGGCCACCCTAAGAGGGGACCGAAAAGGAGTTCCAGCCTCGAGACAAAACAATGCAGGAACCCAATTCTGGTCCCCCGAAGCCGGGTAGTACGAAATTAAGAGAATACACTCGCTTCGGGAAAGTAGTTGATGCCAAAAACCAGAATGCTTAGAACAATACACCATGCATGCGGTGTCTACGCAATCGTGGTTGGTGTGGGGATCGTGTGACGGGTTTTGTTTTTTCCGCAGCTCAATGTTTAACTTATTGGTTTACCCATCTATTGCCCAGCTACAGTGAATTCCAGCATGTGAATTTCAGCTGTTGGACTCGAGCCTTCGGAGTGGAGCCACGCGCTTTCTGTTTTCCCCCCAACCTTCCCCATTCCCCCCCCCTCCCCCCCCCAGCGCAACTCCACTGAGTCGCGTCCAGGGTAGGGGTCATCGAGCGTAGACCACGGTTTGACAATCCTTTCCCTTTCGAACCTCCTTCCTCAGCGAGGGTCCCCTCGTGGCTCCCAAACATTTCCCAAAGGGGTGTCAAACCAGCAAAGGCCCTCGGCGCGAGAGGAAAAATGAAGAATGGAGCTTGAGGGTGTATAGCCTACGGCTTCGGAGCTGAGTTCCGTCCGAGTTTTTGGTGTGGTGAATCATTTCGCCACAATTCGCACATGAATTCGCTAAGCCTATTGCGAAGGATTCTTCAGTTTCGAAACTCAATGTTCCAGCGACGTTGGGATGCCAGTTTCGTCAACCTAGTTCCGGAACTCAGTACCAAACTCGATATACGCAAGTTCCGTTCGTCGCTGGAACATTGAGTTTCGAAACTCAACTATGATTGCTGTCTGTCAATGGAACATCTAGTTTCGAAACTAGATGTTCCAGCGTTCAAACGTTTGAACGACGTGCGAAAAGTACTCTGCGAAAAGAGGAACCCAGCCCCTCGCAAGCCAATCACACGCTAGGCATGACGAATCTCGCGGCACACATCTTGTTTTGTCACCCCGCGATTCACGTGCGACTTGTGGCGAAATCCTTCACAACACCAGAACTCGGACGGAACTCAATTCCGAAACCGTAGGCTACACACCCTGAGTTCCAGAACTAGGCCGACGGAACCGTAGGCTACACGCCTTGAGGATGCGGTGATAACTTTGCGTGCCGATGCGATGGATCGCCAGCTATCATGCCAGGCTGGCAAATAATGGATATTCTAATGCCATGGCTCGTCCTGGCACGGCCCAATGGTGGTCGATGCTCTGACTCGTCACACGTCATGCCATACAGCACTCCAAGCTCTCGAAAAATGCGAACTCAACTAAAAATTGAGGAACATTCGCAACACCAGTAACCACATGCACACAAAACGCATTTTTTGTCGTGGAATTGTCATGAAGATTGCACACATGTTCCTTACCCAAAAAAACAACTGAAGGGGAAAAATGACGAGTGGGTTTCTGTGACGTAGTTTCGTGAATTTGGATTGCGATCCTGGTTTCCCTGTTTTCAGTGCACTTGGTAACCCAGTGGCGTTACGAGGGTTTGCATTTCGCGTAAGTTTCTCGAAGCCTCTTGGACCACACACTCAGTTTCTCAGTACTTTCAACCCCGGTGCCAGGGTTGCAGGCCACCAAATTGGCTCGGTGCACTGGCAAACCGTGAATCGTGCGGCATCGTGCCGTGCCGAGTCGATGCTCTGATTTTTTTATTTTTATTTTTTGTGATTTTGCCACGCCCTGAATTCACCAACACAGACAGAAATGTGGATGCGCCCGCCAGGAAGTACCCCCCTCCCCTCCCCCGCCCCTCTCCCCCCAAACCCTCGGGGGCCAGAGACATTTTTTGGCTAAGTCCCCAACATCCAGAAACCTTCCCCGACAAACCCGCCTAAACCCAGAGAATTCGGTAAGTCCCCAACATCCAAAAACATTCCCACCCGAACCCATAAAATCCGGCAAAGTCCCCAACATCTAGACACATTCCCCACAGACCCGCCCAAACCCAGAGAATTTGATAAGTCCCCAACATCCATAAACATTTTCCCATAGACCCCACGAACCCAGGAAATTCAGCTAAGTCCCCCACATACATAAATAACTCCTCCCACACCCGCAGAACCCCAGATGATTCGGCGAAGTCCCCCTACACAGAAATACTCCTCCCACCCACACCTCCCGAAACCCAAAATACGCAGTGTTGTTCGAAAAGTTTCATAAGTTCGAACACCAAATGCGCTGAACCCTAGCAGAATCTTCTTGAAACAAACAAAAAAATCTAAAACTTCTCTTACAATTCGAACTAATGGCTTTGTCCGAACCAAAAGCACTTCTCCCCAAGTCCCTCACCGCCTGAGAAATTCCTCCCTCTTCCCCCCCATCCCCACGAGGGCCCCAGATAGCAGACGAAATCGGTCAGATGGTCTGAAAAACATACTGGTTTTTTTGGGTTCATCTGATTTTTTAGACTGCTTGTTTTATTTCGTTTGAATGAAAAGACAGATGTGAAAAAATCATATGAAAAACGAGAGTGAGCATTATTTTTCTGTTGGTGCAAAATCAGTTTTTACACTTCAACCTGCCGCCTATTTGCCAAGGACAAAGCAACATTGAGGAAGTTGGTTAAACATTCTGGGTTAAGTGGTTTTGTTGTCAGAACTTGTGAGGTTTACATGTGTGAGGGCGAGCTCAAGAAGAGCTGATAGAAGTCACATGGAAGTCCCATGGAAGTCCCATGGAAATCCCCTGGGAGTCACATGGGAGTCACACGGGAGTCAAACCAGAGTCACGTGGGAGTCACATGGGAGTCACATGGAAGTCACATGGGAGTCACACGTGAGTCACACGGGAGACACATGGGAGTCACATGGGAGTTACATGGGAGTCCCATGGGGAAATTATAGAGGTTCTATGGAGGGTCTATGAGGATTTATGAGGAGTCTTGCAAGATGCATGGTTTTTGCGTTTAAGCAATTTCCATATACATCTTAAGCCTTGTATCGGGCATAGGTAAGTAAGTAAAGGGGACGAGATCGTAAGTGAATGCATGGGGAAGATATGCTCATGTGAATTGCGCATGGTTTCATGTTGGGGTGCGTGGCGCCAGGTGGATTTCACATCCACATACTCTTAACACTATGTGCACTTAGAGGTTTGCAAGTGAAAATACGTGGGATCTCGCAGGTGAAATGTGAAGTGAATATTGTCCAACTTTCATGTGAAATTCGCAGGTAAAAAGGACGGATTTCGCAGGTGCCATGCGTGGGAGAGTATGGCTTTTGTCACAACAATCTCATGTCGCAATATCTGAGGTTTTGGAGTGTGGTTCGAGCTAGTGATTGGTGGGCTGTTTGCTTTTGCATTTGGTGGGCTGCTATATTAAATATGTGTGTATGTTTCATTTGTACGACATCCTTTTATGAATGAAACATTCCCTATCGTCGTATTGACGTAAGGAGATCGCTGCAATGCACCAAGTCATCATATATCCTCTGCGTTTATGTTGGAGGAAGGCTCTAGTGGAATTTGACCAAGGCTATACTTGGCTTACTCTCTTCAAACACGGACCCTTGGATAGGGGCTGGTTTTACTAGGCACCCAAGGACCCTTGGAGGTGACCTCGTGGATTAAGTTTTGTATGCTTGAGTACTTATTCCTAGAGCGTTCTTAGGTTCCTATTTCTAACAGTTTCGTCTAGAATTTCAGACGACGCGTATTTTTTTCGTATGATACTGAGAAATTCGCCCACTAGGCCTATGTTTTTTGTTGTGATGGACTAGGCCAAATTTAAGGGTTTCATGTGGGGTATGGGCGGAATGACTCTGGTTCTGGGCAGGACTCTCCCTAAGCCCCAGGGTATTCCGAAAGGGGACAGAATCGCCTCTGAATTACCCATTTACATATGGAATCCCAAAAAAACAACCCGTTACCGAAAGGAATCGGCCGCTACAAATTCAGCTAGCAGGGAATCAGAGGCGAGAGGGGGGCGGGGGAGGGGGGGGGAGGGGGAGGGGGGGTGGGGGGGGGGGGTTGTGGTGGGGGATCGCTACCCCCTATAGATTGCCCTACCACAAGTATAGCCCATAAGAAAAAAAAAAAAAAAAAAAAAAAAAAAAAAAACCTTGTTAGGCTTAGGAATCTCGCGAAATTGTTTCCACAAGCTGGACGGATTCGGAAAGAAATCACACCCAGGAATCACGACTGATGTCATAATCACTGCAGCATTGTAAAGATGGGCTAACTGGATTGGCATGAATGACGCCAGCAGTTGTCCAGGCTCGTGCATTCATTGCAAACACGCATCGTGCTGCCCGAGTGTGGACCATGCTTGACGCATCATGCTTGGCAATAGCTAAGTGCACGAAAATGTTTCTAGACTCTTCAGTTAAGCAGGCGGCACACAATGCTCTCTCGATAATTTTTGGGTCAAATTGGAGCTTGTCGTTTGATTCAACTAGAAATCAATAGTTTTGCATGAACAGTTGCGCGAGGTCGACCGAATTGGACCAAACGGCCACGTGTGCTATGGCCTGGCGATAAAGGTCGACTGTCTTGATGCAGGTAACATTTTCAACGAAGCGCGCAATTTTGCCGAGAAACTTTGAATCCAGGGTCCGCTAGCGGACAAACTTTTCGGGGCCAGTACAGTTTGCCGCTCCAGTGAGTGTGCGTTCCGCGCTCGGGCAAGCCTAAAGGCAGACTCAGAAGCCTCGAAGTTGGAAGGCCCAAGGTTCTGGGCCCACGATCAAAAGTGGTTTACGACAAAAAAAACGTAACCCCCAACCACTGAGCGTAGGGAAGAGGCACGCCGCAACCAATAATACTCAGCGTAAACGACCCGAACACTTTAGCCCGAACTCATCGTTGCCCTGAAGTTAGGTTTGGAAGCCCCGAACTGATGCCCCGAGGCTCTTCCTCGAGGCTTGCCCCGAGCGCGGAACCAACCATGACTCCACCACCCCATCGAGTGATCCAGGCACGTGGACAGCCCATCAACACGTCAACAGCAAGGGTGGAGAAAGCTGCCCTACACGAAAAGTACAATGACTATGCGAGATGTGAATGTACGAAAGGTAGAAATAGAGTACACCGCAATGGAATGCGATGTACTTGATGCGTAAAACTTTTATCTGAATTTTCGGACTCGCCATTTGTTTTCGTTTGAAAAAATTGGCTCGTGCAAGATTTTCGTCTGAACGTCAGACAAAGGAAGAAGAAGAAGAAAAAAAAAAAAAAAAAAAAAAAAAAAAAAAAAAAAAAACTTGGTCCGAGTTTCAGACAGGCCAAAAACTTAGCAAGGACCCTGATCCCCACCCAACGAAAAAGATTCGGCTAATCCCCCAACAGCCAAAAACATTCACCCCACCCCACCCGCAACCTAGAAGGTTGCGAAGGTTGCTGCCACATGAGTGACATTCATCCCACATTCCTTCATGTCCTATTTCTACCCTACTTTAGTGGAGCTGTTAAAATAAGTAGCGAGATATATCAACCGTTGTAACATGGTAAGCCCTGAAGTACTCTGCAATCTTGGCACGCCGCAAAATTTACCTTGCATTGACCTTGAATATCGCGACTGTCAAGAGACACGCTGGGGTTGCCCTTGATCCTTGGGGAAGGGCTACAGGCCATCTCTCTGCTTGGGGGGTTATGGGCGCACATACTCCATATTTAACAAGCCCGTTTAGCTCAGTGGTTAGTGACTGCGTTCTGACATGGTATCAGAGCCAGGGGACTCAAGTTCAATTCCCAGTGCTAACGTTGCAGAGGCGCTTGTGTCTTCCGCCTATCCCAGCGATATGGGGTGTCAAGAGACACGCTGGAGTTTCCCTAGATCCTCGGGGAAGGGCTACAGTCCATCTCTCTGCCAAGGGGGTTATGGACGCACATACTCGCTCCTTAACAAGCCATTTTAGCTCAGTGGTTAGTGACTGGGTTCTGATAGCGACTTCCACCCAGCCTACCCAATTCAACATTTGTTGTAACTTGGCTAAAAGTAACTTGGTACCCAGATCCGGATGAAACAGAAATCAACTACCCTGAAATCTGGATGAAATTGGGTGCAGGTGGGTGGGAAATCATAGAGAAACAAAGCTAAAAAAATCCTTAGCATGAGCCCTCGTGACGATATCCGTTGCAGGTGAAAGGGGTTGATGGGGTGGTTGGGGGGTGGTACATTATGGCACAGCTCAGGCAGGCTAGCTAATCCTCAGTACAAACCGACCTCAATAGTAATTCAAGTGAAAGGTAAATTCATAGCAGCAATTTGTCTTTCAGCTGAGATTTATCTTGTAACGGGGAGTTTCAAGCCGAGTCGGACATCTAAAGCCCAAACCCAAATTGCAGGTCTTGTAGTCACGCAAATTTAGGTGACTTGTACGGCTGTAAGCGAACTTTCCCCGACACATTCGTCGATACGAAGGCGACCTATGAGGCTGTACTAGGTATTCGTCTCCCGGCTGTCGCCAGCTTGCTTCTCTTCCCCTTTCTCTAGTTGCGGCTGCAACCGTAAGTTGTAATTGTTTATTCTGGTTTCATCGCAAGCATTTAACCCCTGGTCTATCGGCTCAGAATCCTGGATGACACGAAGTCGTGGCTTAATCGTGACTCGTGACACGAAGTTGTGAAATTCAAGCGGAACCGGTTTGATGCTACCTTGGGGATACCGGCGGTCACTCTCAGCGCCGCACGTTTGCACGCGCTGCTTCACCTACGGCTCGTTAAAAGCGTCCATGTAGGCTCGTCAATGCCGTCAAGGTTGGGTTTGGAAAAAAATAAAAGTAGAAGGAAAAAAAGGCAACGTTGGGGTTGCGAGTTGGTATTGGTCGCTCAGGTGTCTTGTCATTCCTCCCGCTTGTCGCCTCTCAACTCTTCCCCATTCCCCACTCCCCATTCCCCATTCCCCCTTCTCCCTCTCCCCTTGCCCCTCCCCCCTCTCCCCTTCCCCTCCATCCTCCGCCCTTCCCGCTCCCCCTCCCCCACCCCCTTTCCAGCCAGCAGCCCCGCATTGCTCCTGCTACAGGCTCCCCGACAGCAATGACAAAACCAGCAACCCTGGCGAATCCAGGGATGCTGGCGAAACTGGCACAGTTACCACACCCTGCCAATGTCTCCCTGTGGCGAAGTTACACACCTGCGGCAGTGAAGCTATTCTCCTCGCAAACGGCTCTCCCTCATGCTTACATTGCTGGTGCGGCAATTTCCGGCCACATGAACAGTGCTGTGAACAGTGTCTCGGGCAGGCTTGCTTGGTCAGCTGCAGCATCCAACGGCCACGATGCTGCTGCCAGAGTACTTGATGCAGAGCAATTGGCGTCTGTTGATACCGAATCGCCAATAACGAGTACAGCGGCATCTGCTGGTATTGAATCACTGATATCGAGTACAGCAGGGTTGGTGGAGGCGAGTGGAAGGGGGACGGGAAGGAGGGGGAGGCCAAGGCGAAAGGTCGAGGCGAAAACAACGGCAGAAGCAGAGGGGAGCGGGAGGGGAAAGGGGGAAGAGGCATTTGAGGGGGAAGCGGGGGTGGAGGGGAGAGGGGCAGAAGGGGGGGAGGAAAGAGAAATCTCGATTTCCGACTTGTTCGCTATAGGTGATGACTCTAGAAGGAGTGACTCTAGCAAGAGTGACACTAACGAAGTTGACACTAACGAAGTTGACACTAGTAAGGGTGTCAAGGTGGTGAGAAGAACGAGGGGGAGGAGGAAGGCTGCTGCTGAGCAATCTGCTTCTGTTGATACTGAATCGCCAACTCAACTGACAGAAGGCATGGACCGGGAGGGAGAGAGGGAGGGAGAGGGGGAGGGGGAGGGGAGGGGAAGAAGAAGGGGAGGGGGAGGCGGAAAGGCAAGGAGGGGAAGGGAGATGACAGGGGAGGTAGTGGCACTGACCAGGTACCTTCTGAGGGAAATGGACGTGGTGATAGATTGGCTGTGCGTGTTGAGGAGGTGGAAATTGTGAGCCAATCAGATGCTCATTTGGATCCTGGGGGTGGGAGTGCTGTGTGTGTTGAGGAAGGGGGGAGCAGGGAGATGGAGGGGAGGGAGCGACAGGCAGACACGCAGCAGCATCGCCTCGCGTCTCTCTCCTTGAACCGTTACTACCACCACATGCGTCCCCGTTTGTATCATCCTCGTTATTATCATCCTCGTTATTATCATCCTCCTCCTTCTTGACGTCTTCATCACACATACCACCATCATCAGCCACCCCATCAAATCCCATGGCATCGTGCCTGCAGGCATGGCATGCTACAGTGGCCCAGCACCACCCCCAGGGGGCAGTCATCCTGAGTGTGGATCCTGATGTCGCATCAACAGCACCATCGTCAGCCCCGCTTGACCCCATGGCATCGCGCCTGCAAGCGTGGCATGCCAGTCTGGCCCTGCGCCATCCCCAGGGGGCAGTCATCCTGGGCATTGACCCCGATGTGTCGGGCGCTGTAGCCGTGCTGCTGGTCAACAGCGAGAGTACCCAGGGGGAGGAGAGGGGCGTGGATGGGGTGCAATCTGCGCAGGGTGGGGGGAGTGTTGCAGGGGAGACCATGAGAGGAGGTGGAGGGGGAGTGGTGGAGGGGGAGAGTGAGAGAGGAGGCAGAGGAGGGGCGGGTGGTGTGGGGGAGGGGCAGGATTGTGGGAGAGAGTTGGAGCATGGGAGGGGGATGGAGGGATGGTCGAGGATGGTGAGAGCGGAGGATGGGGTTGGGGAAGGCCACGCGGCTGTGTACGGACAGGTGAGACTCAGGGCACGTGGGGTGCAGGGCAGGTGAAATGGAATATAGGGCAGGTGGGATGTAGGGCTGGTGGGATGTAGGGCAGGTGGGATGTAGGACAGGTGAAATATTAAGACATGTGGGATGTTGTAGGTTTGGTGGGGTTTAGGGCAGGTGTGATATAGGGAAGGTAGGGTACAGGTTGATACTGCTCTCAGCATGGTTTCCTTAAGTATTTTTCATGACATGGGATTTCTCAGAGGAGCCGTAAACTCGATTCACCACCCAAGACCCTTGCCATGCCCACCCCCATGCCCATCCTTATGCTCATTCCGATGCCCATCCCTGTGCCATCCCCATGCCCACCCCCATGCTCATTACGCATGCTCCTTCCATGCTCATCCCTGTGCCATCCCCATGCCTATCCCTGTGATGCTTTTTTCACATGCTCCTTCCATGCTCATCCCACACGTTTTCACAGATTGACAATGTGCCATTTGAGCTCACATCTGTTGGTGCTTCCATTTGCACTGATGGGTACACACTTTGCTCGGGCCATTGCCACACTGCGCTCGGTCGGGCCGTTGCCTCAAACACCACCCTCGTGGACGTCCCTTTGCCTGCTCACAGATTCACGACGTGCCATTTGAGCTCACATCCGTTGGCACTTCGAGTCGCAAGAGGCACTCTGCGCAGGCCATTGCTGCTCTCCTGCACCAGTTACCACCTGCACCGAGTACGTGTTGGTATTGCTACGGTTACCAACCACTCGCGCCAGACACACGTTTGCCAGATGGCCCACCTGCATAAAGTACGTTATGGTCTGGTTACCACCCATAGCAAGAGCATTGCTGCTCTCCTGCACCAGTTGCCACCTGCAGCGAGTGCGAGTTCATGTGGTTACCACCACCTGTTGCAAGCACTTGTCGCTCTGGTTACCACCCATAGCAAAGAGTTTATGTTGCTTCATCGTCACTTTGTTCATTTGTCGTCTCTCCCCTTCCTTTCACTCCTGCCTGCCTGCTGCACATCCTCGACTCTGCAGGGCGTTCTTTTGAATTCTGCGCTCTTGAGAATGCTCAAAAACACCTTCATGTTGTGGGTGATTCTTGAGAGTCTCAAGAATCACCTACCCTGCTCGCTTCTCCTCCTTGTGCTCTCATCTCACCTTCTCACCCTCTCCTGTAGTATCAAGCAGTTGCTTCTTTGCAATATATGCTTCTTCTTGTGTTGTGCCCTTCTCCTATATTCCCTCCCCCCCCTTCTCGCCCCCTCTCTTTGCTCCCCCCTCCCTTCATCAGCCCGCCTTGCTTACTTGGAGCACGCCAGGCCATTCCCCTCGGATGGCAAGCAGGTGGGGGGGATGCACTCTGGTGTGGTCTGATGTGTGCGATGTGTCGTCATGCGTGCATCATGCATGTCATAGTTTTGAGGCGCCTCAAAGCTAGTCTCCTATCTCTGGTGTGGTCTGATGTGTGCGATGTGTTGTCATGCATGCACCATGCATGCATCATGCATGCATCATGCGTGTCATACAACGGCCATTCCCCTCTGATGGCAAGCAGGTGCGATAGGCAAGTGGGATGGGGTGTGGTATGATGCATGCCGCGTGGTATGATGCATGCCGCGTGGTATGATGCATGCCGCGTGGTATGATGCATGCCGCATGGTATGATGCATGCCGCGTGGTATGATGCATGCCGCGTGGTATGATGCATGCCGCATGGTATGATGCATGCCGCGTGGTATGATGCATGCCGCGTGGTATGATGCATGCCGCGTGGTATGATGCATGCCGCATGGTATGATGCATGCCGCGCGGTATGATACATGCCGCGTGGTATGATGCATGCCGCATGGTATGATGCATGCCGCGCGGTATGATGCATTCCGCATGGTATGACGCATGCCGCGTGGTATGATGCATGCCGCATGGTATGATGCATGCCGCACGGTATGATGCATGCCGCACGGTATGATGCATGCCGCGTGGTATGATGCATGCCGCATGGTATGATGCATGCCGCGCGGTATGATGCATGCCGCGCGGTATGATGCATGCCGCGTGGTATGATGCATGCCGCGTGGTATGATGCATGCCGCGTGGTATGATGCATGCCGCGTGGTATGATGCATGCCGCATGGTATGATGCATGCCGCGTGGTATGATGCATGCCGCGTGGTATGATGCATGCCGCGCGGTATGATGCATTCCGCATGGTATGATGCATGCCGCGTGGTATGATGCATGCCGCATGGTATGATGCATGCCGCGTGGTATGATGCATGCTGCGCGGTATGATGCATGCCGCGTGGTATGATGCATGCCGCGTGGTATGATGCATGCCGCGTGGTATGATGCATGCCGCGTGGTATGATGCATGCCGCATGGTATGATGCATGCCGCGCGGTATGATGCATGCTGCACGGTATGATGCATGCCGCGTGGTATGATGCATGCCGCATGGTATGATGCTTGCATGAACTATGCTGTGCATGTGGCATGCCATGCCAGACCATTCCCCTCTGATGGCAAACGTGCGACAGGGATGTGGTATGGGGTGTGGGGTGATGCATGTCGTGGGGAGATGCATGTGTGCAGTGTTACATGTGTGCGGTGTTACATGTGTGTGGTGTTACATGTGTGTGGTGTTGCATGTGTGCGGTGTTGCATGTGTGCCGTGTTGCATGTGCGCGGTGTTGCAGGTGTGCGATGTTACATGTATGCGGTGTTGCATGTGTGCAGTGTTGCATGTGTGCGGTGTCACATGTGTGCGGTGTTACATGTGTGCAGTGCAGTGTTACATGTGTGCGGTGTTACATGTGTGCAGTGCAGTATTACATGTGTGTGGTGTTACATGTGTGCGGTGTTACATGTGTGCGGTGTTACATGTGTGTAGTGTTGCATGTGTGCAGTGTTGCATGTGTGCAGTGTCGCATGTGTGCAGTGTCACATGTGTGCAGTGTCGCATGTGTGCAGTGCCCGCATGTGTGCAGTGTTGCATGTGTGCAGTGTTGCATGTATGCTATGTTGCATGTGTGCGGTGTTGCATGTGTGTGGTGTTACACGTGTGCGGTGTTACATGTGTGTGGTGTTACATGTGTGCGGTGTTGCATGTGTGCGGTGTTGCATGTGTGCGGTGTTGCATGTGTGTGGTGTTGCATGTGTGCGGTGTCACATGTGTGCAGTGTTACATGTGTGCAGTGCAGTGTTACATGTGTGCAGTGCAGTGTTACATGTGTGCGGTGTTACATGTGCGCAGTGTTGCATGTGTGCAGTGTTGCATGTGTGCGGTGTTGCATGTGTGCAGTGTTACCTGTGTGCAGTGTCGCATGTGTGCAGTGTTGCATGTGTGTGGTGTTGCATGTGTGCGACGTTACGAGCGTCAATCATAACACAAGGCGAGCTGATGTGTGCAAAACCCGCATCACCATCTAGGCTCGACCGGAGCTGAACGAGCAGTGAGAAGAGAAAGGTTCTCTTCTCTTCTCTCTTCTGACAAACATGAGAGCACTCTTCTCATTGTGTGAGAACAACGGTGATGTGCATGTGCTTTCATCAGCTCGCATTGCCCCTTTGGAAGCACAGCAACGGCATGGCCTGGTCGCTAAACCAGAGTCGAGCACTGACAACAAAGGTGATGCCCGCATGGCTGCAACAGTGGGTTTGCTGTTTGCCTTATTTCAATTCTCAAGGACAGCTTTGACTTTTGAGGCGCCTCAAATATGGTTTGCTGTTTTCCTTCTTTCAATTCTCAAGGCAGCCACGACTTTGGCCCTTGATATGTGCCAAGGCATTGGGGGGCTCTCATTTTATGCCACGCGGTACGGTCATTGCAGCTGATCCCTCGCCTCGTTCATCCAGGGTTGGGACGGCTCTGGCTTCCGCTCTGGTGTGTGAATGGGCATGTCTTGAGACGCTTCCAACATTCCCCCCGCCATTCCCTTCCCCAAACCCTCAGGGTCGGTACGGCTGGCTCTGGTTTCGGCTTTGGCGTGTGGAGGGGCGTCACAACCACCCTCTTATCCCTTTCTTCCCTCAACCCCCAGGGCTGGTATGGCTCTGGTTTCGGCTTTGGCGTGTGGATGGGCGTGCTGGCAGGCAGTGGCTTTGAGATCACACCAGTGCCATCGGTACGGTGGAAAGCCGCCATTCGCTCGCAGGCGCCTGTTGACTTCACCTCTAAGGTTGGCCTGCAAGCACGTACCCAACTATGTTGGCATGTCTCACAGCGCTGGCAGCAAGCGACTTTAAGGTCGCTGCAGTACCCAACAGTGCGGTGGGAAGCCACCATTCGCCCGCAGGCACCTGTTGACTTCATCTCTAAAGCTGGTCTGCAAACAATCAAGCACCCAACTGTTCTGGCATGTCTTGGAGTGCTTGCAGCAAGTTGCTTCTACGCCACGTCAGAAAAGATACCTAACCCTGGTCTGTGTGGATTGAAGGCTCTTCAGGTCATTAGAACTTGAGTGTTACGCACCCTGCATAAGTAGCATTGCTGCATCGCTTGCAGTGTAATGCCTTTCGTCTGCATATCCGTTGGTAAATCCTACTACTGCTCTTGGCCCCATGGCAAGTTGGTCTTCGTCAAATGTTTTGGCTCCTTTTTATCCTCCTTAGTCTCCTTTTTATCCTCAAGATGTGCTTTCCTTCTCTTCTCAACCCCTCACCCTCTCTCACCCCTCTCACTCTCCCTCACCCCTCTCACTCGCTCTCTCACCCCTCTCACTCGCCCTCTCACCCCTCTCACTCTCTCTCACCCCTCTCACTCTCTCTCACCCCTCTCACTCTATCACCCCTCTCACTCTCTCTCACCCCTCTCACTCTCTCTCACCCCTCTCGCTCTCTCTCACCCCTCTCACTCTCCCCCACAGGAGGACAGCCGTCAGCTGGCTCTGGCCCTCTTCCCGTCCCTAGCTTCATTCTTGAAACGGAAGAAAGACCATGGTAATGCTCGCTCCCCCTCTCCCTCGCTGCTTGCATTTCGACATCTAAAGGACCACGGTAATGCTCGTTCTCCCTCCCTTGCATTGCAGCGTGCATACACGCAATCTAACTAGGGCCATGGTAGGACAAGTATGGTTTGCTGCATTCTCATGCTAATCCAAGCAACTGTGTTTTCATGGTACTCCATACAACCATGTTTTCTTAGTGTTCAATGCCATTATGGTATTCCATGTGTATTTCATACAACCATATTTTCTTAGTGTTCTATGCTATTATGGTACTCCATGCGTATTTCATACAACCATGCTTTCTTAGAGTTCTATGCTATTATGGTATTCCATGTGTATTTCATACAACCATGTTTACTTAGTGTTCTATGCTATTATGGTATTCCATGCATATTTCATACAACCATGTTTTCCTAGTGTTCTATGGTATTATGGCATTCCATGCGTATTCCATGCAGCCGTGTGATTGTGGTACTCCATGCAACCCTGCCCCTTTCTCCGTCTGTCTTTGTTGCCTATCCTTCCTGCTCTCCCTCTATCCCTCTTTCTCTCTCCCTATCCTTCTTTCTCTCTCTATCCTTCTTTCTCTCTCTACCCCTCTTTCGCTGTGCAGGTCGAGCCGAGGCCCTTCTGATTGCCACATATGGCACAAGCCTGTGGGTGCCTGTAGGTGAGGAGGGGAAGAAGACGCGGAGACGAAGAAAGCCAGCTGCCAATGATGCAGTGACCAGTGAAAGCGGGGAAGACGGGATTGCAGTGAAAGCGGATGACTGCATTGCAGCTTGAGGCACATACCTGTGAATGCATAAGAGCGGAGAGGAGAGGGGACGAAGGCACGGAGGAGACGAAAGGCAGCTGCCGGTGAAGCATTGCCGTGACACAAAGAAAGAGCGGAAGACGAGAGTGACTAACTAACAATTCTTTCAGCAAGGAGGAACTCTCGAGGTCCATAGGGCCTCATACCGTGTTTCGATCCTGCCTGCACTGTTGCCTGGATGCAGATGCACTTGGGGTAAACAACTCATTTGAATACAAGCTTCGAAAGACCATGGCATGGATGGTCAAGCAAGTGGAGTGAGTGCAACCTTTATGGTTGCAACTTGCAAAGAGAGAGTAGCACAACTCGAAGGGCTGGAATAAGACTAGAGCTTGTGGTGCAAACCAACTTGACACTCATATTATGGCAAGAGAAACATGGTCAAGAAGCTTCATAGAAGTTTCTTGTGTTGGAAGAAGGTTTTGTAGTGCCAAAACTGTAGAGCTGCTAGGAAGATGCAGACGAGGAGCGAAGCCAGGCTGATACACGTCACTCTGAAATGCGTCACACTGACCATATCCCGCATCTCTGTTTCCCTGGAACAAATGACAAGTGGAGCAGAGGTGAGCATAGAGGGAAGGAATTCAGTGGCAAGCAGGGCAGCTGGGAGGTCCAGGCAAGGAGCGAGGCGAGACTGATGCGAGCCCCTCTGGGGTGTGCTGTGCCGACCACAGAGTTCCTCCATCACCCCGCATCTCCCACTCCCTGGAGATTGATAGAAGAAAAGGTGGGGACTTGTGAGGTCGGATCAAAAGGAAATACACGCAAAGAAAGTGGTTTTCAGAATGAACCGAGTCAAGACACTCACCATTCAGCAATGGCTAAAGTGCAGGCATCCGACTTCCGACCTACTAGCACCTCGGGTGAATCCCACAAGGAACATATTGCGTTATCCTACAGACCCAACCATCCTACCTCTCGTAGAAGAACGCCAGCTCAGCCTCCACAGACTCAACCATGCTCTCCGATGTTTTCAGCTCTCCGCAGCTTTTAGCTCAGAGTCAAAGGGCTGCATGCATACTGGGGGCGAACCAGTCATTCCCCATTGCAGTGTCTTACCTCTCATGGAAGAACGCCAGCTCGGCCTGCACAGACCCAACCATTCCCTCTGCTGCTTTCAGATCTGAGTCAAAGGTCTGCGTGCATAAAAGGGGGTAACTGTTCACTCCCCCATGGCGTTGCTGTGGTGTCGTAACATGGAAGAACGCCAGCTCGGCCTCCACAGATGCAAGCATGCTCTCTCCAATGCCCTCACCTCCGAGACAAGGGTCTCGGAGACAATGCTCTGTGTGCGAAATGGGGGGAAATATTCACTCCCACTCACCCCACAGTGGGAAATACCCACTACTGTGGTGTCTCACCTCTCATGGAAGAATGCGAGCTCGGCCTCCACAGAGGCAACCATGTTTTCCAACGTTTTCAGCTCCGAGTCAAAGGTCTGCATGCAAAGGAGGGGGAGGGGGAGGGGGGGGGTGAAGGGGGAGAAGACTGTTTAGCCACCATTCAAAGGTCTGTGTGTTAAGGGAGGAAAGGGTAGAACGTGTTTTGAAGATCTTTTGAGTCGACTCATTAATCACGGAGCCAACCATGTTCTTGGGGTGTTGAGCTCCAACTCAAGGGTCTGCTGCATGCAAAAAGTGGGGGAGACGCAAGAGTATTTCTTAGACCTGAAAAACCCTAAGCCCCGTTGAAAAACCCCGTAAGAAATACACACTAGAGTTCTAGCGATGGCACCTTCAGCGCTAAGACAACCCATAGCCTCCGAAACAGGTCAAGGTCCAGGAATCACATTTTTCTTGCTTTCTCACCTCAAACTTATCCCTTTTTAAGGAGGTGACTTTTGAGTCGACTCAAAAGTCACCTCGAATCACATCCTTCTTGCTTTCTCTCCTCCAACTTTTGCCTTTTTAAGCTTCTGAAAGATGCACCTCGTGCGGCTTGGCCACGCCACGCGCCATGGCTTTTGAGTCGACTCAGATGACTTTTGCGTCGACTCCAAGGTCAAAAGTCACTTCATGACTTTTGAGTCGACTCAGAAGCCACCTTCTTCCTGTCTCACCTCCAACTTCTCCTTTTTACGTTTCTGAAAGATGCACCTTGTAAGACTTGGTCACACGTCATGCCACGTCTAGATACAATTGGTTTTTTAGAATTCTTAAAAACCGCGTCTGACTTCTTCTGGTCTCCTCCCTCTATCCCACCTCCAGCTTTTCTCTCTGCTTCCCCCCTTCAACTCAATCTGCTACTTTTTGAGGCGTCTCAAAAATAGACTCCCCCCCCTCGCCTCAATCTGCTACTTTTTGAGGCGTCTCAAAAATAGACTCCCCCCCTCGCCTCAAACTGCTATTTTTTTAGGCGTCTCAAAAATAAACTCCCCCCCCTCGCCTCAATCTGCTCCTTATTTTTTAGGCGCCTGCAAAAACTGCTTCCCCCACAGGGTGTTCCCCCACACTGAGAATTCTCAAAAACACCCTGCAAAAGCTGCTTCCCCCTCTCACCTCAATCTGCTCCTTCTTGGGTGCTTCTGAGAGATGCGCCTCATGCGACTTGCCCACGCGCCAAGCCACGTCCAGCTTCCTTCTCTCCCTCGCTTTGCTGCGACCTGCCCGGGCACTCCCTGCTGCCGGCACATCCCTCTCTGTGCCTCTGAACGGAAAAGGGATACACAAACGGGTGTTTACACGACCAAGACTGATTTTCCCTGCGGTTGCAGGGGGAAAATCCCTTTTGCTGCGACCTGAACTGGCACTCCCTGCTGCTGGTACGTCCCTCCCAAGCGGCCCCTCACTCTCTCTCTGAACGGCAAGGGTAAGGGAGAGACGGAGGCTAGTAAGGACGTCCCTCTCTCCCCTTTGGAACGGGAAAAAATCAAACCCCCACTCGAGCACAACATTGGAATCACAACCACCTAGTTCCTCCTGTGCTGTGTTCCAAGGAGGCTTCATTGGGCACCCCATTGCCCCCCTTGCTGCGAGCTGCCTGCACGGCGACTCCATTGGGCATCCCATCGCCCCCCACCACACCCCATCTCACCCTGTCTCGCCCCATCGCACCCTGTCTCGCCCCATCTCACCCCACCTCACCCCATCACACCCCACCTCACCCCACCTCACTCAACCCATCTCACCCCATCAGACTCCATCACATCTCGGGACCCACCTAGACAGCCACGCACACAACTTGTGGTCGCCTGCATCCCCTGCCCTCAACCCAAACCAAAGTGCATCTCTGTCTGCCACTCCCGGTAGTCTAGCCGCTGCCCATCGTTGAGGCGCTTCAGTGATGGACTCCCCTGCACCATTGTTGCCTCCCTATAGCAACCCACCTGGACAGCCAGACGCACAGCGTGAAATCCCCCGGCTCCTCTGCCCTGAACCCACAGTGCCCCTCTGTCTGCCCCTCCCTGTAGTGTGCTGGCTGCCTATTTTTGAGGCGCCTAAAATTGGGATCCCATGCACCATTGTTCGCATCGCAATAGCAACCCACCGGGACAGCCACACGCACAGCGTGAAATCCCCCGCCTCGTCTGCCCTGAACCCAAAGTGCCCCTCTGTCTGCCGCTGCCCGTAATGCAGCTGCTTGCCTTCTGGCGAGGTCAGCTGTAAGGAGAAGAGAAGTGGAGGGAGGGGGGAAGGGGAAGCGGGGGGAGAGGGGAGGGGGGGGAGGGGAAGAAAAGGAAGAGTTATCGAGCCAAGCCAGAGCGCCCATCCATCTAGTTTTGAGGCGCCTCAAAACGAGCCAAGCCAGAGCGCCCATCCATCTGTCGTTCCCCGTAATGCAGCTGCTTGCCCCCTGGCCATGTCAGCTGTGAAGAGAAGAGAAGTGGAGGGAGGGGGGGGAGGGAGGGGGAGGGTCAGCTCTAAAGGGGGGGAGCCGGGAGAAGAGTTGGTGAGCCAGCCCAAAGCGCCCCTGTGTCTGCCTATTCCCAAATTGCAGCTGCTTGCCCCCTGGCGAGGCCAGCTGGGGGAGGACGGCCAGGGAAGGGGAGAGGGGGGATGGGAAGAGGGGGGAAGGAGAGAGGGGGGAAGGGGAGAGGGAAGGAGCATGTTGGTAAGCCAAACCATAAGTTCCCCTTCGTCTGGCGAGTGCCGCTCTGTTTGCCGCTCCCCATAGTGACGCTGCTTGCCCCCTGGGGAGGTCAGATGCAGGCAGAAAGGAAGTGGGGTGGGGGGTGGAGAGGATTTGACGAGCCAATCCAAAGTGCCTCTCTGCTTGACTTTCCCCGTAGTGCAGCTGCTTGCCCCCTGGCGAGGTCAGCTGTAGGGCGAAGGGAAGTGGAAGGGAGGGGTCGGGAAGCGGGAAGGGGTACCTTGAGGCGAGTCAAGGGAAGGGAAGGGGTGGAGAGGGGAGGGGGAGGGGAGTGTGGAGGGGAGTGCGGAGGGGTGTGGACGGGTGTGGATGACTTGAGACGTTTTTACATAAGACGGTATCAACTCACCTGCAGATGAACTTTAAAAGGAGGCTCGGCGTCTCCGTCCTCCGCACCCACCACGCGATACGAGCCTGCTACTAACGCGTATTTAGGGATCTCCTTCCCCACGCACTTGGCCTGCCGCGATACCTCCATTCGAAACGAGCTAATCGCCCGGACTCGCGGCGGATGGGACAGGAGGAGGGTTAGAAGTAGGAGTGTGTAGAAAGGTACTAAAACGAGATGACTTTTGAGTCGACTCAAAAGGAGTGTGTGGAACCGTCCTAAAACGTTCTTGGCCTGCCGCGATACCTGCGTTTGAAAGGAACTCATGGCGTCTGCTAGCGGCGGGTAGGGGAGGAGGAGAGTGAGAAATAGGATACAACGGAGCCTACGCATAGGAAGGACTATGTGATAGAGTGTAGTTTAGAGACGTCTCAAAGATACAACAGAACCTATGCATAGAGAGGAGGAGGATGAGGAGGACTATGAATTAAATTTGGGGTCGACGCCGCGCTGATGTTGTTGCCGGTGCTGTCGCCACATCCGTTCGTCGACATAGAGGTAACTTGGTAACCAGCCCATAGCTGTAGAGTAACTACGACCAAATGCGGCGGAGACTTACTGGAGAAAGCTCCGGAAAGGAGGTGAGACCATCCCCGCTAAGGTCGTGTCTTGACTCGGTCTTATAACGGAGCAAACCAACGTTCTTCCTATGCTTCCATGCATTGGTCGATTATTCAGGCCTCGTGTCCTACACGCTTTATGCGGTTCGAGCTGTCTCGCAGGCTGGAACAAATCCCTATGTCCGACAATCTCGATGCAAATTCGCAAGAAAAGATCGACAGTCACAATTCCTCCATGCCTGCTGATCAACACCAAATGCTCGAATCCCGAAATATGTTGGAACGCCCAGCTACACGAGCAACAAGACAATCAGCTCACCTATCAAACCTCCGCTTTTGAATTACCCGGCACAAGACATAACAGTTCATAACAAGGCATATATACAAAGGCTATGTACATAGCTGCAGACGAAAAGCAATTGTTTTTTGCTACTAGTGTCCTCTATGCACATCAAATACTTGCAGCCAGGCTCTCTGCAGCAAGTCTGGATTTGTTTGCCTGCAATTGAAGGTTGTATCGCTGGCCTCGCACTACAGCGTACATCAAATCAGGAGATATGTAGTCGCAGGTGCGTTCAATTCGAAACGGCTCGCCAGGAATCTGCCAACCAAACAAAACGGGGAATTAAAGCCAGCGATTCGCACAGAAAATAACAGCACCCCTTCCCCTGCTGTCCCCTTCCCCTTCCCTACAAGTGGAATATACATGGTGCGCATACACATGCTACTTAAGGCCATTTTCACCTGATTTCCAGAGTGTATCTGCACACCCGTGACGACTGCATAGTCGGCGGTAGCAGGGTCCACCGTCAGCGATATAAGCTTCTCCAGGTCCTCGTTAATAGTAGCCAGTGCCGCCCGCGTTACCTGTACAAGTGACAGAGGCGGGCCGCCATTGGTCACCTGTTACGGAAGGGGAATTGATAATTGACGAGAAAAAAAACGAAATTGAAAAGAGGGGATTGGTCGGAGCGGGGTGTGGGGGGGGAGAGGGGGAGGGAGGGAGGGAGAAACTACCAGGAAAGAAACAGAGCTTGATTGATCGCACAACAATGGACGGTATGTCGCCTTACCTTGCTGATGACCTTTTTCTTCAGCAGCACATACTCCTCGTCGAAAAGGCCCTCCTTGCTCTCTTTCTGGTAACCCGACATACGCACACACACTTTCCAAAGTAGGTAACCCCATGTTGTGTTACCTTGCTGGAGACTTTTCTCTTCAGCAGCACATACTCCTCGTCAAAGGGGTCCTCCTTGCTCCCCTTCCCCTCATTCAAATCGCTCTGAATGGCGATCAGCGCGCCGCATGCACTGGACGGCCGCCCCCTGCCTCGTCGCAGTAAAGAGCCCACCTCGCCCGACTCGCCGATGGACACGTGGGGGAAGGCGAAGAAGATGTCTGGAATGGGAGAAGAGGGCAGGGAGGGAGAGGTAAGAGGGGGCAATCAACGAGGAAGAAGGTGTCCGCAGTGAAAGAGGGAGGGAAGGAGAAAAAAACGGGGAGGAAAGAGAGAGGGAAGGAAAGAAAGAAAGGGGAGGAAAGAGGAAAGACAGGGGAGGAAAGAGAGAGGGAAGGAAAGAAAGAAAGGGGAAGAAAGAGGAAAGAAAGGGGAGGAAAGAGGAAAGAACACCACTTGGTGGTAGTTTTAGCCATACGTGGCAGCGGGCTGGTCAAACACTTATCGTTTGGCAGAGAAAAATTCTTGCTCTGAAAAAACTCTCTTGAATTTGAAGGGGAGGAAAGAGGAACTGACAGAGAGGTGTACGAAGGCTCTGGACAGTCAGCCTCTGGCTCTGGACAGTCAGCCTCTGGCTCTGGACAGTCAGCCTCTGGCTCTGGACAGTCAGCCTCTGGCTCTGGACAGTCAGCCTCTGGCTCTGGACAGTCAGCCTCTGGCTCTGGACAGTCAGCCTCTGGCTCTGGACAGTCAGCCTCTGGCTCTGGACAGTCAGCCTCTGGCTCTGGACAGTCAGCCTCTGGCTCTGGACAGTCAGCCTCTGGCTCTGGACAGTCAGCCTCTGGCTCTGGACAGTCAGCCTCTGGCTCTGGACAGTCAGCCTCTGGCTCTGGACAGTCAGCCTCTGGCTCTGGACAGTCAGCCTCTGGCTCTGGACAGTCAGCCTCTGGCTCTGGACAGTCAGCCTCTGGCTCTTGACAGTCAGCCTCTGGCTCTGGACAGTCAGCCTCTGGCTCTTGACAGTCAGCCTCTGGCTCTTGACAGTCAGCCTCTGGCACTTGACAGTCAGCCTCTGGCACTTGACAGTCAGCCTCTGGCTCTTGACAGTCAGCCTCTGGCACTTGACAGTCAGCCTCTGGCACTTGACAGTCAGCCTCTGGCTCTTCGAGGCAGCAAGCCCACCTCGACTGACACACTGATAGACACGTGGGGAATTCGACAAGGGGCCCTTAAAGCCTGCCTTGCCGCAAATCCATAAGCCCCCCCTGGCCTGAGAGGTTGGCAATCACCTGGCGTTGCCACCACACTCACACCCCCCATTCACACTCACGCCCCCCATGCACACTCACGCCCCCCATGCACTCACACCCCCCATGCACACTCACATCCCCCATTCACACTCACATCCCCCATTCACACTCACACCCCCCATTCACACTCACACCCCCCATTCACACTCACATCTCTCTCGCACAGAACCATCGGGCAAGTGCGGCATGGCGGCCTTAAAGCCCATCGTGCTGCAGTTCACCAGCCCTCCCTCCCAGGCCCGAGAGGTTGAAGGGCCGTCCAAATTGCCACACTTTGTCACACTGTGCCACAGGAAAATTACCCGCAAATTCACCTTGTACTCACATCTCTCTCGCACCGAACCGTCCGGCTCGTGAAACTCAGGCGAGTGCGACATGGCGGCCTTAAAGCCCGTGGTGCCGCAGTTCACCAGCCCTCCCAGCCCTGAAAGGTTGAACGACAGCCCGAACTGCCGGTCTATCAGGCTCACGATCGGGCGGCACACTTCGTCGCGACATGTGTTGACCAGAGCAATGCTGTTGGTCCTGTGGGGATGGGGTCGAGGGGGAGAGGGGAAGAACAGGTGTTGGAGGAGTGGAGGTGCATAAGTGGAGCAGGAAAAGCAGAGGGGGCGATATAGTTGTTGGAAGCAAGAAGCATGTGGCAAAGGTAGCTACAAACGACTAGAGTGTGAGAAACTTTAATTTTAACCATGCAAGAGGAAATACATGTTCGTTCACCTCTTAAAGCCCAGCTTGCTCAGCTCCTTACCTCTTAAAGCCCAGCTTGCTCAGCTCCTCACTAATTAAAGCCCAGCTTGTTCAGCTCCTCACCTCTTAAAGCGCAGCTTGCTCAGCTCCTCACCTCTTAAAGCCCAGCTTGCTCAGCTCAGCAGCCACCGCCCTCAGAAACGCCTCCTCCTGCATGGCCCGGGGGAAGGTGGCCGCCATTGCTGCCAGTGCCGCTGGTGCCGCCTGCAAGGTAAAGCGGTGGGGCATGGGAGCATGGGCATGTGGGGGGAGCGACAATGAGAAGCGCCTCCTCCTGCGTGGCCCGGGGGGAGGTAGCCGCCATTGCTGCCAGGGCTGCAGGTGCCGCCTGCAAGGTTGGGAAGAGATTGAGAGAGGGGGCAGTGGGGGGGGAGGGGGGAGGGGGGAGAGGAAGGGTGACGAGGGAGCATTGGTTTACTGTTCAGATGATTGAGAAGGGAATCTCATTGTGTTTTAGGAAAAGCCTAACCTTACGAAAAGCTTAAACTTGCGGTGGCCGTGTTTCAAGACGTCTTAAAAAATACTTTACTTACGCTTGTAGCACGCGGGACGATCCCGCTGGGAGGACCCAGTGGAATCATGGGCCGGATCGCGGAGGGTGATAAGGCGTTTCGCAGCGCGAGATACGCAGCCGACCCCAGCGTCCCAGCCAGGAGCGACGAGGCGGCGATGCTGCTGCTGCTGCTGTTCGCGAGCGATTTCGCAGGTGTTACCAACGACGCTGGAAGCGGGGCTTGCGAAACGCTGGCTAAGTGCTGCTGCTCGGGCGAAGAGCCTTGCGAAGGGAAGGTGGTGTTCGCTGAATCGCGACAGGCCGGAGGTCCAGAGGAGGCGCCGGCGACGTGTGCAAAGACGGACGTGCGCGAGGGATGTGCGACGTTGCAAGAGATTATACGGCCACTCGGGGCTGCGACATGCGAAGGAAAACGGGGGAAGGGGAAATCTGAGAGAGGAGATTTGCTTGAGCGAAAAGATAAACCTGAACGACGCAACGCCACTGGAGTCATTCTCGAGCGACGCAGCGCTGGTTTCTCAAGACTTATTCGAAATTCCTGAGAGAGGAAATGATGTGCTTGAGCGTCGCACGCATCGGCAATATCAAGGACTGGTTTCCGAATGGCATATTTACAACGCAGCGTGGGCCCTATTCTGCTTCCTGAGTTGTTTTGAAACGCTTCAAGACAAAATTCCCCTAGCATCAGCCATGGAGTCATTTTATCACCCAGGATTTTGGAGTATCGCCGTTGCGGTGAAGAAATCCACGACTACCAATCCATGTGGGCAACATAGCGCCGGCGATGTGAGAGCAGAAAGGCGTGATATCAATCTAATCTTGAGACGCAAGCCTGGTGACACCAGATAGTTAACTAGGTGACTGACTCGTGTGCTACCTGTCCACGTAGGCAGCATAACGCCGCCGGTGATGTGAGAGCGGAAGGCGCGGGGGTGGGGCGCTGCGAGAAAGGACGACGCGAGCGACGCGGTCATCCTCAGATACGCACCAGGCGGGCGAGCCAGGGCTGCGTCACGAAGACCCACAATATCACGGAGCTACCCGCCGATTAGCGGAACTACGGAAATTAGGGAATCAATGAATTAGACAATTACGGAATTTGAGAGATATTAAAAAAAAACGCGTTACTATTGCCAGATATTAAGAAGAAGAAGAAGAAAAACGAATCGCCGAGTGAAGAGCAACGCCAAGTGCACGCTCCAAACAGCGGAAAAACAATGGTGATGGAGGGAGCAGCATGCTAATTGAAAGAGCATGAATTCTGCGAATTGCAGAAAGGGAAGTGGAGGGGGTGCTTGGATGCACAGAGCGCTGAAATTGAAGACAAATCAGTTTCTTGCGGGCGTCATGGGATGCGATGCGAGCCCTGACATTCATCTCAAATGTCACGAAACCGAAGCTTAGTATTCTTGTACCGTTCTAAAACCAATACAAACCTAATGCACCGCTCATTGATTTGAAAGGCGGAGGGGTACATTTGGACAGAACAGAACATTCCATCGTGGCTCGGTCATCCGGCACGCTTGGTTGTCATGCCTGACGCGCCAGTCAGGGAGTAGCACGTGGCAGCTGTAACGTGCCGGATGAAAGTCGACGGAAAATGTGGGCAGGGAGAGATCGCTCATGGTGGGTCTACGAAATTGACGAGGAATCCACGTCAATGGGCTGCTTGCTGGTGTAAGCAGCTTCTTTATAAGTTATGGTCGTGGTACTCCTTTGTGACTCTTAATTTCACCTGCAAGGACATACAAGAGACCCTCTTGAATGCGATTATTCAAAATGCAAGGAACGTAACTTGTACAATGAGCACAAGAGGCGAGCTCCCATCTACAAATCGAGGGCATAATTGTTTATTAAGGTACGATTTAAAAGACAGGTACAGTTACCTCTCCTACAGTCCAGCTTCTAGCCTTCTTATAACAGCCATCAGCATCTCCTTCCTATTGAGCCGATACTGGACTGCAAGCAACCGTTGCGGCGACAAAACCTGCCCCCGGAACTTACACTGCATCTCCCCCTCCCTTCCCAATTCCCCTCCACTCCCATCCTTCTCACCACCACCGCCACCACCAGCACTGCTGCTGCTGCTGCCAGGACCACTGTTGCCAACTCTCCTGGCTCCAGTCCCATCCACCCCTCCATCGCTTCCCAGAAGTTTCCCTCCCGCCCGCTCCACATCCCGCAGCAGCCACCAGTCATAGTGCGCAGGTGTGGCCATGCCAATCATCAGCTCGCGGCACCGCCTCACTATAAGCAGCTTCACATACTCCGCTGCTGCCACGGCCGCCTCATCCTCTGCGGCTTTCGCTGCTTTGAACGCTGCTTTCCTTGCATCCCCAGATGCTGCTGCAGCTGTAGAGCCATCCCGTGGCTGCACCTCTCCGTCATCCCCCAATTCATCCTCCCCATCATCCCCTGCGGACTCCGTTGACTCTGTTGACCCAGCCCCTCCGACACCATCACTGCGGCACACTACCCTCCATGCCTTAGTTCGGCAACACCTTGGCCACAGCAAACCCGCTTTCCCCTCCCCCCCAACCCCCCCACTCCCCCAACCAACCCCACTCTTCCCCTCTCTCCTCCATCCAGGGGGGCACCTAGGAAACGCACCAGCAGGGAGCGTCCGGTTCGGCGCCGAAGCTGCAAACCGGGCCGCCGAAGCAAGTGCGGCGAGCAGGCTCGGGTCGATCCTCCCAGCCGGGCGTACGTCCGGACCTGCCCGGTACGGCAGCACCTCGTAGCCAAACGCGGCCCAGCTGTTCATCAGGTCCCACCAGAGCGACCGATCCCTCTCAAACCCCCTCGAGGCCTCGTGCGACGAGGGCCGGTCGAGGGCGGCGCGGGCGCGTTTCCAGGCCTGGGTGAAGGAAACGAGAGAGCAGGAGGTGGCTGCTGCCGAGGCAACAGCGGCAGATGCAGCGGAGGAGGACGCGCCTGCGATGGCTGCAACCGCCATGTGGCGCTGGAGGGAGTCGGAGCGGCAGTCCATGTAGAAGCGGTCGAGTAACCAGCGCACACTGTCCTCAAAGGTGGGGAAGAGCGAGAGGCTGTCGAAGGGGTTGTTGTCTAGGATGAAGCCTGCCCACAAAAGGGAGAACATGGGTTTGGACAGTCGATTTTAATGGGGGTCTATGGAAGTCAGCGGAGGAAAATGACGGCCATGTGGCACAGGAGCGAGTCGGAGCAGCAGTCCATGTAGAAGCGGTCGGGTAACCAACGGACGCTGTCCTCAAAGGTGGGGAAGAGTGAGAGGCTGTCGAAGGGGTTGTTGCCTAGGATGAAGCCTGCCCACAGAAGGGAGAACATGGGGTTGGACAGTCGATTTCGATGGGTGTCAATGGAAGTCAGCGGAGGTGAATGATGGCCATGTGGCGCTGGAGGGAGTTGGAGCAGCAGTCCGTGTAGAAGCGGTCGGGTAACCAACGGGCGTTGTCGATTTCAACGGGTGCCAATGGAAGTCAGCGGAGGTGAATGACGGCCATGTGGCAATGACAGTTATGTGTGCCATCACACTGACCACAGTAGAGGAAGAACACATGCCACCGTGACATTGCAATCATAGCAATCACACCCACCATAGTAGAGAAAGAGGTTTTCGTTGCTGCGGGGGCCAAACGAGGTGAACAGCTGCTCGCCCTTCTTCGCTGGCCGCTTCAGTCGGATCTCCAGCACCCCCTCGGATGAGACAGGCCTTGCCATCCAGTCCATCTTGGTTGGGGAATGGGATTGGGAAGAGGGGGGAGGGCGAGCGGGGGGGAATACCAAGAGAAGCGAGACGCGAAATAAGCTTCTTGGCTGAGCGCCTCAGACGGATCTCCAGCACCCCCTCGGATGAGACAGGCCTTGCCATCCAGTCCATCTGGAAGAGAGTGATGGGCGGGAGAAGGGGAGGAGGGGAGGAGGGGAGGAGGGGAGGAGGGGAGGAGGGGAGGATGGTGGGGTGTTGTGTTGGGGCCAAGCAGGGCAAGATGAGCCAGATTGACCTCATGCTGACTCACAGGGCTCGGTTGCTGACTCACACGGCTCTGTTGCTGACTCACATGGTTGTTGTAATGATGGTTGATCGCATCCATGAACGGCATCATCACAAACTGCTCAAACTTGCCGCCCGGCTTGACTGGCAGGGTGAAGGCCCGGCTGTGGACCATTGAGACGGCCCACTCTGGGAGGAAGGGAGGGAGGGAGGGTAGGAAGGGGAGGGAATGCATGTGAGGGAGGCGAGTGTATGCAGATTTTAGTGGGAAGGTGAAGGCCCGGCTGTGAACCATTGAGACCGCCCATGCTAGGAGGGAGGGACGGGAGGGGAGCGAGAAGCGAGAGAAGGAGAGAAAGAGCGAGATAGAATATGTATTTTCGCAGGGAGAGTAATGCATGGCTGTGGACCATTGGGACTGCCCTAAGAACCCTTAACCCTAAGCCTTAAACCCTCAACCCGAACTTAGAGATCCAACTCGAACTTTTTTGGTTGATCCAAGTGCAATCATTCCAACTTGATCCATAAACTTACTGTACTCATCAAAGGAAAGGTTGGGATGAGTGGAATCGTGGTGCTTGTGGTAAGTCTCTCGGATCTCCTCATTCATCCGCTTCACCTGCTCCAGGGTCGACGCCCACTGCACCTCGCCCTCCTCCTGACAAAATAACACAGCAACACAATATAAATGCGCAGCACAGCGGTGCAGCAGGGGGGAAAGCAGCGCACACAAATAAGCCCTATGTGCTCGTGCTATGTCTTGACTTTTGAGGCGCCTCAAAAGTCACACAAATAAGCCCTATGTGCTCGTGCTATGTCTTGTTGTTTTTTTCCAGGTCAGTTCGTTTCACCAGCTCCGGGTTCGATGCGAAGTGCACCGTCTCTTACCTTCTGCACATAAGAACAGCAGCAGGGGAAAGACAGCAAGACAGCATGGCAAGAAGCCCCTTGTGTGTGGGGGGTACATCTCGTTGGTTTCCTGGTTTAAGAGATGGGACTTATGCATACATCAACTGTGTCTTGGTCTCAGATCAGAATGAACTGTGAAACCAATTGTGCACACTGGGGTGGCCGACAGTGGCCAGTTCACCCTTGAAGTTACCTTCATACAAGCCAGAATACCTTAAAACAACGGCAAACTCCTTCTGTCAACTGTCGAATTTGCACGGGCTTACCTCAGGAGGGAGGAAGATGGGGAGAGGAACGGAAGGAGGCAGGGAGCGGATGTAGGGTGCCCAGGGAGAGGCGTCGCCCTTTGCTCTGAGGGGTGTAAGTGAGAGGTAGGAGTGGGTACAAGTGAGCCAAGGGGTGGGAGCAGGTTTCAAGTCCAGGAACAGCCTGCCCTGAGCAGGTTGGGAAGGCCAGGGCGGCAGGGAGGGGATGTAAGGCGCCCAAGGGGATGCGTCGCCCTTTGCTCTGAGGGGTTACAATGCGGAGGTGGGTGTGTGAGATTAATACATGAATATATCAATTCAGGAAGATTATTCAAGGACGAAGGGAGCGAGGTAGCGAGCAGACGTAGGGCGCCCTGCATGCGCCCTTTGCTCTGAGGGGTTATGTCGGGCGCCCTACATGCGCCCTTTGCTCTGAGGGGTGATGTCGGGCGCCCTACATGCGCCCTTTGCTCTGAGGGGTGATGTCGGGCGCCCTACATGCGCCCTTTGCTCTGAGGGGTGATGTCGGGCGCCCTACATGCGCCCTTTGCTCTGAGGGATGATGCCGGGCGCCCTGCATGCGCCGTTTGCTCTGAGGGGTGATGTCAGGCGCCCTACATGCGCCCTTTGCTCTGAGGGGTGATGTCGGGCGCCCTACATGCGCCCTTTGCTCTGAGGGGTGATGTCGGGCGCCCTACATGCGCCCTTTGCTCTGAGGGGTGATGTCGGGCGCCATACATGCGCCCTTTGCTCTGAGGGATGATGCCGGGCGCCCTGCATGCGCCGTTTGCTCTGAGGGGTGATGTCGGGCGCCCTACATGCCCCCTTTGCTCTGAGGGGTGATGTCGGGCGCCCTACATGCGACCTTTGCTCTGAGGGGTGATGTCGGGCGCCCTACATGCGCCCTTTGCTCTGAGGGGTGATGTCGGGCGCCCTACATGCGCCCTTTGCTCTGGGGGGTGATGTCGGGCGCCCTACATGCGCCCTTTGCTCTGAGGGGTGATGTCGGGCGCTCTACATGCGCCCTTTGCTCTGAGGGGTGGTGTCGGGCGCCCTACATGCGACCTTTGCTCTGAGGGGTGATGTCGGGCGCCCTACATGCGCCCGTTGCTCTGAGGGGTGATGTCGGGCGCCCTACATGCGCCCTTTGCTCTGGGGGGTGATGTCGGGCGCCCTACATGCGCCCTTTGCTCTGAGGGGTGATGTCGGGCGTTCTACATGCGCCCTTTGCTCTGAGGGGTGGTGTAGGGCGCCCTACATGCGCCATACAAATCCCTCATACGAAGCCCTTTGCTCTGAGGGGTGGAGGGGTGGGCGAGGGGGTGACCCCTACACCCCTACAGGCTGCGGGGGGCTGTAAAAGCCCGTGGTGAGCCCTAACCCCAAACCACCCCTTAGCTTTGACGGCACAGTTTCGTCTATTAGAATATTAAAGAACTGGCTTTGACGAAGAGGTGCAGATGGGAGGTGGAATTGGAGATGGCAGGATAATGGGGGGTGGTGCGTATGGTTGACAGCTTTCAGTACAAGAATGGCGATTCTCTCCCTTATGCTCGCTTCGAAGTTCCAACCTCTTCCCCCTCATTTCCCAGCATTCAAGCACTCACCTCTCTTCAAGTGTTCGCAGGGCCACCACATCCCACCCATGCTTCTTCTCAACACCGCCAATCCCACCAGCAGCTGCAGCCTTCCCCTGTAGCACCCTCTGCCGCAGCTCCCTCATCCTCTCCTGCACGCTCCTGCGTATTCTCCCAATCATCCTCTCCCAATCATCCTCTCCCTCATCCTCTCCTTCGTCCTTTCCCTCGTCCTCTCCCTCGTCCTCTCCCTCGTCCTCTCCCTCGTCCTCTCCCTCGTCCTCTCCCTCGTCCTCTCCCTCGTCCTCTCCCTCGTCCTCTCCCTCGTCCTCTCCCTCGTCCTCTCCCTCGTCCTCTCCCTCGTCCTCTCCCTCATCCTCTCCCAATCGTCCTCTCCCAATCGTCCTCTCCCTCATCCTCTCCCTCGTCCTCTCCCTCGTCCTCTCCCTCGTCCTCTCCCTTGTCCTCTCCCTCGTCCTCTCCCTCATCCTCTCCCAATCATCCTCTCCCAATCGTCCTCTCCCAATCGTCCTCTCCCTCGTCCTCTCCCTCGTCCTCTCCCTCGTCCTCTCCCTCATCCTCTCCCTCACAATCTCCCCCATGCTCCCTCCCCATTCCCCCCTCGTTTCCCAGCACTCAAGCACTCACTTCTCTTCAAGTATTCGCAGGGCCACCACGTCCCATCCACGCTTCTTCTCTGCTCCACCAATCCCAGCAGCAGCAGCCTTGCCCTGCAGCACCCGCTGCCGCAGCTCCCTCATCCTCTCCCTCATGCTCCCGCCTCCTTTCCCCCCCTTCGCGCCTTCTGCATCCCCCACTGCCCCTCCTCTCCCACCTGCGGCCTCTGAGTCCCCTTCCTGGCTGGTGTTGGACCAGAGGGCCAGAGACATCTGCGAAATAGGCAGGTGGGGGAAGGGAGGTGCAGTGGTTAACATGCTAGATAAACGGGTTAAGCAGCCTTCCTTCTAGCCCCCTTGGCCCCTCCTGCTAATACCTCTGAGCTTCCTTCCTGGCTGACGTTACCTCTGATAATAGTAATCTGAAACGTAGACAGGAAGGAAAACCTTTCAGTCATCTGAAACGTAGACAGGAAGGAAAACCTTTCAGTCATCTGAAAGGTAGATGGCTATTATTAGATACATCTGCCTGTCTCTTCCGGGTTGCAGCAATAAGAAGCCATGAGCCATGAAGTAACCAGTATCTTGCATAACGTCTCTCCCGCCCACCTCACGCCCTCACACCACCCAGACGCACCCCTCCACTCCACTCCCTTTCGTTTATAGCAAGCTAAAAGAAGACGTTCTTAACAACACTAGCAAACCGCAACACTCACCGGTATCCTGCACAGCGTGTCTCCTGCCTCCATATCCCCCTCTGCCACCAGCCCTCGCACCAGACGCACCACCCCGCTCCCTCCCTTCTCCCCCTTTCCCCCTTTCTTATCCCCCCTGCCACCGCCACTGCTGCTGCTGCCACTGGCCTTCGTCCCAGACCCAGCAGCGCCACTAGTGGTCCTTATAGCGGGGCTGTCTGTAGCGGATTCGAGAGGCTCTGGGGGGATGTCTGGTGTAAGTTTGATTCGTGCCTTGGGGGCCAGGTACAGGCCGTGGGATGTTGCCCATGCTAGGAACTGGGGGATTGGGAAGTGGTGTTGTTGGGGGGTGGAAGGGGAAGGGAGAGTGAACGTGAAAGGGATGTGAGCTGATATTTCAACCTTGGTGGAGAGGTGGTGTGGAGAGGTGAAGACTGGTACGGAGTGGTGGAGAATGGAAAGAGCTAGGGCGCTTAACAGTGGGGATTTCGGAGAGGAAAGGGGGAGGGGGGAGCGTGGCAGCGTTTCGAGTCGACTCTCGAGAGCCGTGGGGGAAGAGAAGGATATGGCTGGAGGAAACAGGACAGCTTTTGAGGCGCCTCAAAAGGATATGGTTGGAGGAAACCGGACAGAAGCATCATGGATGGTTGTAGCACTGATGGGAGCTTTTGACCTTTGGGTTGACTCAAAAGGGAAGCATATGGCTGGAGGAAACAGGACAGCTTTTGAGGCGCCTCAAAAGGATATGGCTGGAGGAAACAGGACAGAAGCATCATGGACGGATGTAGGGAAGTAGCAGTGATTGGACCTTGTTGAGGGTGTGCACTTGTACGTTTCTCACCTTGTCGTTGGAGTATGAAGCTAGGCTGTGATAGGTTTTTGACCTAGTCTCAAAAACATATCACAGAGACAGAAGCATTCTGGCTATAGCAATGATTGTAGCTTGTTGAGGGTGTGCACTTGTACGCTTCTTTCTTACCTTGTCGTTGGAGTTTGAAGCTATGCTTCTCACTTGTCTTCGACGCTTCTCACCTTGTCGTTGGTGTCTTTTGAGAACGGAGATGGTGTGGAGGCGTGCAGGGGGAGAACGGAGGAGGGGAAGGAGCAGCAAGGGTGTTGAGTTTGCTCAACAGAATACGCACTTGTGTGCTTCTCACCTTGTCGTTGGTGTCTTTTGAGAACGGAGATGGTGTGGAGGCGTGCAGGGGGAGAATGGAGGAGGGGAAGGAGCATTCCACCCCTTCCTGTGGTGCAGGGAAGCATCAAAGGACAAATTCAGGCAGGGGGATGAGCATCGAGAGCAGGAGCGAGGGCTTTGAGAACTCTCACATGCTAGTTTTTTTACAAAAGCTCACACAGAAGGTCAAATGGAGGCAGGGGGGTGAGCATCGATAGCAGGAGCGAGGGAAACGCGGAAGGGGAGGGAGGAATAGAGAGAAGCAGAAGGAGAAGGAGGAGGGGAAGGAGCATTCCACCACTTCCTGTGGTACGAGGTAAGCATTACATGAAAAACGCTGGCAGTTGGGTAAGCATTACGTGAAAAACGCTAGTAGCTGTGTAATCGTTACAGGAAAGACGCTAGTAGTTGGGTAAGCATTACAGGAATAATGCAGGTAAGTGTGAAAGCAGTGGAACAGGGGTGAGCGACGGTTTGAAGAGGGAAGAAAGTGTGCTTTTGAGTCGACTCAAAAGAAGAGGGAAGAAAGTGTGCTTTTGAGTCGACTCAAAAGAAGAGGGAAGAAAGTGGATGCAGGTGAAGTCGCGGCAAGTTGGCAACGCAGACGAAGGGGGAAGATGGAAGAGGAGGGAAAAAGGGGGAGGAGGGGAAAAGAGGGAGGAGGAGGAGGAGGAGGAGGAGGAGGAGAAAGAAAGGGTCCAGAAGAGAGGAAAGAACGGACTGACTTGGAGCTTAACTTGAGTGAACAGGTAGAGAACGGACTGACTTGGAGGGACGGGAGACAGAGACAGGAGAAGAAGGAATGAGAGCAGCGGGGATTCAATGGTCAACGTGCGACGAGCACAAGGAATTCGAACGGGAAGCATGACATGAATTCGCCCGGAAGAGCTGCAGGAGATTCAAAGATAGGGTGGACTGACATGGAGCTGGAACCGAGAGAAGAGGTAGAGGCCATGGGCGGCAAACAGGGATTCGGGAAGCATGAATAGCGTGCGCGGAGCAGAAGAAATGGCAGGGATTCGTCCGGAGGAGCAGCAGGAGATTCAACGATAGGGTGGTGGACTGACGTGGAGTTTGAACTGTGAGACAAGGTACACAAGAACTGTGAAGGTGGCCATGGACCACGAACAGACACACAAGAACTCCGATTCCATTGGAGACGAGTGACATTGTATCGGAGTTCGGAGTTCATCTTGTGAATGGGAGAGCGAACCGACACACAAGAGAAATGGGAGAAGTATGCAAGAGCAGCGGTGATTCAATGGGACGAGCGGAAAGGGGTATAGCGGACTGACATGGAGCTTGAATCGAGTGAAGAGATAGAGGCCATGGACGGCAAACAGTGACACGATGACTATCAGGATCGTGCGACGCCGTCTGTGCAGCAGCGACATCCACGACGCCCTGCGACGCCTCCGAGGCGACAAATGAACGTCTTGGAAAGTTCCCATGAGCGAATGCTCTTATATCGAGACTCGAAAAAGGGCGACTGATTTATCTGAGCGAGCCCGAGTGGCAGCGCGATGGCTTCATGAACACACTGGATCCCGCCGAAACGACCCTTTGTCGGCTACACCATGGCATCGCTAGCCAGGGTCCCGTGCTCGTTCTCCGCCGAAGCCTATTCTGCAACTGCAACTCTAATCGCGAGTTTGGCGTGGTTGCTCCTGCCTTCAGATTTCGCAACAGATTTGAGAAGGACCTTGATGCGATCACGTGCGAAGGCAAACGGATAGGAATGCTGAGGTGATTGCTGTACTCTACATAAACTGTACCATATTCTGTTCACTTTATAGCAGCTGAACATAAATATGGAGCCATTGTAATCCTATATGTTCTATCATTCCTTCACATAGACCCTCTTCTGCTTACCAGTAGCCCCATTTCTAGCCCTGTAAGACGCAATGTATCTTGCTTCGTGCCCTCAATCAACAGTAGCAAAAACAGAAAAGCCAAGCAAACACGTTTTGAGAAACATGTAAATGTCAATATGGTCAATGCCAATGTCAGTACGACTCAACACTCTGCCCAACCCCTACAGTAAACATGGAGACAGGGAGAAAATATAGCATGAGCGTTGCCACACCCTAAACCCTTGTTGCAGTCCCTTGTGCTGTATGCAGCATCTCTCCTCTTGTAGCCATACGACATGAGCCTGCCATGCCTTTGGGCGCGCTCTCAAACGTCCATCCGCCTCTAAGTCTGCCCGAACCATCTACCTCCCTTGCACCTTTTAATTTACCCGTCTCCTTCCCCTTCACCTTGGCTATCTCCTAGGCTAGCAGTCGAGCTTGTTTGTGGCCCAGTGGTCTCTTTGGCAGTCCCGGGTCTTTGACAGGCCACCTGGCTATACCCCCAACATTCGCGCATTTGCCTCAACTTGCATTTGAGACACCCAAGACCTAGGCTGGCATTGAGGCTCGTGCGCGGCCCAGTGCGTTCACTGGTAGTTGTAGAGAAGCTAGGCTAGGAGGAAAGCCATGGAAATGGCGTGAGGGTTTAGGAGCTAGGAGAAAATGTCGAGAGAGAAGAGAGTGAGGTTAGAAGAGAGAGGGATACAAGGAGGGAGTTGTGCCCTCTACAGTAGGTTTCAGCAAGGTAGCACACCTACCAAGCCTAAACAAATAATGATATAAGTATATAATTTGAGAGTAGTCCCCGCCGCAGTAGGCAGCCTGGCCGCACCTCGTCGGGTTGTCATGCATCCATACCACCTAAGATCTAGGCTGGCACAAGAGCTTGTGCACAGCCCAGTGTGCCCCCTGACAGTCCATGCCGCTGTAGTTAGGCAACCTGGCCTCTGCTACCTCCTAGGCTGGCAATGGAGCTTGTGCGCGGTCCAGTGGGCACTTTGGCAGTCCCAGTCGCAGTAGGCTGCCTGGCCGCACCCCGAGCATGCCTTCAGCCGCGGTCTCCCCGCCCTCTCCGCCCTCCCACACCCCGAAAACGCACAGCAACAAGCCCCTGCTGCCGCCGCCGCCACTGCTTCTCCTGCTACTCCTTCTCCTACTTCTTCTCCTGCTGCTGCTGCCGCTCCTCCTCTCACATCCGAGGCAACAGTAGAAGAACCTGCCCAGGGTGTTGCTCCCGCACACCTCCCCCCCTCTGAGAGCTCCCAGTGGCATGTCTCCCCCAGCAGCATGTCCCTCACACACGCAAAGGGATTCACACCCCCTACCCAGGGCACAAGGTAAGCAGGTGCAATCTTCACCCCCTCTCCCACTTCACTCTCTCCCCCACCACCACCAACACCAGCAGCAGCAGTAACAACAGTAGTCCTAGCACCATCAACACCAACAGCAGCACCAGTAGCAGCAATCATCTTATCCACCAGCGCCCTCTCTTCCCTCCTTGTAATCTTCCCACAGTCCCTCGCCTTCCGCCTCATTTCCTTACAGCAATCCCGCACCTGCTCCTCCGCCCGAGTAGCAGGCCAGCTATGCACCTCCTCATGCATCATCTCCACCACCGGCCACGCTCTCACCACTGCATTCCACCACGTGTTCACCTCCTCCCACATCCACCACTCCCCCAGCTGCACCTCCTCCTCAGTCCACACCACCCCGTCTCCCCGCTTCAGCTCCATGCCATCGTTCACCCCGCCCTCTCGGGACAGCAGCACTGATGCAGTGTAGAGGAAATGCAGGTGCTTCTGCTTCAACACCCCTTCCAATAGGGGGGTCGCGAGCCTGTATGGCACCAGGTCTGGTAGGGGGGGGATGGCCAGAGATTTCAGGAGGTCTTTTACCTGGGGGAAGCGGGGAGGGGGTAGAGAGAAAGGGTGCATTAGAGAATAGCATGGATGCGATGCAGAGGAAACGCAGCCGCTTCTACTCCAACACCCCTTCCAGCAGAGGACAGAGGAGGGGCATTGTAACCAGAGGGTTTTCCATTTGACCCAGGAAAGGGATACCCACCAAAATCAGTAGGTCTCTCACCTGACAGGAGCGCGGGGCAGGCGGTAAAGTGAGAGGAAGAGGCAGCGGAGCAGCAGCACCAAAGAAGGCTAGAAGGCGAAAGAAGCCACAAGGGAGGCGGGGGTGTGCTTTCTAGGTGCCTAAAAAACGGTCCCTCACCTGCGTGGAGCGCGGGCGGTAGAGCGAGAGGATGCAGTGGAAGAGGACAGAGGAGGGGCATTGTAACCAGAGGGTCTAGTAGGTCTCTCACCTGAGTGGAGCGCGGGCGGTAGAGCGAGAGGATGCAGTGGAAGAGGACAGAGGAGGGGCATTGTAACCAGAGGGTCCAGTAGGTCTCTCACCTGAGTGGAGCATGGGCGATAGAGCGAGAGGATGCAGTGGAAGAGGACAGAGGAGGGGCATTGTAACCTGAGGGTCCAGTAGGTCTCTCAATTGAGTGGAGCGCGGGCGGTAGAGGGTGGTGGCATACGCTAGCCGCTCATGCAGCCCAGCTGAGAGCAATTATAGCTCTTACAAGGGGGAAGGACTGGCGGCCGTCTGGGCAGTGAAGCTCTTCCGACCATACCTGCAAGGGCGGCAGTTCACTCTGGTGACGGAACATCAGCCTCTTCTGTGGCTGATGACCAACCAGACGCTAAGAGGTCGCAAAGCAAGATAGGTGATGCGACTGCAGGAATTTGAATTCGAGGTGAAGCACCGATCAGGGAAGACCCTGCAGCATGTGGACGGACTGTCCAGACAAGGCCCAGGAGCGGAGGAACTGGAGAGCGGAGCCGAGACAAGGAGGAGGAGAAGGGTAGCAATGAAGTGTGGGAGGATACACCCGTGCTACATTGGGTCCAGGGCAAGGGGCCCGAGGGAGAGGAAGTGTCCGAGAGGGTAAGAGCGAAAGGGATACACATCCGCTAGCAGGCCGATCAGCTACAGTTGGTGACAAAGGACGGATGGAGGATTGTACCGATGCCAGAGGAACGAGAGGAACTTATCCAGAAGGTACACACCCGGCTGGGCCATTACGCTGCTGAGCGAACCATTCAGCTGCTGCAAACGATGTACTAGTAGACCGGGATGAGGCAAGGAGTGAAGGAGGTGGTGGAGAGGTGTGAACCATGCAGGAGGAGTAAGGCGAGGCTGGAGAAGACAAAGGCAGAGCTTCGGTCCCTGCCCATTGGGGCGATAGGCTTTCGGTGGTCGCTGGATATGGCAGGGGAGCTGCCGCTATTGAGGTGAGGAAGGCAGTACGTGCTAGAAATGATAGAACACACCAGCAAGTGGATCGAGGTTACGGCCTTGGCCTGCAAGACGGCGGCAGGGGTAGCGGAATCCTTCGAGCAACAGCTTCTGATAAGGTTCGGGGCAAGTGGGGAAGTGTTGACTGATCAGGGCAGCGAGTTCGCGGGGGAATTCGATACACTGCAGGAGGCAGCAGGCATCACACACCAACGGATGTCTCGGTACCACCCACAGGCAGATGGGCTGACGGAGAGGATGGTGCAGACGCTCAAGCGAGGGCTGAGGAAGTATTGTGAGGAGGAAGAGCGAAGGGATTGGGATCGTCGCGTGCCCTGGGTGGCAGCGGGCTACAGGATCAACAAGTAGCAGGCATCGAGGGACTACTCACCGTATTACCTACTGTTCGGACGAGAGCCCGTGCTGTCGGTGGATGCACCACGCATCATGATGGAGTCAATGAAGACGGAGGACCCACGTACCTGGGCTGCAGTGGCTGCCATACAAGCTAGCTATCTCCGTAGCGCACTACTAGCCGCACTGGAGAACTTGGAGGTGGCGCAGATGAGAGATGCACGGAGGTATCGGCAGAGGAAGCAAGGAGAGGCTAGCCCTGGAGGACGGAGGGAGGCCCTACAGATTGGGGACGAAGTGTACCTACTCCCTACCTGAGTCAAGCTACCGAAACTGCGATGCCTTTCTCCGCGGTCAACGCGATCCTCACTCGGCTCCTCGCGCCCTCCCGCGCGTTCCGCTTCGGGCATAGTAACCAGAGGGCCCAGTAGGTCTCTCACCTGAGTGGAGCACGGGCGGTAGAGCGAGAGGATGCAGTTGAAGAGGATAGAGGAGGGGCATTGTAACCAGAGGGTCCAGTAGGTCTCTCACCTGAGTGGAGCGCAGACGTTAGAGCGAGAGGATGCAGTGGAAGAGGACAGAGGAGGGGCATTGTAACCAGAGGGTCCAGTAGGTCTCTCACCTGAGTGGAGCGCGGGAGGTAGAGCGAGAGGATACAGTGGAGCAGCACTGAAGAGGACCGGTACGCGAAGGAGGGCTGGTACGCAAGCAGGCACGCGGGGAAGCAGGCGGGGAGGCAAGGAGGTGGGGAGGAGGAGAAGGATTACTTCGGGTCAATTCGAGTGTTTGGGTCAGCAAGCTGAACTGGTTTGACAAAGAAAACGGCAGGGCAGGGATAGCGGTCAGCAAAAGTGCGATCACCCAGGCAACTAGTGTTTAGACCAACACACAAACGAAACTAGAAGGTGTGGACAAAAGTTGGGGATGTACGATTTCAAAACATTTAGCCATATCGTTTCTCCGATATGGCTGCTACAGTACTCACTACCATGGCAGGCTTTGTCGCAGCACTAGGATAAGCCTGTCGATCCTCTCTCTCTCTCTAGGGAGGGTATAGGGGAGGCTTTCCTCGAGGAAGGTGGATATATGAAGCTTAACCCTCCTGATGACATCCCTTCTTGTCCCAGTGGTTAGGACTGGTGACTTTGTGCCATGGTATGAGAGCCATCCGGATTTCAATTCCTGGTGTACATGCTATCCCAGCGGGGGGGTGTGTCGGGGCACTGGGATAACCCTGTCGATCCTCTCTATCTCTCTTGGGAGGGTACTGGGGAAGCTTTCATCGGGGATGGTGGATACATGGAGCCTAACCGTCTTGATGACATCCCTTTTTGTCCCAGTGGTTAGGACTGGTGACTGTATGACAGGCTTGCCCTTTTTATTCCACTAGCAGCCTTTTCCCTTCTCTTGCTCTCAGCCTTCATCAATTCAAAATCCTGCAGTGTCACCAGCAGCTCAGTCATGTCTGTAGGTGGGTTGCACGCAAGGGCCATACTCGCAACCTCCCACTCCTATAGCAATCCAATGAGGATGAAGGCTATCATGTCTTCCTCTGTTTCTTCTGCCCCCATGGCCTTCAACTCGCTGTTGTAAAGCATAGCCCTTTGTACATCATAGTCAGTGATGCTCTCATTAGGCTTTATCATCATAAATAGCAGCTTCCTTCTCAGTAAGAGCTTCCTCATTGGAAAGAGCATCGTCTTAGGGCGTTGTGTTTCCATGGAAACACACTTCATAGTTGCTCCAGTCTGTGACGTCTACGTTGGCGTCAATGGTGGCTTGAAATCTACGGGCATCGGATGCAGCTCTGAATTGAGTAGAGAGTGCCCTGCAAATAGAAAGATGCTGCAGTCCCCTAACGAGGAGCAGGAGTGCGAACGAACCAGAAGTTGAAATACTCCTGAACTGCATTCCAATGTTCAAGCCCTGCGTGCCTACCTGACCTGTGTGATACTTCTCGTTTCGTTTCGTTTTGTTTCGTTTCGGGGAACACACCTCAACAGTTTCGCATAAACCAGAATCGAACTGTCGCAATGCAGCACTGGAAGTCCACCGATTACGGTCCACCGAATTCCGCCGTCAAATCAAGGCTGGATCTCAGTTTAGGGAGTTTCCAGCGTGTCGCAAAAGGATTTAGGCACAACTTGGATCTCGAATTTACTGTAACGGCACGCACACGTTCAGTTGAAGTAACGAAATCCAGAATGTGCATTTTCCGGCACTGTGTCCAAATTGCAATCTTTTTGCTTCCTGTGGTGTACGGAGTTGCGATTTCCCCTAGAGATGTGTGTTTAACACACTACGCACGATCCGCTCACGAATCGAGTCACAAAAATTCATCTCGTTTCGCGTATGAAATGGTAGTGGATAAGTATCCTTGCTACGTGAATTGTTACTCATTGCGTTGCCCAAATCCACTATGGAAACACCCTTAGGACAAAACCGGGTTCTGGTCCAGACGACACTCGTCACAGGCAACACCGGTTTTCGAGAACCATGGTTACCCGCCTGGATTCCAGTGTGTGGCTTACTTAAAGCCCGCCCAGCAGGTTGCATATTTGTACTGTTTAGGTTGGTGGGGCGGCGGAATCTGATTGGACGACGAAAGATTATGGAAACGAAAGAGCTAGCAAAGAATGGGCTGTTACGAGAGCTATGTAGCTAAGAACGGTAGGAAGCCATGAAAATGGCGTGAGGGTTTAGCTAGGAGAAAGTTACGAGAGAAAAGGTGTTCGGACTAGAAAGAGAGAGGGATACAAGGAGGGGATTGTACCCTCTACAGTAGAGTTCGATAACCTACCAAGCCTACCAATTACATAACACAATATATAATTTAACACACCCCCTAGGCTTGCTAGTAGGACCCACACACACCCACACCCCCTAACCTAGCACCCCCATTCCCAGCAGCAGCCATGACTACTCCGGCTGGGCCAACCCCACGGCCCGTGAGATGGCAACGGCGGCAGTGTCGACAGCGGCGGCGGCGGCGGCGTGCGGCTGTGTGGCCCCAACGCAAGCGGCGACAGCGGCGGCGGCGGCGGCTCCGATGACAGCGGCGACTGCAACGGCCACCGCCCTCTCGGTGGCGTGGCCAAGCTCCGAGACGGTGGGACGGCCGCCGGGAGTCAGCCGGCGGCTGCGGCGAGAAGAGGACACAGGTGAAGGGGGGGGAGGGGGGGGCGAGATGTGGTCCAGCCTCACGCCCGTGACTGGCGTGAGGGCGGCAGGTCGAGCGGCGCCACAGGCGTCGCGCGGCCGGCTGCAGCCCGACGACGCTGCCACGGCATCCTTACAACGCCGCCACAACGCGGCGTCGATGCTGCGGCGGTACGTCGACGCGGCGACGGTAGGTTGACGGCGCCGTCACGCCGCCACGGCTTGACGTCGACGCCACGACGGCGCGACGCCACGGCAGCGCGTCGGGACGGCCGCAGCACGACGACGACGCCACAGCAGCACGACGAGGCCGCCATGGCAACGCGAGAGGGAGAGAAGGAGTGCGCGGCGGAAGCATGGGGAGCAGGCCAGGGAAGGGGAACCTGCTCTGTTACTGAAAGAGAGGGATACGAGAGGATTGAACCCTCTACAGTAGAGTTCGATAACCTACCAAGCCTACCAATTATATAACACAATATATAATTTAACTTGGGCTTCGGAGAGTCAGCGTCTGTTTCGCGCGAGCATTTGGCACTTTGATGCCAGCTGCTCGGTTACGAGGGCCTCAAGGTGCAGCATCTGGAGAAAAGAGGACTTACAACCTGCCAGTCGGGCTTCATAACACTGACAGCGAATGTTACAGGCTCGATGGTCGACTCCTTACCAAATTTCAACCCTACACCGAGTTCCAGCCAACGTGAGCGTTGACCCAATCCAACCACTCGGGACCTTGCCTCGCCTCGCCAACAGTAGGTGGTCAGTGCTAGGTGGCCTGGAAGGTTTCTATTGTTGACCTCTTGGCCCCAACAAGCCAAGCAGTAGTACCTTAGCGTAGCTCCGAGGTAGTGCTTGTCGCGACGCGACGATGCCTTGGGTGTACACTTTCGAGGCGCTAACTCACGTCAAGATTCTTCGTCTCTATGTATTTCCGCGCGCGTCGCGTGCCCATCAGGAGAAGCAAGCGGACGATGCGGAGTGGCAGAGATTAATCTCGTCCGGCGTGACGGCACGGCTGGATCTGGAACGACCTGTAGAATCCAAAGGTCGTGTTGACTTCAAAGATCGCGTTGACTCCAAAGATCCCGTTGACTCAGAAGATCTGTTAGGCGCGGAATACCGCTTAGATTCGCGACTCGCCGGCTCGAAACGCCTCTCTGCCTCTCGGATCATCATCTCTTTGGGACCCCCTGCTCCTGAGTCACCTGACGAACAGGCTCGGCTTACCGAACCGGCTGCACTCGGCCAGCAGGTTCGGCAGGATGGTTCGGCAGGTGTTGTTTCTGTTGATGAACCCGAAAGGGTTGGAAGGCCGATGCTGTCGATCGAGATTCCTTTTGCTCTGCCATCCACTCCGAGTGGAGATCCCAAGCACCTCGAAACCACCACAAATGATGACTCTAGCGAGTGTGGCAGAAACGAGGGGGCGAAGCAGAAGTTTGTTACTATGCCTGTGAGCGTGCGGACAGGGCACCTCGAAATTACCGTTCCGCTTGCCCAGCTGCTCGGATCGGATTCAGATGGATTCTGGGAGACGCTGGGGAGATCGGAGGGAGGTCGGGAGGGGGCGGCGATCAATGGCGGTGGATCGGTGGAAGGGAACCGGAAGCAGGAGTTGAGGAAGGAGGAGGAGATGACTGAATCCTGCGCTGGTCACGTGCGTGAGTAGCGCGTACTGCACTCTTCAACTCCTCTTCCTTTCTGCTGCGCTGCTTTTCTCACACTGCCCTGTCTCAAAACTAGATTACTGTTACACATTCCCCGCATCCGTCGCTCCGCTAGTGCAAGGTCTCCGACCATCCCCATCCCCATCCCCATCCCCATCCCCAGCCCCAGCCCCAGCCCCTCGCCTCGGTTCGCCTCCTCCCTCTCTAGACTCCAACCATCCCCATCCATCCAACCATCCCCATCCATCCAACCATCCCCATCCATCCAACCATCGCCCTGAATTCTCTCCCCTTTCGTCCAACCAGCCTCCCAGCACTCGCATCTCTCGGCCACGCTCCCCCTTGCACCCATCCCACCCATCCCTCCATGCCACCCATCCCTCCATGCCACCCATCCCCCCATTGCACCATCCCCCCACTCGCTTCCCTTGTCGCTATCCATCCATTTTCACTCGTTTCTCCTCTCCTCCCTCCAGCCTTCTTCCTCTCGTGTGGCATTCTTGTTTGTTTGTTTGTTTGTTTGTTTCCACTTGTTTCTCCTCGCCTTCCTCCAGCCTCTCTCTCCTCACCTGTGTCTCTGCTCTGGCACGAGCCCCGTTCATCTTCCCTCATCCATCCAAGATCCGTGCATTCATCCCCGCAGTCTCAAAACGTTTCTCCTCTCCTCTATCCACCCTAAACCCCAAACCTTCTGCTTAAACCCCGGAGCTTAAGCCTTCTGCTTAAACCCCGTGAGGCTTAGGCCTGCTTCTCTACCGTGAACCTCGTTCACTTGCATTGGTCCATGCGCCAATGTATTCATAATTTCGTGTTGCATTTCCTGCCTTGCTGCCTTTTGAGGCGCCTCAAAAGTATTGCATCTCCTGCCTTGCTGCCATGAAGCCCATTCATCTGCATCCATCCCTTCTGTTTTCCCCTCTGTTTTCCCCTCTGTTTTCCCCTCTGTTTTCCCCTCTGTTTTCCCTTCTGTTTTCCCCTCTGTTTTCCCTTCTGTTTTCCCTTCTGTTTTCCCCTCTGTTTTCCCCTCTGTTTTCCCTTCTGTTTTCCCCTCTGTTTTCCCCTCTGTTTTCCCTTCTGTTTTCCCCTCTGTTTTCCCCTCTGTTTTCCCTTCTGTTTTCCCCTCTGTTTTCCCCTCTCCTCTTTGCAGCCTCTCTCCTCTCCTGCCTCTCTGCCATGGCCCCCGTTCACCTGCACTGCCGCCATTGCCGCCACCAACTGACCGCCAACCCACTTAGGTAAGGGCTTCCAGATAAGCGAGTTTCAGTTCTTAGTGAAGGACCACTTAGTTTAAGGGCCACTTATTAAGGGCCATCGATCTGTACTGCCGCCACTGCCGCCACCAGCTGACCACCAACCCACTTAGGTATGGGCCCCCTCCAGGCTCCAGTCAGATAAGTTCCAGCACTTCGGTGCTACATGCTGTTTTCACGCACTCCCATTCCCTGCGTCCTCGCGATCCCCCTTCGCTTTCCACATTTCCGCCTTTTTTTAGGCGCCTCAAAAATCGTCTTCGCGATCCCCCTTCGCTTTCCTCAGTTCCGCCTTACCCCTATCACGGGAATCCCACACACACGAGTTGGCCGAGCACTGCCACTACTTTTCTTTAGGCGCCAAAAAAACCCTCAAATTTTTCTAGGCGCCTAACACTCTTTATGTGAACGCCACGAGTTGGCCGAGCAGTGCCTCCCTCTTCGGCGCTGGCTGCTGCTGCTACAATTGTATCCCTCGTTCTCCTTCCTCCTCGTTTTGACTTTTGAGTCGACTCAAAAGTCACAATTCTATCCCTCGTTCTCCTTCCTCCTCGTTTTGACTTTTGAGTCGACTCAAAAGTCACAATTCTATCCCTCGTTCTCCTTCCTCCTCGTTTTGACTTTTGAGTCGACTCAAAAGTCACAATTCTATCCCTCGTTCTCCTTCCTCCTCGTTTTGACTTTTGAGTCGACTCAAAAGTCACAATTCTATCCCTCGTTCTCCTTCCTCCTCGTTTTGACTTTTGAGTCGACTCAAAAGTCACAATTCTATCCCTCGTTCTCCTTCCTCCTCGTTTTGACTTTTGAGTCGACTCAAAAGTCACAATTCTATCCCTCGTTCTCCTTCCTCCTCGTTTTGACTTTTGAGTCGACTCAAAAGTCACAATTCTATCCCTCGTTCTCCTTCCTCCTCGTTTTGACTTTTGAGTCGACTCAAAAGTCACAATTCTATCCCTCGTTCTCCTTCCTCCTCGTTTTCTCTCCTTCCCCATTCATCCCCAGCCACTGCATTCGCCCACATGCAACTCACGCCAACAAATTTGCAGCACAGTGATTCTGTGGCGCTTGCTGTTGCTGCTGCACTGCACCGCCACTGCTTCCCACACCCCCCCCTCTTTCCCCTCCCAACCAGTGCATTCGCCCCTCACCATGCCCCCATGCCATCACCATGCCCCCATGCCATCACCATGCCATCCCCATGCCCCCAGTCTATTTTTGAGGCGCCTCAAAAATAGACTCCTCACGCATTGATCTAAGGCTCAAAGCCACGACAGAGGCACTCTATTTTTGAGGCGCCTCAAAAATAGACTCCTCACGCATGGATCTAAGGCTCAAAGCCACGACAGAGGCACTCTATTTTTGAGGCGCCTCAAAAATAGACTCCTCACGCATTGATCTAAGGCTCAAAGCCACGACAGAGGCACTCTATTTTTGAGGCGCCTCAAAAATAGACTCCTCACGCATTGATCTAAGGCTCAAAGCCACGACAGAGGCACTCTATTTTTGAGGCGCCTCAAAAATAGACTCCTCACGCATTGATCTAAGGCTCAAAGCCACGACAGAGGCACTCTATTTTTGAGGCGCCTCAAAAATAGACTCCTCACGCATTGATCTAAGGCTCAAAGCCATGGCAGAGGCACTCTATTTTTGAGGCGCCTCAAAAATAGACCCCTCACGCATTGATCTAAGGCTCAAAGCCACGGCAGAGGCACTGTATTTTTGAGGCGCCTCAAAAATAGACTCCTCACGCATTGATCTAAGGCTCAAAGCCATGGCAGAGGCACTCTATTTTTGAGGCGCCTAAAAAATAGACCCCTCACGCATTGATCTAAGGCTCAAAGCCACGGCAGAGGCGCTCTATTTTTAAGCATTGATCTAAGCATGCCATCACCTGACGAGTCAAAGCATGCCATCACCTGACGAGTCAAAGCATGCCATCACCTGACGAGTCAAAGCATGCCATCACCTGACGCCGATAAGATGGCCGAGCAGTGATTCTGCGGCCCCTCAGCGTCCCACACGCTGCATGTGGTCAACTGCCTGCACCACCGCTGATCCCTCCTCTCCCTCCTCTCTTATATCCTCCCCTTTCTTCCCTCCTCTCCCTCCTCTCTTATATCCTCCCCTTTCTTCCCTCCTCTCCCTCCTAACCTACAACTCGTCTCGTGCCATGCCATCAACAGTGCAGACGAGATGGCCGAGCAGTGGTTCTGCGGCGCTGCCTGCTGAGAATCCGCTGCACCCCACACTGCACCCATTCTCCATCCCCTCCCCCTACCCCCCCTCCTGCCCCCTCTAACCACCACATTCGCCCCCATGCTATCGTCTGACGCGGACGAGATGGCAGAGCAGTGGTTCTGCGGCACTGCCTGCTGCGTAGCCGCTGCGGCGCACGCGTTGCACGTGGTCAACTGCCTGCACCACCGCCACTCCCTCACCCCCTTTCCCGCTCCTCCCTCACCCACCCTCCTGCTGCTCCCTCACCCCCCCACCTGCTGCTCCCTCACCGCCTCCCTTCCCCCCATGTCAGGTCTTTCGCTCCCATGCCATCTTCTGACGCTGACGAGATGGCAGAGCAGTGGTTCTGCGGTGCAGAATGCTGCGAAGCCACTGCTGCCCACGCGCTGCACGTTGTCAACAGCCTGCACCAGCGCTCCACACTCACCCCCTCCTCCTGCCTCCTCTCTCATACCTCCTTCGCTCTCCTCTCCTCACACCCCAAGTCAATGCAGTCAACACAAAATGCCTCCCTCGCCCTCCTCTCCGCACTCCCCAAGTCAATTGAGTCAACTGCAAACACCACCATTGCTCCTCCCTTCAGGAAGCCTGGAAATCTTGATTTCAGTCAAAAGGCTTCTCTCCAAAACCCGGCGACTAAGTCGCATGATACGAGTGCTGCTGCTGGCATAGCCTCTCACATGCAAAGCCTCTCTCTCAGGAACAACGACTCGGCCTTTTCCAACAGCCTTCAGAGCACCAACGGCAGCAGCAGCGGCTGTAACTCCAGTAGTGCCCAACTACCTCTGTGCCCACCGAGTATGGGTGAGGCCAATCGACAAGGCAGTGATGAAGTGGGTCCACCGAGTCAATGCAGTCAACAGGGAAGAAATGCAGGGGGGATGCAGGCGGAGGAGTGTCAGCAGCTTGCTGAAGCGTGGCGAGTATCACCTGAGGTGCGGCAGCCAGCAGAGGAGCATCAGCAGGCAGAGGAGCACCTGCTGGTGTCTAACCTGGTACCAGAAGGAGGTCCGTGGGAGGAGGTCTCATGTGGGGGGTGTGGCAGGGCGGTTGGGGCGAGAGGGAGGGCCAGGAGCAGCACTGAGAGAACAGACTCGTGGAGAAGTGGGAAGGTGGGGAGAAGTGCAGGGGTGGAGGGAGGAGGGGCGAGCGAATCATTGGGAGAAGGGAGAGAGGGAGTGGAAGGGAGGGTGGAGCACCTTTTCTTGCACATGGTGGATCCAAGGCCTGTTCACATGGTTAGTCCCATGGATGTAACGTGCGCGTCATCTGGACGCATGATGACGCCACCAGCGGACGCCCTGACGTCATCAGTCGACGACGGTGACGGGAGGGTTGTGGCAGCAGTCAGTGCGGCTTCAGCGGCAGAGGCAGAGGGGATAAGGGAAGGAGAAGCCGCAGAAGCCGCGCCAGAGGCAGACGGTGCGCCAGCAGAATTGACAGACGAACTGCTTGGCAAGGTCACATGCGTCGACTTAAAATGGTGATTTCGATTCGATTCCCTTGTAGCTGCTTAACGTTGACACCATGCCTTGCTACCCGTTGTTCGTAAAAGGTCCTTCCCCTACCTCATGACCTGCTGCTTCTGTCTTGGTCCGTAAAAGGCCTTGCTGCTTCATGACTTGCTTCTGCTCCCCGCTCCCCCCCCTCTCCTCTCACCCCCCTCTCCGCTCCCCCCCCTCTCCGCTCCCCCCCCTCTCCTCGCACCCCTCACGCTCCTTTTTGAGGCGCCTCAAAAACCCTCTCCTCTCACCCCTCACGCTCCTTTTTGAGGCGCCTCAAAAACCCTCTCCTCTCACCCCTCACGCCCCTTCCCAAAAGCGCGGTCAACTGCTCCGTGCTCCTCTGTGCCTTTTCTTAGCCACCCTCGACTCAACTTCTCCTAACTTTAAGCCGTTCAACCTTGCTACCGCTGCCACCTCACCATTGTCTTTCTCTCCCCTCAGGCTGTCTCCTCTCTCCTTTCTCCTCTCACCTCTCCTCCCCGTTGCTTCCAAGCTGTCCAGTCCTCCACCTTGCACCTTCACCTTGCACCCGTCCTAACCCTCCGTGCCCCTCTTTCCCGTCCTTTCTTTGCCTTCCTTCCTCCCTGCAGGCCCTCCGCCACTCTCTCGACCTGCTTCTCCTCCCTGCTCTCCGTCCACCTCTCCACCCCCTCCGCCCCAAGCCGCCTTGTCCTCCCCTTACTCGCCTCCCACCACCCCCTCCTGCTGCTCGTGCTGCTCAGAGACCACACCGCCATGGGGTGGGGTGTGTGCGGGGTCGCTGGGAGTTTTCACAGTCAAAACTTTGCAGACTTCTCTTTGCCTCTCTCCTCTCCCTTTCATCCCTGCAGGCCATTTCCTACGCTTGCGACCTGCTTCTCCTCCCTGCTCTCTGTCCATCTCTCCACCCCATCCGCCCCAAGCCGTTTGGTCCTCCGCTCCGTCGCCTCCCACCAGCCCCTCCTGCTGCTCGTGCTGCTCAGCGCCCACACCGCCATGGGGTGGGGCGAGTGTGGGGAGGCGGGGAAGGGGGAGGAGAGGGAAGAGGGGGACGGAGGTGTGTTGGAGTATGGGGGAAGCAAGGAGGGGGAGGAGGGGGAGGAGGGAGAATCCAAGCCTGTATCCACTGAGGCTGGAAAGACTTATGAAAAGAGGACGGACAACAGCGATGGAAAGAGGAGAAGCATCGGCACAGTCACTGCGGCTCAAGTGCAGATACCACACAATCAAGTTGGCTCGTTGACACAAACCAGGAGGGGCTGTAGCGGTGGTGGCTTGAGGCGAGTTGTGAAGCTCATGTGGAAGGCTGTTGCCGCTAATAGTGACTCCAGACGGTGAGTTGCATCCAAGACAGTGGATGACTGGCTATTCCCCTCCTCCCCCTCTCCTCACTTGTCAAGGGGCGTAGCGGTGGTCGCTTGAGGCTGGTTGTGAAGTTCATGTGCAAGGCTGTTGCCGCTGACAGTGACTCCAGACAGTGAGTTCCATTGCGTGCAACACAGTGGATGACTTTACATGTTTGCTTTTGAGTCGACTCAAAAGAGTTTCGTTTCGTGCAACACAGTGGATGACTCTACGTTTCTTTTTTTGAGTCGACTCAAAAGAGTTCCATTGCGTGCAACACAGTGGATGACTCTACATTCCCTCCTGCCTCTCTTCTCTCTAATCAAGGGGGAGTCGTTGGAACTTGGGGCGAGTTGTGGGGCTCATGTGCAAGGCTGTTGCTGCTGACCGTGACTCCTGATGGTGTTGGCGTGTGTGGGTTTTGCTCTCTTATCGACTCAATGACAGGCTTGAGGCGTCTCAAAACTCAACTTCAGATGGTGAGTTGCCGCGTGTAGGTTTTGTTCTCTGATCCAAACGCGCCAGGGACAAGCGTGCGGCGAGTTGTGAAGCTGAATTGGACCTTCCCTTCTTCCCCCCACTTCGTCTCTTACCTCACAGCCAAACAGATGAGTGGGCAGCCAAGGGGGCATGCAGAGGACGTGCACGCAACGCCTGTCACAGCATTGGACCTTCCCTTCTCCCCATTCCTCCCCACTTGATAAACCTCTTATTACACAGCCAAGCAGAGGAGTAGGTCGCCAAGGGTCATGCGGAGGACGTGTATACGGTGCCTGGTTGCCCTACTGTTCACATTACCCTCTCCTCTTCCCCTCCTCTTTAACATACATAACAAGGAGATCACAGGTAATTGTGACGGGTAAGGGCGTGTATGAAGTGATTCGAAACCTGATGTCAAGTGATATGACGTCAGGAGATTGAAGCCTTTCAGTTACGAACTATTCTGAAACGTTGAGAAACCAACAAAACCGTGTAGTGATGTCAAAAATTGATGTTGCGTGATTCACTTCAAACACGCTCTAATGGTAAGCAATGTGACTGACATGGTATTGTTATGCCTGACTGGTCCACTACTCCCCAAGCGGATGCGGTGCAAGCATCCTATGATAGGCATGCATCTTAAACTCTGCCCTTACGAGCACATGCATGCGCTGGTGGCACCTTCCCTCACACGTCGATCTTTGGCCCTGAGAGAAATGAATACGGGAAATTTAAGCTGTTGCGTTTCTTGGGGATAACACATGCAAACTCCATGCATCACCCCGCATCAAATAGGTTCTTAACGCTTACCTAATCTAAAATTTGATGCGGGGTGATGCATGGAGTTTTCGTGTGTTATCTTCAAGGAACACAGCTAGTTCAATTTCCCGTATTTATTTTTCTTAGAGCCAGCGTTCGACGTATGAGGGAAGGTGCTACCAGCGAATACCATCATGCATGTGCTCGTGAGGGCTGAGGCTAAGACGCATGTCTATCAGAGGATGCTGGCACCGCATCCGCTAGGGGAGTGTTGGATCAGCCAGGCATAATAATAGCGTGCCTGTCAGATTGCTTACCACTATTATTTGTAGTTACACGTGATCTCTGTGCTTGCACGACTGTTCACTTTACCCTCTCCTCTTCCCCTCCTCTGTAACATATTCTACAAGGAGATTAGGATAATTACGACAGGTAGTGATAAGCTATCTGACAGACAGGCTATTGCTATGCCTGACTGATCCGCTACTCCCTCAGCAGATGCGGTGCCAGTATTTTCAAATAGACATGCGTCTTAAACTATTGATGGCGTGCGATAGTGGCACCTTCCCTCCAACGTCGATCATTGTCTTTGAGAGAAATTAATAGGGGAAATTGAAGCAGCTGTGTTTCCCGAGGATAACACACACTAACTTAATGCATCACCCCACTTTAAATAGGTTACTAAAGCTTCCCAGCTCTGGAGTTTGATGCGGTGCGATGCATAGAGGTTGCGTGTGTTATCCTCGAAGAACACTGCTGCTTCAATTTCCCGCATTCATTTCTCTAGGAGTGTGAGATTAACGTGGGAGGGAAGTGTCACCAGCGCATCATGCATGTGCTCGTGATGGCGGAGTTTAAGACGCATGTCTATCAGAGAATGCTGGCACCGCATCTGTTGGGAGATAGTGGATCATTCAGTCATAACAATAGCTTGTCTGCCAGATTACTTGCCATTACTCGTCGCAATTACTCGTAATCTCTGTGCATGCACAACTGTTCACATTACTCTCACCTCTTCCCATCCTCTAACATACTCCACAGGGAGGCAAAACCGCTAAGGACCATGCAAAGGACGTGTATGCGATGTGTTATGGACTTGTTGCTTGAACCTGTCTCATTTGTCATGTCATTCAGTACTCTTCCTCCCACTGTGTCACAGGGAGGCAGACACTTGGGCTGCCAAGGGTCATGCGGAGGACGTGTATGCGATGCCTGTCACGGCAACGGAGCTGCAGACCTGCTTGCGCGATAATTCTTTGCTCCTGCCACCCACGTGCCGGGAATTCAACAGCTTCATCATCTCGTTTTTGGAGGTTTAGCCAGGAAGGAGTGGAATATGGCACATGAATCATGATGCTTGCACAGTTAGTCTTTTAGGTTTTACCTTCAATCTATGCAATCCAGTCAGATGCATGTGGAAGACCTTGTTTCTATGCTTGTAACAGGTTGAAGTGTATCGAATGTAGAATGTGCAGTGCAATTGTCGTAGGTTGTCGTAGTTGCAGCTGTCAATAGTATGTGCTGGTGATAGTAAGCAAGTAGTCTTAAAAAGGAAAAAGGACCTAGGCAACAGGTCCATCCGACCTGCCAGGATGTTAACTTCTCATTTCATAACGTATGGTAGAATGACGCACAAACTGTGTGAAAAGGCTACAATCTACCCACTAGGCCTTCATAGAAGCGAAATTAGTATTCGGGCAGTTTCCCTGCCCGAAAGATGCCGAATTTGGTGCTGCTGCTATTAGAAAAGGGCACACTGTGCTCTTGGAGAAAAACCCCACTGTAAGCACAGGAGAGCAAAGAATGGGGAGGGGAGGAGGAAGGGGGCAGGGTGGGGCGGGGGGACGGACGGGGGGGGGGGGGAGAGGAGGGGTGTGCGAGGTGCCTTAAAAAGGGCGGAAGGAGAGGGTGGGGGCAGAGTTGGAGGGCGAAGGGGGGGAGGGTGGGGATATAGCTGCAGCACAACAAACATGGTTGGGTGTATTGAGGCTGTTAAAACCTGTGGCCACGTGAGACAGCACGAAACCAGGAGGGGATGGGGGGGAGAGGGCGTGGGGAAGGGGGAGGTGGGGGGAGATGGATAAAGCAGCAGCTTAGACGTGGCTCATTACTAAGTGGCATAGCAAGTCAATAGATAGGCTTTAAAGGACTCTCCCCAGGATTAATAATAATAATAATAAAAAAACTAACTGTGCCGATTCCCCTGTGTTGGGTTTTGGAGAAAAAAAAAAAAAAAAAAAAAAAAAAAAAAAAAGTAACCGCGGCGATTCCCCTTGATTATCTGCCTTCGCAGTCAAGCCAAAAAGAAAAACAACTAACAATCTGCTTTTTCACACCTAAGACGTTGACATACAGCCTCCCAGAAGGAGATTATTTTCTGCATCCCCGTTCCAAGCCCTTGAATAACCGACTTACAGCTCAGCTTTGAGTTTCTCTGGTTGGCTGGTCTCACATTCGATCTCGTACTGCGTGCCGAAAGCAAACTGCCAAGGAAGACAAGCGTACACAGAGCACACAGAGCACACATAGCACACAGTCACCACGCAAGTATAGCACACAGTCACCACGCAAGTATAGCACACATGCATGCATGCATGAAACAGATCTAAAAAAGTTGTTCACAGAAAAGGAATGTCAGGATTGATTTTAAAAAGGCGTGCAGAAAGCCGTCCCCCTCCCTTTTAGCACAAGAGAAAGAAATACACTTCAGGTATTAGCTTCCAGCTTCCAAAACTTCTCTTTCAGGTATTTCTGCTTCCAGCTTCCAGCTTCTCGTCCAGGTCTGTTGTGCCGCCCTGCCACTCAACACCCTGTGGTTCCATCTGCACCGCACTTGACCACCCCAAAAAGTGTGCCACCTCCTTCTCACATGCACTTGAGCCCCCAACTGGCACATCAACCTCCTCTCACGTCCCACCTCCCCTTCTCACGCCCCACCTCCCCCTCTCACGTCCCACCTCCCCCTCTCACGACCCACCTCCCCCTCTCACGTCCCACCTCCCCCTCTCACATCCCACCTCCCCCTCTCACGACCCACCTCCCCATCTCACGTCCCACCTCCCCCTCTCACCCCCCTACATGAGTTTCATCCACCTCTATCAGTCGGTCGTCCCACCACTCAAACACGCCGTGATTCCATCAGCACCGTAATTGATCCCCCCGAACTTGCTCATCACCCCTCTCAACCCCCTACCTGAGTCTCGTCCAGCTCTATGGTGTTGCCCCGCCACTCAAACACGCCCCGAGTGTTGCGGAACCCCCCCAGGCACACATACTCCGGGCAGGAGAAGCGGTTGGGCTGGGGGAAAAGGGGGGCGAGGGGATGGAGGAGCAGTTGGAAAGGGTGTGAGGGGGAATGGATTAGATGGGGAGCAATGGGAAGGGAGGGGGGAAGCAGTCAGCGAATGGGAAAGGGGTGGTAGGTAGACCAGTGATAGACCAATGGTTGACAAATGATAAACCACCGAGCATAAGCAGAGCTGCGATATTTCGTCTTGGCAGACAAGCAAGGAGGCAAGCGCGGGCGGGAGCACCAGAATTGACCAGCAAGGGATCGCGCACACCGGCTACTACCACAAGCCTAGAAAATACTGTTTATCCTACTCGTTTGAACCTTCCTGCAAGCACGGCTGCTCTCTGGCGAATATGCCCGAGGGAAATCCAGATCTGACCATCAAGAAAAAGAAATCTATTTTTGAGGCGCCTCAAATCCAGATTTGACCATCAAGATCAAGAAATATATTTTTGAGGCGCCTCAAATCCAGATTTGACCATCAAGATCAAGAAATCTATTTTTGAGGCGCCTCAAATCCAGATTTGACCATCAAGATCAAGAAATCTATTTTTGAGGCGCCTCAAATCCAGATCTGACCATCAAGATCAAGAAATCTATTTTTGAGGCGCCTCAAATCCAGATTTGACCATCAAGATCAAGAAATCTATTTTTGAGGCGCCTCAAATCCAGATCTGACCATCAAGATCAAGAAATCTATTTTTGAGGCGCCTCAAATCCAGATTTGACCATCAAGATCAAGAAATCTATTTTTGAGGCGCCTCAAATCCAGATCTGACCATCAAGATCAAGAAATCTATTTTTGAGGCGCCTCAAATCCAGATTTGACCATCAAGATCAAGAAATCTATTTTTGAGGCGCCTCAAATCCAGATTTGACCATCAAGATCAAGAAATATATTTTTGAGGCGCCTCAAATCCAGATTTGACCATCAAGATCAAGAAATCTTTTTTTGAGGCGCCTCAAATCCAGATTTGACCATCAAGATCAAGAAATCTATTTTTGAGGCGCCTCAAATCCAGATTTGACCATCAAGATCAAGAAATCTATTTTTGAGGCGCCTCAAATCCAGATTTGACCATCAAGATCAAGAAATCTATTTTTGAGGCGCCTCAAATCCAGATTTGACCATCAAGATCAAGAAATCCTTCACACATGGTCAGACTTTTGTCCATCAAGGGGAGTCCTTCACGAAGCGACTGGCTTTGAACTGCTGCTCTTCCCAAGACCATGAGTGACGATGCCCATCAAGCAATCCTTCTCACATGGTCGGCCAAAGGCGAGGCAGATTGTTGTGAGGCACCTCAGAAGTCGCACCAGGGAGGAGAGAAGAGGTGTGGATGCGGATTGCAGCAATGAGGGGTCCTTCACACATGCCCGGCCGAAGGTGGGGTCAATGTCCTCCTCTTCCTGCGAATGTGTGGAGGAGAGGGGGGGAAAGCTTTTGAGTTGACTCAAAAGCATGCCCGGGCTTTTGAGTTGACTCAAAAGCATGCCCGGCCAAAGGTGGGGACGATGTCCTCTTCCTACTGTGTGGGTCCGAGGGGGGCCAAGAGGGGGGGTGGGACAGAGTGGGGGGGGGGAGAGGAGAGTAGAGGACGAAAAGGGCAGATAGAGAAAAGGATGAGGAAAGGGGGAGGAGTGAGACGGAGTGAGAAGGAGTGCAAACATTACAGACTATCAGTCAGTTGGAATCACAGAGGCAACACTTCTCTAGACAATCCAAAAAGTATACACTAGAGGTGCCTCAAAACTACTCTTAGGTTGCGGCCCTTGCTTGTCCAACTTCATGTCAGCCCTGCTTCGCGTCAGCGTCTCCTAAGAACACCTGACTGCCCCGTTTCAAGCTGCTTGACACGAATTTTGACACGAGGCAGGCAGGAACGCACCCTCATTTCAGGAAGACACTTTGAACCTGCATACCTCATCTGCTGGTTGGGCTTTAAAGCCAGCGTCTCATAATTCCGGAAACTTTCCAAGCGTTAAACGCTTGGTACCAGGTTACACAGCCGAAACTAGGAGGAGAGGTTAGGGAAAGCCCGTGAGAGGGTGGAAGCAACCAGGGGTGAAAGCGAGTGTAAAATGTAAAATCAGGGGCACCACGGTTCCGTGAAATATGAGACTGCTCAGAACCTCGGAAGTAGCGCGCAACTGGTACTGTGGGCCGTTAGATCTGTCCCAATTTCAGATCTGACGGTCAACTCCGTAGGCAGTCGAATCGACCGTTGGTAGCGAAGTAGAAAGTGAGAGCAAAAAAATTGGATTGTCGGCCGTTGGATATCCGAAGTGTGACTGGCTCGGTGTGGCAAACCAAAGCCGAGCCAACTTTGCCCGAACCAGGATTTCGGTTTGGGAAGTTTGTCGAAACAAAAGGGCCTCGCTACCTGCGTTTCGTTTTCGTCAATTCTTCCCCAATCCCCAATCGCTACCAGCGTTTCGTTTTCGTTTTCGTTTCCCCTTCAGCACCTCGCCCTCCAATCACCGAGTGTCTTCCCCAACCCAGTGTTCCATAGTTGGAATTATGAGACCCTGGCTTTAAACGAGCAAAACACATCGAACCTGCTCACCTCAGTGGAGCGCCCAATGCCGTCCGCCATGACAGTCTTCCCCTTTACAGTCACAACGCACTTGGCGTCGTTGTTGTAAAAGCGAAGCCGCAGCACGATGCGGTTGCGGCTCCTGTGCGCGAGGAGCAGGAGCGGAGAGGAAGGAAAGAGGGGGGTAAGGGGGGGGGGGGGGGGAGGGGGGGGCGGCGATGAGTTGTTGTAACAATGCAGTGATTGTAACGGTGACGTGGCACCATGTCCACTCACAGCTCGCCGTTTGCGCCGTCGAAGAACACGTTCTCCTGCTGATGTGTCACGCGGTGACTGGCTGCCAGGAGCTCCGCCACGCGCGCGTGCGCCTCCTTGTTCGGAAGCCGCAGCTTCACCTCCACCTCCATAGCGACCCCCGCACCCCCCGCACCCGCCGCCGCCGCTCCCGCCGCAGATTCCGCCATGAATTCACCCGCAGAAGCCGCGGAGGCGGAGATCGAATGCGCGGGGCGGCACCGGCCAGCCGCGGAAGACGCAAAGGGCGGCGCAGTGGGGAGCGCAAAACCCGGGGCAGGGGGGAGAAGGGCGTGTGCGGAACTGGGGGGATGCTGGCGGAAATAAAATTGGCGCGCGGAGCGGAGATGGTGGTGGGGAGCGGGAAGGAGGGGGAAGCGGAGAGGCGAGGTGATGCCGGCAGCGGCGACGGCGCGCTGCAGCATGGGGGGCGGGGAAACGGCGCCGGGGAAAAGGAGAAATCGGTTGCAGGAGAGCGCGAAAGTCGGCGAGAACAGTCTGACAAGAGATATGAAGTGGAATCCAGTGAGGAGATTTTAGGCGTGAAATTTCAGAGATTGGCTGGACAGATACCGTATCCTCGTTAGAATGAACGATTGATAGAGAGCAACAGTCGAGTGTATAGATGTCCACTTGCAAAGCGAAAATAACTAGTCACAAGGCATACGGTTGATAGAATAAGGAGATGTCCACTCCATGCCTCTACATATTCCTACCGCATCAATTTCGATCTCATAATCCTACATACCCGGTGAATTAGTAAACTTTCTATAGCTCTTGCCGGATGATCAGATGTGTGGAAAATGGCCACTCAGTAAAATGCACTCCCCACGTCCAGTTTGATATAGTCTACAAGCTACATGCTCCGTCTACATGTACTTGTATTCCAGCTCTTGTCGGAACTTAGACGCCATGAATTCAATCTCTCCGTCGCTGAGTTCCACAGGAGATGCCGATTCGGCCCCCTGGTGCAGTGACATGTAGCGGCGATGCATGTGCGGCGGAACCATGGACTGTACCCAGCGCTGCTCATAACGAGGATAAAAGTGAAGATGCACGGAATGGTTTACACAATCGTGCAAGCATGTGTGGTAGAACCATGGAATGTATACCCAGCGTTGCCCATCGGCACGATGACCTGCAAGTGTGGGATTGCTTAGGGTACATCCAGATAGATGATGATTGCTTAGTCTGTGTATCAGCGATACCCAGATAGATGATGATGATGATGTATCAGCGATACCCAAAATGTAATGCCAGTGTAAGGTAGAAATAGAGAAACAGGAATGTCCCCGTTATAGAGTGAGTTACTTGCGAGGCAGTATAGGGAGTGCTATTTTAAAGGGAAGTTACCTGGAAGGAAGTGGTGGGAGCGTCGTCCATGAGCCACTTCCAGAGCGTGAAAGCCTCGAGGAGCGACGCGAGGATGAGGAGCAGACCAAAGGGAATGCCGTAGAGGAAGGACCACACCTGGCAGAGGGGAGCAAGGGGATGGTAACAGGGGTAACAGGGGTAACAGGGGTAACAGGGGTAACAGGGGTAACAGGGCAAAAGGTTACTTCCAGAGCATGACAGCCTCGAGGAGCGACGTGAGGATGAGGGAAAAGGGGGGGGGGGGTTTTGGGGGGAGTAAAGGAAAAGCGATGATAAGGAGGAAGGGGATGTTGTAAAGGAAGGGCCACACTTGCAAGGGTGACATGCCGTGCCAGGCCACACATACCATGGAGTGAGGATGCAGCAGCGATATGCCATGCCACACGTTGATCACTCCCAGCAGCACCACCACGCGCCCGTTCCAGTGGTGCAGCAGGTTCCACCAGGGCCGAAGCAGGGCGTCCTTGTGCGGAATAACCATGAGGGCGGTCACCTGAAGCAGGGATTGCACACAAGCACGTGGTCTTTAACACTTGAAATGGAACGCTCAGCAGCAGCAGCACCACCACGCGCCTGTTCCAAAGGTGCAGCAGGTTCCACCAGGGCCGAAGCAGGGCGTCCTTGTGCGGAATAACCATGAGGGCAGTCACCTGGGAAAGGGATTGCACTTGATAATAGGATTTTAAACGTGTGAATATACGTGACAAAGGCACCACCATAACAACACACCCACTCCAGTGGAGCAGGAGGTTCTACCACGGGCGAAGCAAAGGGTCCTTGTGGGGGATGACCATGAGGGCGGTCGCCAGAATACAGAGCCAGGATTGCACATCAGCACGGGTTAGTGCACATGAAAGTGGGGCCTAGCCAGCCCAAGTTTCTTCAAACGCACAGAAGTCTCTATTGCTAACTCCAGAGTTTCCACTTAAATATCCATGCATAGGTATATGTGTATATATATATGTAAATAATTTAAGTCGTAAGCACTCTCATCCACCCCACCTGGAAGGAAGCGAGCACGAAGAGAGTGATGCCGTAGCGCCTGTGTACCCCCGGGTCAAACTCCCCGGCCTCCTCGCCCCCCACGCCCCTCAGCCGCACATGCCCCTCGTGCGCATCCCCCCACATCAGCAGCCCCAGAAAGAACCCAAACGCGCCCAGCGCATACCCCCCCGCCTGCACCGCTCTGTGCAGCTTCACCCAGGACGGCGCCCCAGGGCCTGTGGCGACCACTGCTGACGTGGAGGGGAAGGGGAAGGAGGAGGAGGGCGGCGCGGAGGAGGACGAGGAGGAGGAGGAGGCGGTGGAGGGGTCGAGTTGGGGGAGGTGGCGGGCGAGCAGCATGCCGATGGGGAGGAGGAGGCCCCAGGCGAGCAGGTTGACGAGGCCGTGCGCTGCCTGCAGCCACTGGGGGGGTCCGGCACCTGAAAGGACGAGGCAGTGAAAAGAGATCAAGGGCAGGCAGAGAGGGGAGTGGGTGGCGGGCGAGCAGCATGCCGATGGGGAGGAGGAGGCCCCAGGCGAGCAGGTTGACTAGGCTGCGCGCTGCCTGCAGCCACTTGGGGGGTCCGGCTCCTGTGGATTGAGTGAGGGGAGTACGAGGAGTGGGTGAGGAGTAGAGGAGTGGGTGAGGGGTAAGCAGCACGTTGATGGGGAGGAGGAGGCCCCCCAGGCAAGGAGGCTGACCAGGCCATGAGCTGCCTGTAAGCACTGGGGGGGTCCGGCTCCTGTGGGGTGAGTGAGGAGTAGAGGAGTGGGTGAGGGGTAAGAGGAGTGGGTGAGGGATACGAGGAGTGAGTGAGGGGTAAGAGGAGTGGGTGAGGGGTAAGAGGAGTGAGTGAGGGTAAGCAGCATGCCGATGGGGAGGAGGAGACCCCAGGCGAGAAGATTGAGGAGGCCGTGTGCTGCCTGTAGCCACTGGAGGGGTCCGGCTCCTGTGGGCATGGGGAGGACGGAGAGGGAGGACGGAGAGGGAGGAGGGAAAGGGATCACCAAAGAGACTAAAGCGGGAGGAGGAAATAGAGGAGGATGTTCATCGCAAGGAGACATGCGGGGATTTGAGAGGTGCTGTGGAAGTATGGTGCGGCGATTTGAATGGTGCGGGGTCACGTTCTGGCGGAGGCAGTGTTCAAGGGTCGATTGTGACACGCCTAAAAAGCGCTGGGATTTAGGTGGTCAATCGAAGTATGGTGTGGTATGGGGGTACGGTCTGGTGTGTTGAATGGGCTGTTCAGTGGCAGGGGAAAGAGAGCACAAGGGTATGTCTCTATCACTCTTACCTGCCATTTGCAGGAACCCTCCGGGACCCTGAACCCGAAACCCTAACTCCTCACCTGCCAGTCACAGGTACGTACGGGCGGTGTTGAAGGGGCTGTGCGGGAGGGAGGCTGGATGGCCCCTGTGGCAGTCGCAGGAACACCCAAAGACCAGAAACCCGAAAACCCTACGCCCTAAACCCTAACGGTGAGGGTCGCACCTGCCAGTCGCAGGTACGTTCGCGCGGTGTTGAAGGGGCTGTGCGGCTCTAAGGCTCCCGTGGCAGGGTCCCCACCCTCGCCCTTGGCCATGATGATATACAGCCCTGGCGTCTGCTCCTCTGGTAGTGCCACCGCGAACATCACTCGCACCGTCGGGCCTTGAATGTGCACCTGACACCAAGGCAGAGGGAAAGGGGGGGGCAGAGAAGGAGGTCTGAGACTCCGTTCGTGCCCCGGGGCATGCTTCTCTGGTAGAGCCACGTCGGGCCTTGAATGTGCGCCTGACAAGAAGGCAGAGGGGGGAGGAGGAGGGAAAGGGAGTGTGCGGGGGGGGGGGGGATGTCTGAGTATCCCATGCCGCGGGGTCTGCTCCTCCGGTAGAGCCACGGCGAACATCACTCGCACCGTCGAGCATTGAATGTGCACCTGACCGGTTCACCAAGAGGAGGGGAATGCAGGGGGAGAAGTTGGGGAGGCAAGGCTATGGGGCGGCTGAAACCACCTTTTCCCATGAAAATAAGAGAAGGAGAAGAAGACGAAGAAGACGAAGACGAAAAAGAAAACCTTCTGACTTGTTCACTCAAAGTTTGATCCGCGCCTTCCAAGAACGGTTTCAGACCACGAAGTTTGATTCACGCCTTACCAGCGGCTCACAGTACTGCTACATGTAGTACCCCGAGTGGCGTTAACCTCCCACACCCACACACGCACGCACACTCACACATGCACACCCACGTCAATCACCCTGATGCTGTTTGCAACTACATCCAGCTCACCGGCGTCCGGCTTTATTAAAGTCGCGTTGTAGTAGGCCAACAAGTGCCGCGACACATAGTACCCTGACTCCCCTAATTCTGACACCCCAGTCCTCAAGTGCTCACCTTGATGCTGTTGGCAACCACGCTTAACTCCCCAGTGTCCGGCTTTATTAAAGTCGCGTTGTAGTCGGCCAGCAAGTACCGCGACACATAGTACCCCGACTCCCCCGAGCGGAACGCCACGATGGCGCTGGCCCCCACCATGCGCACACCAATCCCCCACCCCACCCACCCCTCCCAGTCCGCTGAGAATGCTCCGTCGAGGATGCGAGTGGGGCGGTCATAGGTCCACTGGTACACAGGACGAAAGGGGAGGGAGAGGGGAGGTTGGGGGTTTTGCGTGGGAAGGGGATACGGGGTCTATTTTTGAGGCGCCTCAAAAATAGAGGTTGGGGATTTTGCGTGGGAAGGGGATACGGGGCCGACACTAGTACCCCGACCGACTCCCCCGAGCGGAAGGCCACGATGGCGCTGGCCCCCACCATGCGCACGCCTATGCCCCACCCCACCCACCCCCCCCAGTCAGCCGAAAACGCGCCGTCCAGAATGCGAGTGGGGCGGTCATAGGTCCACTGGTGGGGGTAGGACGACGACAAAAAAGGGGAAGAAGTGTGGGGAGGGGGAGGGGAGGTGGAGGGGGGAGGGAGGGAGGGGTGAGTTGTTTGGATGTGAGAGGTTTGACACGTAGTAACCGGATTCCCCTGAGAGAAAGGCCACTATGGCGCTGGCCCCCACCATGCGCACGCCTGTGCGCCACCCCACCCATCCCTCCCAGTCCGCTGAGAATGCTCCGTCCAGGATGCGAGTGGGGCGATCATACGTCCACTGGTGGGGAGGGCGAAAAGGGGGGGAACGGAAGAAGGGAGGGGGAGAGAGGGGGGTTGTGTGGAAAGGGTTGAATTGACACATAGTACCCCGAGTTGCCCGAGTACCCCGAGAGAGGGGGGTTGTGTGGAAAGGGTTGCCTGAGCGCAACGCCACGATGGCGCTGGCCCCCACCATGCGCGCTCCGATGCCCCACCCCACCCACCCCTCCCAGTCAGCCGAAAACGCGCCGTCCAGGATGCGAGTGGGGCGATCGTAGGCCCACTGGTGTGGGGGGGGTGGTAGTTGAGAAAAGGAGAGGACAGCGTAGAGGAGAGGAGGGTTTATAGAGAGGCGATGGTATCATGGAGGAGATCCACTTAAACCATGAGTCTATCGACGAAGGCAAGGGGCACAGAGACGATGGGAGGGGGCGACTGATAATTATTCTGCTTTTACGCCTCAAAAGTGGAGGCGTCGGTAGCGGAACGCGAGGAACACTCATAAAGACGGAACCTTTCCTGACAACGAGAGGCAAGAAACGGTTCTTTTTAAAACGGCTATGGCTCTGTTTCGCTAAGACGAGTTGACTGCACGAAATGAACGGAATTGTGATTACATGGAAGGTGAAGCCGCCGCCCGATTGAAGATACACGCAGTTCTCGAACTCCCAGTTGCTCCCCACTTCCGTCTGAACGGACAGTGAGCAATTCTTCCGGCTGACGGCCGTCAGATCTGCCGGCCCGCCAATGAACGACTGACGCATGGCGTCTGCCGGCAAGGCTCCGAAATCCGCGGTGAGATCGCCGGCGGCTGGGAGGGACGGGGAAGCTTCCGAACTGGGAGCGGGAGCGGGTGCGCTGGCAGACGCCTCTGCTGACGTCACACTGGCGAGTACGTTAGTCGCATCTTCTGGTTGGGCGTACGCGTTGTTGAGAAGAATGGCCGCTGCTAAAAGCAGCGACCATAACGGATTCGATGCTCTCATGTTCCCCGTCTGAACAGGATCGCGCAGGGGGAATGCGCAATGTCAAGAGAATAACGGCAACAAAAGCGCAAGAAATAAATAGGGAAAGAGCGTCGATGCCGTAAGCTGCGAAATAGGTGCGAGAACTAGTGGTCTAGTTTCCTGAGCCTTCCCCAGACCATTAGGCTGCCAGGCTAGAACCTAGGATGATATCTGTTCTTGGATGATACTTAGGATTTGCCTGAACAAAATCAGTGGAGCTCTCTGATTGGTTGGTTGGTTGGTTGGTTGCATCACTATGGTTTGTTTTGCCCCCTGTGGCAATCCCTAGGGAAGACATTCAGCGAACAATCCCAGGGTAACAGAAGTCCGATGGGGAGCGATGACACTGCCAAGGAGGACAACTTCAAGGTGTGTCGCGAGAGAAAAGAAGTTAGCGACGCGCCTGAAGAGTTCGTGAATGTTCGCTACCAACCAGCACTCAACCTTGCGTCATCCAGCCAATCAGAAGCCGTACGAGAAACAAGCAAGAGGCTGGCCTGATCAGCCACCAATCAGTTCGTAAATCTGGTAACAACGAATCGAGAAAGTATGTCGTTTCGCGAGAGGTTCGCTGAGCAGCATGTACAGTTCGCGAATCTCCGCAACCTCTCTTCACTACTCTTTACTACGCACAGCATTCCCCAAGGCAGCTACTTTCGAGGTGGCTTTTAGAGGGGATTTTCAGCCTACGACGCTTCCCATACATCTCACGTCTCCAACTGATAACGAAGAATGTCGTTCACATATCCCTAGTGGACCGTAGCTCACCTCCCTCCGTGTCTGCCGCTATGTTCCGCGTTCTCCGCCGCCAAACGCGGGCAGCGCTACCGCCGTGCAGCGAGCAAGCCGTAGCGCGCTTCCTAGCACAGACTCACGCCTGCTTAATCCACTCCACCAGTAATCCTAATCCTAACGCGACGGCTAAAAGAGAGGACAGAGAAGGTGCGAGAGACGGTAATCGCGACAGTGACACAGCCGCGAACCGCCCGTATCGCGATCCGAATCAAGATAGTCGAGCAGGCGTAATAGGAGGGGTTGGGAGCGCGACACACGGCCGAGGAACAGACGGGAGAGGTACAGGTCCAGGCCGATCTGAAGATTCAAACCGCAACACTTCAAGAGGCGTAGTAGGAGGGGTTGGGAGCGGGACACACGGGCGAGGAACAGGCGGGAGAGGCTCCGGTCCAGGCCGAGGCGCAGTTGATCGAGGCACCGGTCCAGGCCGATCCGGAGAGACAAACAGCGCCACGTCAGGAAAACCGGGGAGAGTAGTACCCGCGGACAGGGGTGGGGGGTTAGGGGCAGGAGAATGGGGAAACGGAGGCGGGGGCGCAGGGACAGGGGAGCCGGGGGAGAGGGGGAACATTGCCCGGAACGAGCGGGCTAACTCAGCAGGGCGGGGGGTCAGGGGAACTGGGGAAGGCAAGATCGCGCGAGGGGGGGAAGAGAGGGGGATCGGGGGAACGTGGGATGGCAAGATCGGGGGAGTCCGGCAGGACAGGGGAACCAGGGAAGGTCTGCAGGGGAAGGGGCGAGCAGGGGATGGCAAGGACGAGCGAATCTGGCACGACAGGGCCATTGGGAAAAGTCGGAGTGGGCATGGCAGGAACGGACGAAGACGGCAGGTCAGGGGAGTTCGGCAGGTCAGGGGAGTTCGGCAGGGCAGGGGAATTGGAGGAGGCGTGTGGAAGAAGGGGAATACGAGGTGCCGTATTCGACGTACCCGCCAGGGACGAATGAGAAGCTTCAGGAGTGCTTCGAGAGGAAGCTGGCGTGGGAGGTGGAGTACCCCAGCGTCATGCCCGAGGTACGTTCTTTTTTTTGTAAGCCCGAGGTACGTTTTTTTTTTTTTTTTTTTTAAGCCCGAGACCCTTTTCCATTTATGCCCGTGGCACTTTCTTTTTCTGCCCGAGGTACTTTCTTTCTAGGCACCTCAAAGGTGAGAAGTTCAATGAGTGCTCTGAGAGGAAAAGCTGTGAGAGGTGGCTTTTGAGGTGGCCCAAAAGGCGTGTGAGATGGGGGGTACCCAAGCGCCTTTTTGAGGCGCCTCAAAAATCAAAAGGCGTGTGAGATGGGGGGTACCCAAGCGCCATGCCTGAGCAACGGTGAGCATCACGCCGACCGAGCCTCATTCCTGCCTTATTGCAGCCTCGTCCTCTGCTGGAGCCTCCTTCCAAGTCCAGATTGGACCCCAGCGAGCACCAGATGCTGCTGAGGCTGCGGCGAGAGAGTGAGAAATGAGGACCTTTTTCCAAGTCACACTCATCTCTTTCTTCCTCGCCACTTCTTCCACCACAGCCTCTGCTGGAGCCCCCTCCTTCCAAGTTCAGAGTGGAGCCCAGCGGGCACCAGATGCTGCTGACGCTGCGGCGAGAGAGCGAGGAGGACAGAGAAGACATCTTGCTCGTTGCAAAATTCGTGGAGGAAAGGGAGGGGAAGGGGGGGAGAGAGGAGGAGGAGGAGGAGGAGGAGGAGGAGGAGGAGGCAGGGAGGGGGTTGAGTGAGGAGGAGAGGAAGAAGAGGCGGTGGCAGAAGAGGGGGAGGGTGGAGGGGGTTACGATGGAGGATCTGGTTACCGGGCAGTGGCAGGAGAGGCTTATGGAGGGGATGGAGACAGATGAACGGACAGAGATCGAGGTGCGTCTATTATAAACCCCTAACCCCCTTGTATTTTCCAAGCCGCTGGGTCATCAGACGATTTTTTAGGCGCCTCAAAAGAAATCCGGAGGGTGGAGGGGGTTACGATGGAGGATCTGGTTACTGGGCAGTGGCAGGAGAGGCTTATGGAGGGGATGGAGGCAGATGAACGGACAGAGATCGAGGTGCGTCTATTATACCCCCTGAAGCTCTTAGTCTGTGGCCCTCATGGTTCGTCCATAATGACCCCCTTCTGGAGGATCTGGTTACCAGGCAGTGGCAAATTTTGAGTCGACTAAAAAATCACTTGAGTCGACTCAAAAATCACCTGTGCCTTGTCCAACCCACTTGCATGCGTAATGAGTCGATTTTTGAACAGGGGTATCTTTACCCACTGTTACTCACTGATTGCCTTGTCCAACCCACTGTTACTCTTTTTGCTAAAGTTTTCCTTTTCGCTGCAGCCCACCCTAATGCTTAATGGCTACAAATCGTCACAGGATTTTCTGATTGCCTTTTCCAACCCACTTGCATGCCTTTTTAGAGCTGCCTTTTTGCAGTTCCGGTGTGGCAACTCGCTGCCCTTGCCTTGCTGTTCCGCTTCGTATTGTGTCTCTCATTCCTGTTGACACTCGTCTCCCCACCGTGCAGTGGCAGACCAACCAGGGCTTTAACCTGACGCCCATCCACGTGTGAGTGAGCATCTGCAGCCTCCAGGCCACCTGCAAACTGCACTCTCCGGCTGTGCACCCCTGCTCTACTTTTCTCTCTCTTGTTCCCTTCGTCGTCGATTCCCCACCGTGCAGTGGCAGACCAACCAGGGCTTTAACCTGACGCCCATCCACGTGCGAGTGAGCATCTGCAGTCTCAAAGCCATCCGCGACAGCAAGAGTCAAAACCCAGCTCGTTCTAGACCGGGGAATTTACAGGAGAAACAGCAACTACCGGCGGCAACACCAGAAGCCCGGCCTTCTGCGACTGCAGCTGCTGCAGAAATGCAAGGAGCAGGCGCAATCCCTATGGAAACAGCGCCAGGAGAAGCAGCAGGGTCTACTTTTGAGGCGCCTCAAGAATTGCAAGAAGCAGGTGCAATCTGTATAGAAGCAGCAGGAGAAGCAGCAGGGTCAACAGCGCTAGCAGCATCAGGAGCAGTGGCTGCATACCCGATAACGGTCGACTGCCTGGTGCTGGGCCACCACCACTGGAAGATCCTCCGAGTGGAGTCAGTGGATCCCCAGGCTCCACCTTCTCGCGTTCCTGCCTATGGGCAACCACACGAGTGAGTTTCTGCTCTGTTGCTTTTTCTATGTTATAACGGTTGACTGCCTGGTGCTGAGCCATTACCACTGTACACGGTTTCTCTATGTTGTCCGCTCCTCTGTTCAACTCAGGCCTCTCTCGTTTCCTCTCTCTCCCCCTCTTCCCTCCCCCTCTCCTCCCCCTCTCCTCCCCCTCTCCTCCCCCTCTCCTCCCCCTCTCCTCCCCCTCTCCTTCCCCTCTCCTCCCTCTCCCCCTCCCCCCACTCCCCCCCCTCAACCCCCCCCCCCATTTTCCCTGCTCGTTGACTGGAATGAGCAACAGTCTATTGAGCCCAGAGTTGCAACAAGAATGGGAAACGTTTCTATTTCGTCGAGGATTTACGGGAGTCCTTGCACGCTATATCCGGGTGTACCTAGAATGCAAGGAGCACCATGAGAACGTACGCTGGTTGGATAGGATGTACAAGTGGTTCTCTAATTGATATGGTGTAGCACTTTTAGTTAAAAAAAAACATACACGCATTAATTATAAGGCACAGGAAACACGTGATTACCATCGTTCTTGTATGAAAATGAAATACTTCTAAAACGGGAATAGGTCACAGCTTTGAACTTTACAGGGAGGGCTTGCACATTCCCCGCAGAGGCGCGAGGCAACACTTGAAGCGCACCCCACACCTGACGCTTGCGCGAGTTGCGCCAAGGAATGCTCCGCTTGACGGTAAAAGCTGGGCGCCAAGAGCTTGACGGAGGACGTTCCCTCACAGCTGCACACCTGGGAGTGTCCTCCGCTTGACGGCGGAACCCGCCCCCTTGACTTCCGCAAGCGCGCGCGCGCGATGCCCGCATTAAGCGGAGAATTCTCCCCCCTTCTTCCCCTCTCCACGCGGTCGGGACATCAGGGCATTTCGCCACGTGGCGCACGGCCATTCGCTTTTTCCCACCTCCCCGCATTCAACGCTCACGTTCCACAGGCCCTCCCCGTCCGGAATGCGCGTCGATCGCGGCAGCTCCGTAAACCACGCACGCCCGAGCGGTTTGTTTTCGTCGTCTCGAGCGGAGGGCCGCGGAGAGAGGATGACTGGGGGAGGGGGGGCGGTAGGCGGGGCGGCGGGAATGACTGGGGGAGAGGGGGGAATGACTGGGGGCGGAACCAGTCTTCCCCGCGATCCTCCGGAGAGGCGCGGAGATGGGCGGATTGGGGGAGGGGGAGGGCGGAGGGGAGGGGCGCCTGGGAGAGGGGACGGTGGGCAGCGGGGGATGATGAGGGCAGCGGAAGGACGGGAAGAGGGGGAAGGAAGGAAGGCGGGGGAGCAGGCGGAGCGGAATGGGGGAGGGGAAGGTCTTGGCGGGGGGAAGGGGCGGGGCGGTCAGAGTGGGGAAGAAACGAGGAAAGGGAAAGCGAGGGTGCTGGCAATGCGGGTTTTAGAAACCACTATGTGACCTTGGGAGTGCCGAAGCGCGCCAGCAAGCAGGAGATTAAGGCTGCCTTTAGACGGTTGGCTCGCAAGGTACTGTGTTAGCTTAGCGCACCCTTACAAGAGTGTCACTTGCGCCAGAGAGTGCTGCTCTTGTAAGAGCAGGGCAGCTGCACTTTTGGAGGGCACTGCTGCTGGAAGCACTATGATGACGCTCTTGTAAGCATAGTGGTTGGTTCCGCAAACATTTTCTCCTCTCCCCTCCCCCTAACTGGTTTTGAGGCGCCTCAAAACTAGACTCCTCTCCCCTCCCCCTAACTGTCATGTCCCTCCGCCATGCAGACGTGTCGCATCACCACCAGTCCACCCAGGCTTTCCTCCTAACTAGATCCGCACACCCTCCTCCAATCCCCTCCGCCCTCCTCCAATCCCCTCCGCCCTCCTCCAATCCCCTCCGCCCTCCTCCAATCCCCTCCCCCCTCCTCCTCTCACTTCCCCCTCGTCCCCTTCCCCTTTCCCCTTTCCCCCTTCCCCTTCCCCCTTCCCCCCGCCTTCCCCCTCCCCCCTGCCCCAGTGTCATCCGGACGTGTCGCATCACCACCAGTCCACTCAGGCATTCCGTGCGATTCTGGCTGCTTATGAGGTGACTGAATGGGGGTATATGAGGTAACTGAATGAGGGTAGAGGGTTTTTAGGTTGCTCATTCGTGACATAAGGCATGCATGCTCTATGTGCTTGATGCACGCAAGCAAGCATGGGGTGCATCCGAACATGAGCTACATGCATTGACTGTGTGCATTGACTGTGTGCATTGACTGTGTGCATTGACTGTGTGCATTGACTGTGTGCATTGACTGTGTGCATTGACTGTGTGCATTGACTGTGTGCATTGACTGTGTGCATTGACTGTGTGCATTGACTGCGTGCATTGACTGTGTGCATTGACTGTGTGCATTGACTGTGTGCATTGACTGTGTGCATTGACTGTGTGCATTGACTGTGTGCATTGACTGTGTGCATTGACTGTGTGCATTGACTGTGTGCATTGACTGTGTGCATTGACTGTGTGCATTGACTGTGTGCATTGACTGTGTGCATTGACTGTGTGCATTGACTGTGTGCATTGACTGTGTGCATTGACTGTGTGCATTGACTGTGTGCATTGACTGTGTGCATTGACTGTGTGCATTGACTGTGTGCATTGACTGTGTGCATTGACTGTGTGCATTGACTGTGTGCATTGACTGTGTGCATTGACTGTGTGCATTGACTGTGTGCATTGACTGCGTGCATTGACTGTGTGCATTGACTGTGTGCATTGACTGTGTGCATTGACTGTGTGCATTGACTGTGTGCATTGACTGCGTGCATTGACTGCGTGCATTGACTGTGTGCATTGACTGTGTGCATTGACTGTGTGCATTGACTGTGTGCATTGACTGTGTGCATTGACTGTGTGCATTGACTGTGTGCATTGACTGTGTGCATTGACTGTGTGCATTGACTGTGTGCATTGACTGTGTGCATTGACTGTGTGCATTGCAGTCAGCCCAAGATTTACGTTGATTGACACATGGACTGCATTGCACATGTATATCGTCTCTCGAGTATTTAGTGCTTTGGCTTTATTGTACCCAAATTCATGCCTCCGCCTCTTCCGATGCTCGTCAACCGTCCACCAGGTACAAACCAACGACCAGCAGCGGCAGCAGTTTTTCTTCTTCTTCCTATTCCTTTTCTTCTTCTTGTGACTAAAGAGCGATCTGCTTCATTCACCGCTCATTCTCCCTCCCCCCACCAGGTTCTATCCAACGACCAGCAACGGCAGCAGTACGACTTCACACTCGCACCAGAAGAGACAGCCACCGGGCCTTACCGGACCCAACCTACACATTTCTACTGGGGCCCGCATGGTCATCCTTCCGCCGCTGCTGCTGCCACCACCTCAGCATCTGCAGGTGCAGCGGCAGCAGCAGCAGCATCAGAGTCAGCTCCCTACTCCTCCGCTGCATTCCCTCGTGATACAGGTGACTGGTGGGTTCCCCCCTCCACATCCTACCGACCTGGCACCCGCTCATCTGCCTACTCAGCATCAGCATCAGCATCATCAGCCAACTCGTCAGCAGAGGAAGCAGGAGCAGCAGAAGATTCCCACCAGGATTCAGCCTCCTTTTTCCGCTGGCCGCTCAACTACTCGCAGGTGAAGTCGGGGGTCAGACGGCAGCGCAGAGCAGCGCACAGCCAAGCCCAAGCGCAGTCCGACGCCCGGTTCTACCGTGCAAGCGCTGCATATGGCTCGCACACCACTCATGATGAACAGCAGCAGCAGCAGCAGCAGCAGCAAGATGGAGGTAGGTGGGAGCAATGGGAAACACAGCAACGGCACACGAGAAGATCACACAGCCACAGCCACAGCCACTCATATAGGGAGGCTTATGACAAGCAACGCCGGGGTGGTAACCGCACACATCCACGCCACCGATCGGATGACCGTGCGGACGAATGGGATCGATCCAGGTGGCAGGAGGAGGAGGAGGAGGGGGCAGAAGGCAGGCATCCCTCCTTGGAGCCCTTCACCCTCCCTCTATCCTTCTCACGCGTTTTCCTCGGCCCATGGGTGGCCGACGCGCGCCGCTTCGCCCTCTACCGCCTCCGCTCGCTCTTCCCAGGCGGTCTCCGGTCTGTCTCGTCCGCCCTATCCCTGTCATTCGCCCTCTTCCTTCTCTTCTCATGTGCTGTGGCGTTCGGCAGCGAGCGCTTGCTAGGCGTGCTCGCCTTTGCTCTCATGTGGGGAACCAGCGCGGGTACCAGATAGCCGGGATTGTGGCGTGGCGCCTGGGGGGGGTGAGGGGTCTGGTTCTGGTTGTGGGGTTGAGTGCGGTTCAGTGGGTTGCTGGGCCCATGTTTTGCCACAGGACGGCGGCATTGGTGGCGGTCGTGGTGTGGCTGGGAGGACAGGTGGCGGCTCGGCTCTCGATTTCACCGCTGGTGCTGGCTTTGCTTGCGTCTAGGTTGGTGCATGTTTGGGACAAGGATTAATAATGCCAATAGCTGCGGTGTATATAATGTGTAAGCAAGCACCCGAGAATACTCGTGCATAATCGAGATCCACGCAAGTTCCCGCATTGTCTGTCCAACAAGAGTGGTGCAGGCAAGGTCGTCTCCATGTAGGTAGGCATTAAAAAAGCCATGGACGCCACTTGCCACCAACTACATATTCTTACTATGTGGTACACATGTTGTGGCCACTTGGACACGTTGCATAACTTACATTCCATATCACTTACGCGATGTAACATGCCCGACTAGGTCAGTTTGCTTCAGTTCGCATGTTACGATCTCCTTATAGTGGGGCACCTGCTCTGGTAGTTTCCGGGCCCTGCCCTGCCCTCACGTATTCCCAGTGGGCGGCAGAAGCTCCGCTTGCAAAAGGGGTCGGCGGACCGCGAAATGCTTGGGGCCACCCATTTGGATTCGCGCATTCCACACTTCCCCCACACCTCCCTATCCCGCCCGCCAATCTCCCCAGCCTCCCCCGTCGCTCCGCACCTCGGGTTTTGCTCTAGAAGTCTCTGCCCTTGGCTGGACCGTTCTTTCGTGCTTGTCAACTGGGGTCGATGACCTGGGGATGTACGAAGCCACGAGAGACGCAGATCTGGTAACCCGGTATAATATTTTTCGCGGAGCAAGACAATTTCGAGGGGCAACATAACTAAATGCCCCCGCCCACCAGAGAGCACTGATTACAGTAGCTGACTCACTGCTGTCCAGAAAATATATTCCTACAAGGTAACTCTTCCAGCCTCAAGGAATATGTTCACAGGTCTGTCATAGCTCTACCGTTGCAGTTTCGCGAGGTCGACGCTCGCATTTTTTATCTTGCTCTGTCAAGTCCCCCGAGGCACCGACGTCGGCCTTAGACTGCCGTTGTGCGCTTGCCTGTGCGCTTGCCTGTGCGCTTGCCTGTGCGCCGGTTTGCCTTTTGGTCACTCGGAGGTAGCTTGTTGACATTTGTTGTTCAGGGGGGATTGACCAGCCTGCGCCTCTCAATCTCGATTGTAATTTCCACTGGGATCTCTGTTTTGTAGAAGACAATCAGGTGGAGATTAGAAGTAGCCCGTTACGGCTTGTTCGTATCTCGGTTACCCGTCCAGCATACCGTCCAGCGTCTACTCCCAAAGCCGTCTGTGTCGTTCATCAGTCATTCTTTATCATCGCGTCGTCATCCGAAATTGAGACGGTCTAACTCTGCTGGAATTCTACTAAGATACAGATGTGCACCTAACGTTCGTCGCCGATGCTTCGTCGGAATCCCACTCGGATCGAGCTGAAACCCGAAGATCGGGAGGAGTACTTCGAAGCCAGAAGACTCGCCGCCGCCGCTGCCGCCGCTGCCGCTAGTGCACCTGGAACCAGTGGAGGGGGAGGAGGCGTACCTTCGGCGAACCTTCTTGGGGCGCGGTTAGAGTCTCCGTTTCAGGGGAGGGGAGGAGCCTCTGGTGCCAGGACAGGCCTCCAGAACTAGAGCGTTCTTAGTCGGGCTTTAAGAAATTTTCAGCGATTCTGCTGTGGTTAGCGATCTAGGGTTTGCTTCTCACGCTTAAGACGACTGCGACTCCCGGCGGCCTTCTTGCTAGTTCATTCGTGATTCCGTTAGGTCATCGCGAATCTAAGAGCTGACCTAGGTCATCTCACAGCAGAATTTGCTGCTGCTGCTGCTGCCGTGCTAGGTTATCCTCCATCTCCCCGCTTCGCCTTTCGTTAGGCCTGTGTGTTTCTCGGCGTGGTTCGATTTAGGCTTGCACCCATGTTCCCGTGCTCGAGCGTGCGCGCTTCCCCCACTCCGTCCTACCTCTCGGGTCTCACTCCCTCACCGCTGAGGTTACAGCGACCTGCGAGCTCGCCAGTTGAGGTAATTTCGCAGTGTCACAGGACGCCGCGCGCTTTTGAGTCGACTCAAAAGCTTTCGTAGTTTCACAGGACGCCGCGCGTAACTTCCTGGTTTGTCAACCCAACAACCTTCCTACCTTCGTATGAAGGATCTCAATTCAGCCCCTGCTGCTTCATCGTATTCATCGTATTTAGCCCCTGCCTATTTCTCATCGCACACCACATGCCTGCTGCTTCCGACCTTGCGCCTGAACCTGCTCGTCTTAACACTCTTTCCCAATTCTTTAGCACTTTGAGTCACTCGCGGGTCTTGACCCCATCCTCAATCTACTCTTCTCTTCTCTTTCCTCTCAACCTCTCAGAACCCTTCTGTTTCTTCCGTTTCCCCCCTTCGAATTTCTTGGCAATACTGTCCTGCCACTCTTTTCGCCTCATCCCCTCTTATTCTTCTCCCTCTCTCTTCCTCTTTTCCAGGGGGGAGGGAGTGGGCTGCTGCGGGTGGTAGCGAGGAGGGAGAGGGGGCACAAGAGGCCCACCTGTTTAATGTGGAGTGGTGTTGGGGTGAGTATTGGGGTGGAGTGTTGGGATAGATGTTGGGATGGGTGTTTGATTGAAGGGTGAAGAGGAAGGTTGCTGCGGATGGTAGATGTATGAAGGAAGCGGAAGAGGCTTACATGCGGCTGGCTCTAACTATCAGTCCCATCTGCTTCGTTCACGTTAATCTTTCCTCATCTACTTCGCCCCTCTTCAGACCACCAGGTGCCATGTGAGCCGCACTGTCTTCCCCGTCCGCCGGCTGCCGCCCCTGCGCTCTGCTCCTGGCGACAGCACAGGCAAAGTGGCAAGCGAGCCCCCCCTGATCTGGAACGAGGTGGAGTACTCCCCCGACGGGCTGGGAGTGGTGAAGCAGGACCCCCTGCTGGCCTCCCACGAGCCCCACCTGCGCTACCGCTACGCGCAGTTCCTCAAGCTGAAACGAGCACTGGAGCAACATGAAGGGGGGCTGGACCACTTCTCCCGAGGTGAGCGACCTTCCTTCCCGAGGTGGGCTAGGAGGGGACCTGTGGCAGGGCCCCCTCTGGCTGAGCCCCACCTGCGCTACTGATGCACACAGTTCCTCAAGCTCAAGAGGGCGCTGGAGCAGCATGAAGGCGGGCTGGACCAATTCTCCCGTGGTGAGTTGTTTTCAGGATTCCAGTTATCACCTCCTGGTCTTGGATTATGCGCACACCCAGGTATGCAGTCGAAACTTGCAACACATAACAATGTGCAACCATCCAATGTGCAACCACCCACTGTGCAACCATCCACTGTGCAACCATTTAGGGTGCATCCATGCATCCGATGTGCAACCATCAAATGCGCAACCATCCAATGTGCAACCATCAAATGCGCAACCATCCAATGTGCAACCATCAAATGCGCAACCATCCACTGTGCAACCATTTAATGTGCACCCATCCAATGCGCATCCATCCAATGCGCATCCTCTCCACTGTAACTTGCACTGCGTGCATGGCAGGGTATGAGACGATGGGCTTCACACGGGAGAAGGATGCCATAGTCTACCGCGAGTGGGCTCCTGCTGCCACGTGAGTTGATTGAAAGGCGTAAGTTGGGCTTTAAAGCCCTGCTGCCACGTGAGTTGAAGGGCGTAAGCTGACTGTAATGCCCTGCTGCCACGTGAGTTGGATTTACAGGATTATCGAGTCTGATTCTAACGAATTCCTTTTTTAGCAGAAATTTTCACCAGAATCCTGCCCCTCTCGTTCTCTTCTTTCTCTCTGGTGCTAAAGAAGGTTTGCTGTTATGCCGAATGCTAACTTGCTTTTGGTTGCACTCAATGGCATTGCTGAGTTATGCCAAGTACTAACTTTGTTTCTTCCCCCTTACAATCACAGCCCTGCCCAGCTAGCCTCTTGAGTTCAACACGTACAACGAGGTGTTTGTTGCTTGACTCAGCAACAAGCATATCATCCTTGTCTGTTGCGTCCGTGACAAGACAATTACAGTGCTACGCAGCTAGTGGGCTCATGGGCAATTACAGCTAGTGGGTTGATGGGAAATCACAGCTAGTGGGCTCATGGGCAATTACAGCTAGTGGGCTCATGGGAAATTACAGCTAGTGGGCTCATGGGCAATTACAGCTAGTGGGCTCATGGGCTACGCAGCTAGTGGGCTCATGGGCAATTACAGCTAGTGGGCTCATGGGCAATTACAGCTAGTGGGCTCATGGGCAATTACAGCTAGTGGGCTCATGGGCAATTACAGCTAGTGGGCTCATGGGCAATTACAGCTAGTGGGCTCATGGGCAATTACAGCTAGTGGGCGGGTGGACCCCTCGAGCTACAACGGGTGGAACAAAGGTTATTGTTGATCGATCAAACAACCATCTGATCCCTCTCCCCCCACTTCCCCCTTCCCCTTCCCCCCCCGTTTTCCCCCTCCTCCTTTTCCCCCCTCACTATCACAGTGCCGCGCAGCTAGTCGGCGATTTCAACGGGTGGAACGGCGAGTCCTGCTGGATGGAGCGCAATCATTTCGGCGTGTGGTCGGTGCGGCTACCAGACAGAGACGGCCGCCCGGCGATCGCGCACGGATCTCGAGTGAAGATTCGGCTGCAGAAGGGGGACGGCGGGTGGGTGGAGCGCATCCCGGCTTGGATCCGATGGGCCACGGCTGAGCCGGGCAAGATGGGGGCGAGCTACGATGGCATCTACTGGAACCCCCCGGCCAATGAGAGGTCAGCCTGTTTGAGTGAGCGGTGAGAGAATGGGGCTGTGCAGGTGCTTTGGGTGGTTCACATTTTTTAGGCGCCTCAAAAATAGGCTGTGCAGGTGCTTTGGGTGGGGGCCCATCACATTTTCGTTTGGATCCGACGGGCCACGGCTGATCCAAACCAGGGAGGATGGGGGCGAGTGAGCTATGATGGAATCTACTGGAGCCCCCCTGCTATCGAGAGGTGAGAAGTAAGGTGTGCTGACGGACTACTTTGTTGGAGTGTATTCTGGCTCCGCCGTGGGCTATTGTAGCAAGCGCGCATCACACCTCGTTTCCCCCTCCCACCCCTTCCCACCCCTTCCCACCCCTTCCTCTCCCCCTTCCTCTCCCCCTTCCTCTCCCCCTTCCTCTCCCCCTTCCTCTCTCCCTTCCTCTCCCCCTTCCTCTCCCCCTTCCTCTCCCCCTTCCTCTCCCCCTTCCTCTCCCCCTTCCTCTCCCCCTTCCTCTCCCCTTCCTCTCCCCCTTCATCTCCCCTTCCTCTCCCCTTCCTCTCCCCTTCCTCTCCCCCTTCCTCTCCCCTTCCTCTCCCCCTTCCTCTCCCCTTCCTCTCCCCCTTCCTCTCCCCCTTCCTCTCCCCTTCCTCTCCCCCTTCCTCTCCCCCTTCCTCTCCCCCTTCCTCTCCCCCTTCCTCTCCCCTTCCTCTCCCCTTCCTCTCCCCTTCCTCTCCCCCTTCCTCTCCCCCTTCCTCTCCCCCTTCCTCTCCCCCTTCCTTCCCTTCCTCTCCCCCTTCCTCTCCCCCTTCCTTTTCCCCGAGTTCTAGTTCAAGAGCCCCCGCCCCCTTCAGTTCAGCCCATCGACCCCTGCATGTATGAGGCTCACATTCGGCATGAGCTCCTAGGAGCCTAGTTTTGAGGCGCCTCAAAACTCGCCCCCTTCATTTCAGCCCATCGGCCCCTGCATGTATGAGGCTCACACTGGGCATGAGCTCCTAGGAGCCTAGTTTTGAGGCGCCTCAAAACTCGCCCCCTTCAGTTCAGCCCATCGGCCCCTGCATGTATGAGGCTCACACTGGGCATGAGCTCCTAGGAGCCGCACATGCTAGCCCAACCCCCTCCCCATTCCCTCCTCTCCCTTTCTGCAAGCACGAGTTCAAGTACCCCTGTCCCCCTCGGCCCATCGCCCCACGCATCTACGCAGCCCGTGTCGGGATGCGCTCGGTCGGAAGAGCCCCGCATTGCCTCCTTTGTGGAGTTTGCCAACAACGTGCTCCCGCGCATCAAGGCTGCGGACTACAACCCCGTCCAGCTCATGGTCGTCACCGAGCACTCACTCCTACCACTGTCCCACTCTCCATCCCCCATTTCCCTCCCCTTTTCCCTTCCCCTCTCCGCTTCCCCATTCCCCTCCCGTTTCCCCTCCCCTTTCCCGCTTACCCGTCTCAGGTATGAGTTCAAGTGCCCCGCCCCCCTCGGCCCGTCGCCCCGCGCATCTACGAAGCCCACGTGGGGATGAGCTCGGAGGAGCCCCGCATCGCATCCTACGTTGAGTTCGCCAACAACGTGCTCCCGCGCATCAAGGCGGCGGGCTACAACACAGTCCAGCTCATGGCCGTCACCGAGCACTCCTACTACGCCTCCTTCGGCTACCACGTTACCAATTTCTTCGCAGTCAGCTCGCGGTCCGGCACCCCAGAGGACCTCAAATACTTAGTCGACACGGCGCACTCGCTCGGGCTCCGCGTGCTCATGGATCTCATCCACTCCCACGCGAGTAACAACGTGTCCGATGGGCTCAACGGGTTCGACTTCGGGCAGTCGGCGGCCGATTCGTATTTCCACACGGGGGAGCGGGGGTACCACAAGCTCTGGGACAGCCGGTGCTTTAACTACTCCAACTGGGAGGTGCTGCGTTTTCTCCTGTCGAACCTCCGGTTCTGGCTCGAGGAGTTTCAGTTCGACGGGTTTAGGTTTGACGGGGTGACCTCGATGCTGTATCACCACCGGGGCATCGGCCTGTCGTTTTCGGGGGATTACCACGAGTATTTCTCCACCTCGACTGATGTAGATGCGGTGGTTTATTTGATGCTAGCAAATGATCTGATTCACGGGGTGCGGCCGGATGCGACTACGATAGCAGAGGATGTCTCTGGGATGCCCACGCTGGGTCTGCCGGTGCCGATCGGAGGAGTGGGGTTTGATTATAGATTGGCCATGGCGATTCCCGACCGCTGGATCGAGTACCTGAAGGATCGGAGGGATGAAGAGTGGAGCATGCAGGAGATTGTGCACACGCTGACCAACCGGCGATACACCGAGAAGTGCATTGCGTATGCAGAAAGCCATGACCAGGTGAGGCAATTCCCAGCACAAAAGCCATGACCAGGTGAGGCAATTCCCATCACAAAAGCCATGACCAGGTGAGGCAATTCCCATCACAAAAGCCATGACCAGGTGAGGCAATTCCCAGCACAAAAGCCATGACCAGGTGAGGCAATTCCCAGCACAAAAGCCATGACCAGGTGAGACAATTCCCAGCACAAAAGCCACGACAAGTTGAGGCAATTCCCAGCACAAAAGCCACGACCAGTTGAGGCAATTCCCAGCACAAAAGCCATGACCAGGTGAGGCAATTCCCATCACAAAAGCCATGACCAGGTGAGGCAATTCCCAGCACAAAAGCCATGACCAGGTGAGGCAATTCCCAGCACAAAAGCCATGACCAGGTGGGCTGATAGGCACGGCCAGGTGACAATCACTTAGCATTCCTTCCAAGGGACTCACACTCGTATTTCATTTCATCCCTTTGCATCCCTTTGCATCCCTTTGCATCCCTTCCCACTTCCACAAGTCGCTGCTCATTAAGTCAGGCCTTAGCTGTTTTTCCGTTCCGTTCCGCTTTCCGCTTGCTCTCCTTTTCGCCCCCCCCCCCCTGTCCATGGTGGGAGACGAGCCCTTTTGCATTCCTCCTGATAGACTCACACATTCTTCCTTTTGCATTCCTCCTGATAGACTCACACATTTCTGTGCTTGAAAAACCGATCTGCTGTTCTTACCCGAAGTTTCTTCTTCTCTCCCTTCTGCCCCCCTTTCCCTTATCCCTTCCCCTCTCCCTTCCCCTCTCCCTTCCCTTCTCCCTTCCCCTCTCCCTTCCCCTCTCCCTTCCCCTCTCCCTTCCCCTCTCCCTTCCCCTCTCCCTTCCCCTCTCCCTTCCCCTCTCCCTGCCCCTCTCCCTTCCCCTCTCCCTTCCCCTCTCCCTTCCCTCCCTTCCCCTCTCCCTCCCCCCTCCCCCCAGTCAATGGTGGGAGACAAGTCCTTTGCGTTCCTCCTCATGGACTCCGACATGTACTTCCACATGTCGGTGCTCGAGAAGCCCACGCCTGCGGTGGAGAGGGGCGTGGCTTTGCACAAGGTGAGCTTTTATGAGGGTGTGTGCGGGGGGAGGGGGGGGAGAGTGGGGTGAGGGACTCGGACAGCTCGTCTGTGCTTGAGAAGGCACCCCCTGCGGTGGAGAGGGGCGTGGCCTTGCACCTTCTGAGCCAACGTGGTACTGTGCTGATGGATTCAGACAAGTCTGTGTTTGAGAAGCCAATCCCTGCTGTGGTGAGGGGCGGGGCGTTGTACAAAACAGTGCAACAAGATTTAAACACCTCTTCTTTCGTCACCATCTTCTTTCCCAAATGATTCACTTACGTTGTCCTCTCTGCCTCTCGTCTCCTTCCTCTATCTCTGAGGGTTAATGAGGCGCCTCAAAGATGGTTAATGCAAACGGCTCGCACTCCTCTTTCTGCCTCCCCTCTCCTCTCCTCTCCTCTCCTCTCCTCTCCTCTCCTCCCCTCCCCTCCCCTCTCCTTTGCTCCCCTCTCCTCTGCTTCCCTCTCCTCTGCTCCCCTCTCCTCTCCTCTCCTCACCTCTCCTCTCCTCTCCTCTCCTCTCCTCACCTCTCCTCGCCTCTCCCAGATGATTCACTTCCTCACAATGGCGCTGGGAGGCGATGGTTACCTCAACTTTATGGGGAATGAGGTATGTGACTTCAACAGATGTGACTGTAGTGGTCGTTACTGTGTGACTGAAGTAATGTAACTGTTACTGTAGAGTTATGACTGGGAGGTGAGGTGATGGCAGCATCAACCTTCTGGGCAATGAGGTGTGTTCGGTAATTGGCCCCTACCTACTTCGATTCCATGCGCCTATTCCTTCAACCCTTTCGTAAAATATTTTCCTGCTTATTTCTCTCGCCTTGCTCCTCTTCCGCCATCCTCATCCCTCCCCTCCCCGCCAGTTCGGGCACCCCGAGTGGCTGGACTTCCCTCGGGTCGGGAGGGTGCCTACCTACCTAGCCTTATGCCTCTGGACTTCCCTTGTGCCAGGAGTCTATTTTTGAGGCGCCTCAAAAATAGATTCATCCCCTCCAGTCTCACTTCTCTCTCTTTGCCCTTCCTCTTCCCCCGTCCTCCCCCCCCCCCCCGCCCCCCCCACCAGTTCGGGCACCCCGGGTGGCTGGACTCCCCTTGTGCCTCGTTTCTTCCCCTCCATTCTCCTACCTTTCTCTCTGCCCTTCCCTTCCGCCATCCTCATCCCCCCCCACCAGTTCGGGCACCCCGAGTGGCTGGACTTCCCTCGAGAAGGCAACAACTGGAGCTACGACCGCTGCCGGCGCATGTGGAACTTGAGGGACGACAAGCTGCTGCGCTACCAGGTGTGGGGTTATGCACCTTAGAACGTGCTGCGCTGCGCAGTAGTACTTGCTACAGGCGCAGGTGCGTGGAGGAGGAGCTACGACCGCTGCCGGCTGGCAGGCGCGTGTGGAATCTGAGGGACGACAAGCTGCTGCGCTACCAAGTAAGTGCGCTTTTGAGTCGACTCAAAAGTAAGTGCTATGACTGCTGCTGCTGGGCCTGTCATGGAGTAGGTGATAAGAGGACTGCTACGACTGCTGCTGCTGCATTCAAGTGTGGAACCTGAGGGAAGATGGGCTTCTGCGATACTAGGTGAGTGCTGAGCCTGTCAATTAGTAGGTGATAAGGCGAATGTGCTACGACTGCTGCTGCTGCTGCTGCAGGCAAATGTGGAACCTGAGGGAGGGATGGTAGGCTGCTGCGATATCAGGCTGCGGTACGAACTGCGGTACGAGCTGCGGTACGAGCTGCGGTACGAGCTGCGGTACGAGCTGCGGTACGAACTGCGGTACGAACTGCGGTACGAGCTGCGGTACGAGCTGCGGTACGAGCTGCGGTACAGTGTCTTCCTCTGGGATCCACTGTATCAGCTCAAGCTAGTATCCCATGCTCTGATCGAACTCTTCACGCTCCATGGGCTCCTGTCCACACCCATGCTAGGAAGAGGTGACTTTTGAGCTGACTCAAAAGTCACCTACTATCCCATGTTCTTGTGAACTCATCGTGCTCCATGGGCTCTTGTCCACACCCATGCTAGGCGGAATGGAGCACAGTGGTTGACGGACCAGCGCCGATCCCCCCCATTTCCAACCCCAATCACACCCCTCCCCCCCCCTCACCCCCCTTTTTCCCCCCTTCTCCCCTCTTCTCCCCCCTTCTCCCCTCTTCTCCCCTTTTCTCCCCTCTTCTCCCCCCTTCTCCCCTTCTCCCTTCTTCCCCCAATCACACCCCCTTCCCCCCCTTCCCCCACTCTTTCCCCCTTCTCCCCCCTTCTCTCCCCCTCTCCCCTTCTCCCTTCTTCCCCCCAATCACACCCACTTCCGCCCCCCCTCTCCTTGCAGCACATGGACCGGTTTGACCAGGCAATGAATGCCCTGGACGAGAAGTACCACTTCCTGGCTGCAGACCACCAGATTGTGTCCAGCGCAGACGAGAAGGATCGGGTGAGTATTCAGTGAAGTGTCGATTAGCGTGAGGGCAGAGATCCAGCTAGCGCGGATGAGAAGGGTCGGGTCAGTGTCCAGTGAAGTGCAGAGGAGCACGGCGAGAGTGTGCTGTCTGGTGTGTGTGGCACCTAGGGTCCACACATGCGATCCAGCCAGCGCGGATGAGAAGGACCCGGGCGAGTGTTCAGTGAAGTGCAGACGAGCACGGTAGGAGGAGTGTGCTGGCTGGAGCGTGTGGCATCACAGGGTGCCCAGTGAAGTGCAGACCATCAGAAGTACCACTTTCTGGCTGCCGACCATTGGATCGTGCCCAGCGCGGACGAGAATGATTGGGTGAGTGTTCAGTGAAGTGCAGATTTGCGTGAGGGCAGAGATCCAGCCAGCGGGGATGAGAAGGTCCGGGTGAGTGTGTAGGCGTTAGTGGTGAGTGTGGCATCTTGGGCCCACCACACATTAGATGGTGTTCAGCGTTGACAAGAAGGAATGGGTGAGTGTCCATTGACGCGCAGACGAGGGTGGGAGGTGCCTCTCGAGCGCTCCCACCTCCCACCAGCATGGCAGGACGAGTGTGTGTGGCATTGAATGGCGTCTAGTGACTTGCAGGCCATCAGAAGCTGCACTTCCTTGCCGCGGACCATTCAATTGTATCCAGTGCGGATGGGCGTGAAAGGGTGGGTGTGTAATCTCTAGCCGTGTGTCTGGCATCTAGGGTCCACACACCGGATCGTGTCCAGCGCAGATGGGAGGGACCGGGTGAGTGAGTGCCGAATGCAGAAGAGAATGGCAGGGGGAGTGTGCGGCGGGCGGCTGTGCCATCTAGTGCATGTGCTGTCCAGTGTGTGTGGCATCACATGGTGTCCAGTCCAGGGCAGCATCATGTCCTTGCCTCCGACCATCAGATCATGTCTAGTGCTGCTGACGCGAATGAGAGGGTGCAGATGAGCATGAGAGGGCAAGTGTGTGGTTCCTGCCCCTCCCTCCTCCCTGGTTCACCCGTACCCGCTTGGCAGGTCATTGTGTTTGAGAGGGGCGATCTTCTCTTCGTCTTCAACTTGCATCCCACCAAAACCTACGAGGGGTGAGTCTCTAGCTGCGCTTGCCACCCTTCCCCCTCCGCCCCCCCCCCACCCCCCGTTCCACTCTCTTCACCTTCCACTTGCATCCGGCCAAAACCTACAAAGGTGGGTCTTTTGTTTCATTTCTGTGGTTGCCTATTCGACCATGATTCGTTTTATGGAACTGCGTCTGGCCCGTTGTGATTGCTCGCCTCCCTTCCCCCTTCCCTTCCCCTTCTCTTCCCCTTCTCTTCCCCTTCTCTTCCCCTGGCACCCGCTGCAGCTACGAGGTGGGGTGCAAGGAGCCCGGCAAGTGGCAAGTGGTGCTTCTGCATGTCACTTCCTCCTTTCCCCTGCTCTTTGCTACCCAAACCCTCCGTTCTTTTCGCCCTCTCCCGCCCGCTGCAGCTACAAGGTGGGATGCAAAGAACCCGGCAAGTGGCGAGTGGTTCTGGACAGTGATGCTCTTGATTTTGGGGGCAGAGGGCGGGTGAGTCTGGGGGCAAAGGGCGGGTAATTCTGGGGGCTAAGGGCGGGTAAGTCTGGGGGAGGGGTACACGATGAGGCGGGGCTTGTGGCCACGGTCTCACCATGCACCGTCATGTTTTTTGCCGAGGACAGCATGCATTCTGTGTGCATGCCCATGTGTGTGTCAGCCGATTCCCAATGGCTCCTCCTTGCACTACAATTGCTTGTCTTGTATATTCCCTGCACTGTCTACACTCCCTCCTCACTCTCCTCCCTCCTTCCTTTCAGTAACTTGTTTTCCCGCACGATTATTCTCTTCTCACTTTGTGTTCCCTTTCGTTTCGCTTTCTTTTTTCTCATGCCCTGCCGAGAACAGGTAGGCCATGACGTCGACCACTTCACGTCACCCGAGGGGATCCCGGGTCGCCCGGAAACAAACTTCAACAACCGCTGCTGCTCCCTCCTCGTTCTCTCTCCTTCCAGAACCTGCCAGGTAAGCTACTCTCTAGCACATGCCAGATAAGCCACTCACTCGCACACGCCAGGTAAGCCTCTCGCTCACACACGCCAGGTAAGCCACCCACTAGCACATGCCAGGTAAGCCACGCATTTTATCATGCAAGCAAGCCACCCCCTAAAGCGCTACACATGCCAAGCGACAGTGCAGATATTCTGGACCTTGAAACTACATAGGTGCCTCTCTCATTGTGCTCATTGGACCCCTTAAAAATCTTTAGTCCCTCTTCTAGTGGGCTCTCTCCCCTCGAAAGAAGGAAGAACCTCCTCCCACTATACCTCTAGTGAAAGGCCGTATCTACAATTGCTTCTTCTTTTTTGGCATTCCTATAACGCCTTCATGTGGCAGGTGTATGCCCGAGTCAAGGAGGACGAACCTCCAGCCACACTTCCTTCAGCTAAGACCGGGCTCAAGTCAATTGTGCCCCGAAGTCCACTTCACCTGGAGTAAGCTTACACCACCGTGGATGGCAATTGGCCATCGTGTTTGGACAATCAGTGCCAAACTACAATAATTTGTACATTACAGACACCTTCGTGAGTTGTGTAAACTGCTACATCAAATTTGTCACCTTTGTGCTTTTTTTGACTGTGTATCCTAAATGTGTTGTTACTGACTCGACAATTGTACGCGATGTTAGACGCAATGAATTTTGCGACACACGTTGTAACCACAACTCTTATATGACAGCTCAAGGACCGTCGTAGCCGCAAACAACGGGCTGACGAAGTGGTAACGCAGGCGTGCGAAGAGCAGGTTTCCGAATCTGTGGCATGTATCATCCCGAGGGAGCACTAGGTAATGTCAGAAGCCAACCTCCCCTGACACCGAGCAAATCTGTCAGACAGATCAGCCCAGGCCCCAGGATGCAGTGTCAGAAGGCCTACTTAGCACCTGAATCTTATCTGACGATGATCATCCCTAGGCTTTCACGGGGAAGAAATGTCAGAAGCTGATCCCGCGCAACGGAAAGCATAATCGAGAAATTTATTGACTGCCGAGAGGTCTAGCTAATAGCATAAGCGGCGGAGCCGTTTCATTTTAGGCAAAATGGCCTCCGCATCGGGCTCCTCTTCCGCCTCATCCTCAACCATTTCCGCCTCCGCGGGGGCTTCCGCTTCCGCCTCCTCGTCGCTCGCCGCGGGGCTTGCGCGCAAGTTGCGGAAGGTCCTCGACACGCGCACGGATTCCCCCGAGCTTCTAGCAGCGCTTGGCGCGCTCTCTTGCTTCTATCGTGAAAACTCGCTTTCCAATCGGCGCGCTTTAAAGTCCACTATCGAGCGGAGAGGATTGGCTATCAACCAGGAATTCCTTCAGGCGTCAGAAGCTGCTCAGAAGGTACCAGATGGTGTTTTTGAGACGAATGAAGAGTCCTTAATATGACAGAATCTGCTGTTCCTGGCAGCAGCAAGCCATGGCGACCATTGCGAGTCACATTAGGGAGTCCTCGTTGACATACCCGAGCCATGTATCAGTAACGGTCATGGGGACTGTATCGAGACGAGTGATGGTGACAATAGCGAGTCATGGTGACAGTGGCTTTTGTCAGACCCGCATATTGTGCTCATAATGGGAGTTTAGCGAGACTCCCACTTGTCTTCCTCCAGTTAACATGATGTGCTTCATATCCCCCTACTTCCTCCTACATCATCTCCCCCCCCTCCCCCCACGTCCCCGCCCTTCCCCCTCCCATGCAGGCACTGGATGTGGTGGAGGCGGAGGTGCGGGGCCTTGCAGAGTGCTGCGACAGGTGAGGCAGAGTGCTGCGACAGGTGAGGCAGAGTGCTGCGACAGGTGAGGCCTTGCAGAGTGCTGCGACAGGTGAGGCAGAGTGCTGCGACAGGTGAGGCCTTGCAGAGTGCTGCGACAGGTGAGGCCTTGCAGAGTGCTGCGACAGGAGAGGCCTTGCAGAGTGTTGTGACAGGTGAGACCTTGCAGAGTGTTGTGACAGGTGAGACCTTGCAGAGTGTTGTGACAGGTGAGACCTTGCAGAGTGTTGTGACAGGTGAGACCTTGCAGAGTGTTGTGACAGGTGAGACCTTGCAGAGTGTTGTGACAGGTGAGACCTTGCAGAGTGTTGTGACAGGTGAGACCTTGCAGAGTGTTGTGACAGGTGAGACCTTGCAGAGTGTTGTGACAGGTGAGACCTTGCAGAGTGTTGTGACAGGTGAGACCTTGCAGAGTGTTGTGATTGGTGAGACCGGGAGAGAAGGGGCATTTGCTTGCATCTGGTATCGTTCCTTGCCCTTCCCCACGTGTCTCCCACATGCGCTTGCATGTGCGCTCGAGCGCGCACACACACACGCACATGCACAGACACACATATGCACATGCACATGTGCATGCACACACACAAGGGCACACACATGCACACATGTGCGCACACACAGACACTTGAAACATACAACAAACAGACGCGCAAGCACACCTCCACACACTTACATCCTCGCAAGCACTTGTCTCCCCATCTCTAGAATCGGCAAGGCACCGGCCAGATGTGCTTTAACAACAGGCGACAGCTTTTGAGTCGACTCAAAGGCACCAGCCACATGTGCTTTAACAACGGGCGACATGGTGCTGGCACCAGAGAGGCTCAAGCACGAGCTGGTTACCACCTGCACTGCACCCACACGCTCACATGTTGACCTTTCCCTCTTCACCACCAGAATTGGCGGAGCACTGACCACGTGTGCGTCAACCACGGGAGACATGGTGCTGGCAACAGAGAGGCTCAAACACGAGCTGGTTACCACCCCCACCCACATGCAAACAAGTGGACCCTTTCCCTCTTAACCACCAGAATTGGCGGAGCACTGACCACATGTGCGTCAACCACGGGAGACATGGTGCTGGCAACAGAGAGGCTCAAACACGAGCTGGTTACCACCGTGCGCAGGCAGCAACTAGTGGCGTCATTCCTCAATAGCTACCAGCTTTCGCCACAGGAGGTGAGTGCCTCGTAGGTAACCCAATACATGGTTACCAGCTACCAGCTATCGGTGCTGACAACAGAGAGACCCGAGAATGACCTGGATACCACATTGAACCCCTGGGCAAAAGCAGCAGTTAGTCGCATCCTTCCTCAGGAGCCTTCCAACTTTCGCCACAGGAGGTGAGTGCTGTGGTACTGAAGATATGGTTACCAGCTAACAGCGAGGCTCAAGCACGAGCTGGTTACCAACCACCGAACGTCGACAGCAACTGGTGGCGTCTTTCCTCAGAAGCTACCAGCTATCGCCACAAGAGGCGAGTGGCTTGAAGCACGAGCTGGTTACCACCACGAGCTGGTTACCACTGTGCAGCAGCAACAGGTGGTTGTTTGCAGCCTTCCTTTGGAGCTACCATGGCCACAGGAGGTGGGTGTATGACATCCTGTGCTTTCATGCCCATCTTTTTGCCTTATTTTGCTTATCATACCCCAATCATCTTCCTTGTTTCCTCCTCTCCTCTTGCTCCCAACCTGCCTCATATCGCCTCAGGTGCAAGCCCTTCGGGAGGACGAGATCGGCGAGTGGTTCTTGAGGCGCTAAACCGCGTGCATGACATCCATGCCAGCTGCAAGCTGCTGCTGCTACTACTTCCCCTTCATCTTTCCTTCTTTCTTTCTCTCGCCCCTTCCTCGAAGGTGCAAGCATTGAGAGAGGACGAGATCAGTGAGCGGTTCTTTGAGGCGCTGAACCGCGTGCATGACATCCACGCCAACTGCAAGCTGCTGCTGCGCACCCACCACCAGGTAGGAATCTACTTTGCTGTCTCATTTTGTGGGTGAAAGCCAATTCCTCGCCCTAAGTGGCTGAGCCTCCCACCTTCCATGTGTTGTTTGCACACGTGCATTGAGCCACAGCTCTTTACTTCCCCCTGTCAACTTCTCCCCTTCCCCACCTCCCTTCAGAGGGCTGGCTTGGAACTCATGGATCTGATGGCCGTGTACCAGGAGGGCGCGTACGAGAGACTGTGCAGGTAAGCTCATGGGAGACTGATGGCCGTGTACGAGGAGGGTGCGTACGAGAGGCTGTGCAGGTGGGAGAGTGGGGAGAGTGTGTCGGTAGGGATATTGTCAGGGTTTAGCCTTTAGTGTGTAGGCAGGTGCTAAGGGTGCGAGCTCGTGGGCCTGATGGCCGTATGCCAGGAGGGGCGTATGTGAGACTGTGCAGGTAGGCTCACGGGGAGACTGTGCAGGTACGCTTATAGAAGGGGATTGTGTAGATAGGCTCTCAAAAGCTGAGCTCATGGATCTGATGGCAATGCACCAAGAGGAGACTTACGCGAAACTATGCAGGTAAGCCTGTCCCCTCCCTCCCCCTCTCTCCCTCTCTTTCCCCCCCGACCCCCCCTCCATCGCCCCCCCGCCCTCCGGCTTGATATCCTGCAGGCGGAGTGTCGCAGTCTGGGTGACAGCGACGGCGAGACACGCAGGAAGTTGGTTCCCTGCTGCGCACGGCAGCCCATGTAGCCCCACTTTTCCCCTGCCCCCTTCCCCCTCCCCCCTCTTCCCCTCCGCATCCCCCCTGCCCCCTTTCCCCTCCCCCTTTTCCCCCTCCTCCCGTCCCTTGCCTCCCCCTTCCCTTCCCCAGGTGGGTGCAGAGTGTCACAGGCTGGGCAACAGGGATGGGGACAGACAAACCGGAAGTCGGTTCTCTGCTGCGCACCAAGCACACACTTTGCCTCTCCCCTACTTTCCGGTTTGTTCCCCCCCCCCCCCTCCCCTCCCCAGGTGGGTGCAGGCGGAGTGTTGCAGCCTGGGCGACAGCGATGAACCTGAGGACACGCTGGAAGTGGGTTCTCTGCTGCTCGTTTTGAGGCGCCTCAAAACTGCACTGCAGCCTGTGTAACCCCACCCTTCCCTTGCGCCCTCCCCCCACCTTTCCTCCAGGTGGGTGCAGGCGGAGTGCCGCAGCCTTGGCGACAGCGACGGGGACACACCGGAAGTCGGCTCTCTTTTGCGCACGGCAGCACATTGCCTCAAGGACCGACCTGTGCTCTTCCGCTACTGCACTGAAGAGGTACTGTGCGGTAATGTGTGGTAGTATGTGGTAATGTGTGGTGATCTGTGACAACGTATGGTGACCTCATAGACAGTGGTCAACCCTTCGCTGCTCACAGTGGCGCGTTGCCTCAATGGTCAACACTGCGACGCATTGCTTCAAGGACTGACCTGTGCTCGTCCGCTACTGCATTGAGGAGGTAGAGAGTCGTAATGCGTGACAGTGGATGTTATTGTGTGGTTATGTATAATATTGTGTGGTAGTGTGTGATAATGTGTGGTAATGTGTAATACTGTGTGGTAATGTGTGATCGTACGTGGTGATGCGTGGTAATGTATGGTGACCTAATAGGCTATGGTCAACCCTTCACGTCACTGGGCAATGCAGCGTATGCCTCAAGCACCGACCCGTGCTCTTCCGTTATTGCGCTGAGCAGGCAAGCTCAGGTGATCCGGCCAAGTGCCTGTTGCCCCTTGCGTTAGTGCAGAGGAGGTAAGTGAAGGTACTGGCGTGTCAGACTCTTCTCGCCCCACCCTTGGTGGTCAACACTCGATTTAACGACTGCTCCACCTGCCATCCATTCCGGTGGTTAACACATGTTGGTCTGTCACTTCATTTGCCACCGCTTCATAGCTGCTCTCATTTCCTCTTTCCCCCC